AATATGTGTGTTTGATTTTTTCAGATTTTATTATAAATTTTGAAATATTAATTTTATGATAATATTTTTAAAGTCCGCAAAACTTGTCCGCAAATTTTTTTAAAGTTTTTCCCATAAATTTTTAAAAATTTTATTTTAAAGATAAATCAATTAATGAATGCTCTACGTTATACTACAAAACATTTGAATGATGCAGATACCCCAAAATCTATTAAAGCCCATTTTGTTTAATTCAAGTATATACAAACTTTCTTTTTAAAAAATTAATATCAAAAAATATCCCCCTTTTTTTTAAACAAATTTATATTTTAGTTTAGTTTAATAATTAAAAAAAAGATTTTTTTACTACATTAGATAACCATAAACTTAAAATAATTTAGAAACTTTTTTTCTTTGTCCGCAAAATTTTTATCCGCAATTTATTGGGTTTTTTGGTTTTAAATGTGTTCGAGAATGTTTTTTTTTATTTCCTAACAAACGCTGTATTACCGATAAATACGAAAAATTCTGTGGGTAGTACATTATTGCATATTTTTTATTCTATAATTCTCTAATCAATCGAAAATAAGTTGCGGATTAAAATTGGGTCGGGGAATTACTTTACTATAAAAAAATTTTGTGAACTCGACCCTTAAAATGACCAATTCCTGCTTTGTATTAGGCGGTCGGATCTCAGTTGTAGAACACTCTAACGTTAGATTTTTGTAGACAAAAGTTATTATACAAATGTGATCTGACTATCATAAAAATAAATTTTTAAATATTAACAGTTTTTTAGTAAGCAGAGTTGCGTTACGATTCGATTACGAATTTTCGATTACAACGCAACTCTGATAGTAATTATTAGAGCTCGGACCGCACCGTACTACGGGCCCGTATTTTCCCGTATTTATCGGTATTCCGTATCGGCAGAACGGTACGGAACAAAGTTCCGGGCTCTAGTAAGTAAGTATATCCCGGCTCTTTTTAAAAATTTTTTTATAAAAATTAAAACACCTCAAAATTTTATTTAATAAAAAATTTATCAATTTTTTATAGTTTATGTATTTGGATAAAAAATATATTTTTTTAATTTAAAGAAATATTAAAAGAATTTTCTTTATTCTTTTTTTTCTCGTGATTAATGTGATTCAATTAAGTAATTTTAAGTTTTTTTTAAGTTAGAAATATTTTTTAAACGTCACCAAATTTAATTTAAAAAAAAGTTAAGAGAATACATTGGTATTTACACATTCTTGTGTTAAATTTAATATATAGATCATTAACTACTATAAAGGGGGGGAGGGGGAGTATTTTTTGTTTTAATTAACGCCACACTTGACGATACACAAAAAAATAAATTAATTGACGTATAAAGAAGTTGTTGTAATGAAAAAGTTAATTTTTTTGTTTTAAATGACCTTTTTCCCTAATTGTCCACATTCTTTTTAAAGGTTAGTCAGTAGTTGCTGATTAAAAATATTGAAAAAGAACCGAGAATTAATTACTCTTAATTTTATTCTGTATTTTTTAATCTCTTAAATTTTCAGTAATTTTTTGAGGATTCATAAAAATTAAGAAAAAAATTTACATTAATTTTTTCTCAAAGTTTTACCGAATTTTATTTTAAAAAATCTAATTTTTAACATTTTTTATTAATCAGAACCCTTTCTTACTCAAAATAAGTAAACCTGTTTACTTTATTATTTTTTAAGAATTTAAAAACAAAACATTCTTTAAAAATTAATTAAAAATATTGTTTTCATCTTTTTAATTAAAAAATATTTTTTAATTTTTTTAAAATTATTTAAAATTTTTTTAAAGATGCTAGTTATTTACGTATTTAAAAAGTAAAGCTTAAAAATATTTTTTACAATTGTAAATATAATTGTAATTAATAATTGTATAAACTTTCCGGAAAAGTGAATATATACATACCGTAAATGCTGAAATAATTACCCTCTCTAAAATAATTACCCTCTCTAATAATTACCCCATATTTTTCTATACACTGATTTTAAAAATATATTAAAAAATCATTATCGCTTTTAATTATAAAAATGTTATAGGATCAATATCAACAGAATAAATTGATAATTGAAAGGAAAAATAAATAAACCTTCCGGTTTTACAATTATTTTTACAATTACAAATTCGATTTATAATTAATAATTGTAAAGACTTTCCGGAAAAGTAAATATAAAACTTACGGAAAATTATTAAATTGTAAATTAGAGATCGGACTGGTGGTCATACGAGAAGCAAGCTCGGTATCCCGAAAAATCTCGATTTTTGATAACCGGTATTCTTGTTTGAGATCTCATCTCGGTTCGATCTCTATTGTAAACTTGAGATTATTGATTTTAATTATATATTCTTTTTAATTAATTTTTTTACATTTACTATAAAAAATTTAATTTTATTTGATTAGAAGTAGAAAGGTTAATCAATTAGAAACTGTTAATTTATTGACTGTCAATATTATTTTAATGTTCTTAGTTAAATAATGAGAATAAAAATATTTTTACAATTTGTAAAAAATAATTTTAAAAACTTTCCGGAAAAGTGAATATAAAATTAAGGGAAACTTTCCGGAAAGGTTACTATTTATTTTTCCGGAAAGTTTTGCTTTGTTTTCTAGCTAAGTTTAATATTTCCTTTTTTCCGGAAAGTTTTTACAATTATTAATTACAAAATGTAAAAATACTTTCCGGAAAGACTTTTTACAATTACAAATTTAAATACCCACAATTAATCTCTCTCTTATACCAATTTTGTAGTTTAAAATTTTATAAACTACTACTTACTTTTTAATTTTTATATTAATTACCAAAGTATTTCATCATTTTTAAATTTATTGTTTTTACGAAAACTTACAAAACATCTTTGTTTTTTTTAATTTTTTTATTTTTATTTATTCAAGCCTTCCATTTCCCTCCCCCTAATTTCCCCTCTAACCCCATTTCCCCCTAATTTTTAAGCCTTTTTAATCGTTTCCGGTTGATCCGGTTGAACTTGTCTCTCTTTCCTTTTCCCTCTCTCTCATTTTTCACTAACCTTTTTCCTTCAAACCTTTTAATTTGGTGATAAGAAAATATTCTGTGTGTTTTAAATATATGTGCTTCACTTTCTCGATCACCGCACCAGAAAAAATTTGCAAAAAAATAATTATTTTTTAAATAAACTCTTCAAACGTTCAACATTTTATAATCATTTTTGCTTGTTTTAATATTTCTGCAAGAAAATATATAATCAAATTAATGACAGAAAAATCATTTTGATTGCGAGACACAAATTATTTGCAAATTATTTTAAAGAATCTGTAAATATTCGATGAGTAATTTTCTTTATCATGTATGCACTAGTATTTTGTTCTGTGTCTAATCCGGAAAATATACATAGGTATTGCAGTTAGTATGAAGTAGAGAAAGAATTTTCCGGAAGATAGAAATAATATAAATGTTTCCGGAAAATATAAAACTTTCCGGAAAATATAAAACCTTGGAAGAAATAAATATAAACCCTTCCGGAAAACATATAAAACATTTCCGGAAAATATTAAACCCCCATTACAATATTTTCCGGATTTTTGTTAGAAACAAACTGAGAGAATGCGCAACTTGTTTGTATCCATAAGAGAAACAAATTCAAAACACAAAACATTTTGTTAGATAAATTTTAAAGAATGAATTTATTTTCTCCTTCAACATCATTAACAACAACAACAAATAATTTGGACAGTGAAAGTATTTTTATAGCAAATAGACAATTTTTGGATAATAATGAAATTAGACAGGATTTGTTGGAATATGTTGTTGGTTGTGCTAATAATCAAATAACTTCACAGGTATTTATAAATTTTATAATAGAGTTTGAAAATATAAAATTTTCTTTTTATTGAAATTAAATTACCCACCTTTCGGAAAAAATATAAAAGCCAGGAAAATTATATAAACTTTTCCAGAAAATATAACACCTTCCGGAATTAGTATGAAATTAAATATAAAACTTTCCGGCAATATATTAATATCGGGGGAATATAAATAAAACCTTCCGGAAAAATATGACTCCGGAAAAATATTAGATTTAGGGAAATTAAATAAACTGTTCCGGAAAAATATGAAACTTTCCGGAAATATAATTATTTTCCCACAGATTTCGTTCACCAACTTGGACCGATCTCTTACAGCAGCAGCTTCAACCTCCTCTAATTTAAGCATAAATAATAATTCAAATTCATTAGAAACTCCACATTCTATCAATACATCACAAACAGAAATTCACCCATCTGCTGGTATTTAAAAGAGATTTTTTTCCAAATAAAATTTAATTTTTAAAGCAAGTATTTCACTATTAGCAGCTAATTATTTGCTACAAAATCAACAAAATAATTTAAATAATTTAATATTTTCACCTCCCTCCTCTAATTTAAATTCCCCAAGTATTTTTGGAATTAATCAACAATTAAATCAGAATAATTTAAATAAATCTCCGTTAGATTATGCATTGTTAAATAATTCTATTAGAGAACACCAAAATTGTGAACAGACACAACTTTCTCCGGTTATATTAAGGTGTATATTTGTAAAACTTTCCGGAAAAAAATAAAATAATTTCCGGATACTAAATACAAAGCTTTCCGGAAAAACATGTATAACTATAAGTTTCCGGAAAAAATAAATACACATACCCAAAACTTACCGGAAAACTAAATATAATATTTTCCAGAGAAATAAAATAATTTCCGGAAAAAAATAAACTTAGAAGAAGACAACTGCATAATTGCTGTGAAAATTTTTTTTAAAATCTTTTATTTTTAGTCAACTTTTCTCATCTTCCCCTTCATTAAATTCACAAATAGCAACATTAGCATCATGTGCTGTATTTCCAGAAAGAGAATATTTAAATGAATGTTTACCTCCCCCACCTCCTCCAATTAAATTAGGGCAACCCCCAACACCTTCAAAAAAGAGAAAAATTGAAGAATTTGAAGAAAAAGATGAAAATGGAGGAAATGAGGATTTTGAAATTAATAAAAATAAATTTTTAATAAAAATGGAAATTGAAGAAGAAGGGGGGATGGAAGAGGGAAGAGGAATTAGTGGAGATGCTGTTAGTTGTAATAAAGGTGGGGAACTGAAACTTTCCGGAAAGATATCAATAAACTTTCCGGTTTTACAATTATTTTTTTCTTTATTTTACAATTACAAATACAAGTTTTTACGAATTGTAAAATAAATTACAATTATCCCCACTCATCATTAAGGGTATATTTTAGCAGCAAAATTGGATTAAAAATTTTTTTTTTAAATTTTAAATGGAGGATTTTTAAATTTTTATAAGTCTACATATTACCATATCCAATGACCTTATTAATTTATCAAAAAAATATTTTTAAAAAGATAATTAATTAAGTGGAACATGACAACCTTCATACTTGTTTAACCTTGCAAAAAAATAATAATAATAAATTAATTATTAAAAATAAAATAAAAAATTTAAATAAAAAAGAAAAGGAAGAGGAAAAGAAAGAGGAAGAATTTATTATTAATTTAAAAAAAGAAAAAGAAAATCCACCCCCGTCATCAACAACTACATCCCCAACAACTACCCCAACAACCAGTTCCTTGTCTAATACAGTAAAAGAAAAAATTCAAAAAATTCCAAGAAAAAAGAATTTAATAATTAAAAAGGAGTCAACAAAAGAGAATAAAAAGAAGAAAAATTTAAAAGAAAATAATTCTTTAAATAATTGTCAAAGAAGTTTACATAAATGTGAACATTTGGGGTGTGGAAAGACTTATAGCAAGTTTGTTATTCAAGTTTTAATTAAACTTTTTTTACAATTTGTAATTCAAGTTTTACAATTTTTGCTTGTTTGAAATAAAATGAACCAAAAATATAGGAGTGGGACGAAATGTCCAAATTTTGAAATTAAAAAATTACAAAAATTTCAGAAATTTTTTTTAAATTTTTAAACAATATTCATAAATCTAAATTAGCTAATAAAATTTTTCTCTTTTAAGAAGCTCTCATTTAAAAGCACATATGCGCACACACAGTGGAGAAAAACCATTCCAATGCAACTGGAAGGTTAAATCAACTTATTATTTGCAATTAAATTTATTAATTCACAGGATTGTGGGTGGAGATTTGCAAGAAGTGATGAACTAACCAGGTTTGATTTTTCAAAATCCAAAAATATTCTCAATTTTTATTTCCAGGCATTACCGTCGCCATACCGGCTACAGGCCCTTCCGTTGTGCTCACTGCACAAACGAGATGCGTTTTGCCCGTTCAGACCATTTAAAATCTCATGTAAAGAATAGACATCCAGGAATGCCTTTTTAATTTTTAGTTGAAATTTTTAAAATATAAAAAATGTTTTTGGAATTTAAATTATTAAATTTTAATTTTCTTTTCCCTCTTCCTTCTCTTCTTCTTCTTTTCACGTCTCAGGTGCAATACGCGGAAATACAGGAATTATACTATTTCCAAATTGTGAATTTACAGGAATAAACATAATTGTCCCCTCAGCCAAATTCTTAAAAAAATAATTTAAAAAATCCAAAAACTTCAAAACTCACAACTTTGGAGGCTAAAGACGTTGGAGTAATTGAAGGTCCCATTCCACTCGGTGTTGACAAATCCCTCTCGCTTCCACTTGATATTGGGCCTATTGTTTGTAAATTTGTTGGGCGATTTGTTGAGCTAAATGAATTTAAAAATTAGTTTGGCGTTTTGTAATTTTTTCAACTAGTAGGCATTTTGTCGTTTTTTAAGAGAATTTTTAGTTAGGCTATTAGACGGTTTATAAAATTTCCCTACAATAAAAAATAAATTACCTAGCATTTTTCTGCATCATCTGACGCTTCTGCCGTTGTAATTCTTCAAGCATTTTTCGATTTTTTTCTTCTGACATGATAAAATATTAAATTAAAATGAATATTTTTTTAAGAAAAGGAGGGGGAGAGAGAATATATGTAGTAATTGTTTTTAAACCCTTCCCCCAAAATTGTTTTCATTGAATTATTTCGAAAAATATTTTTAAAAATGTACTTTCCTTCTCACCCAATTGCTTTTGTAACTTATTCTTGCTTAGTTACCATTTTGAAATTTTAAAAATAATTAATGGGATAAAATGTCATTTTTAAATTTTTGTAAACAGAATGCCAAGAAAATAAAAATTTGGTGGGTATTTAAAGGGGAGTCATTAACTTCCAAAAAACGTCAATTTTAACTTCATAAATCTTCTTCCCTTACCCTGTTTCATAGGTGGAAATTGTTGTAAAATGTTAATTTTATTTAGTGGAGTTGTTGTTGAAGTTATTTGATGGTTAGAATTATTCATTTTTTGAAGGGTTTTAAAGGTAGAAAATAGTTAGAAAATTGGAATTTTATTTAAATTTATTCTTTAAAATCTTCCTAAAAATTTTAGAGTAAAATAAATGCACGAGAATGGATTTTATAAAACAAAAAAGAAGGGGGAACCTTTACTTTACATTTTCTGCTTCTCTTCAATTTTTATAAAAATGTTTAGAAATTGGGGAGAGAATTATATTTTTAACACATTTTGCCAAAACATATTTTGCCAAAAACACATTTTGCCAATAAGGCTAAAAACCATGTTTTGCCAACAAATTCTTTGAGGGTTAGCCAATTTAGCAGAATATGGTTTTGGCAAAATATTTGAGAGCTTTTGTTTGATTATTTTCTTTATTTATTTCTCTCTTTTTTATTTTTTTTTCTCTAATTTGTATTAAAATAAATTTATTTGAAATACAGTTGACATATATTCAAAATGTCCATTAACTGAAAATCTTAAAAATCGTCACCTTCAGTTTATTATTTTTCTTTTTTTAATGGAATTTTTTTCTTCAAATTTTTTTTAATTAAAAGTTTTATTTGTTTTAGATTTTAAATAAAATTAAATTTTCTATTCCAATTTAAATGCAAAATAAATTAGAACAAGTAGAAGTTTTGGTAATTATTTCTGATTTTTCTTTGACTGAAGAAGGAATCGAGGTAATTTTTGTTTGAATTAAAAAGAAATTTTCTCTTTTTTAAAGGACAGCAGCGTTTTTACTTTATACGAACCTCGTTTAATTAATAAGTGTTTGGAAGAAATTTCTTGGTTATTATCGCCTAATGTAGTTGTGGCATATGGAAATAATCCAAAAAGTGTTGGGGAGGAATTGTTAAAGTTTGTCTTTTTTTAAATTTTAGGATTTTTGGGGTAAGGAAGAAAGGGGAGAGATTTAGTTTGTTAGCAGCATTTAAAAGTGCTTACTGGGCTAACGTTTAAGGTCTATTAAAATAGGTGGAAGCAGCGCCCCTGGTGGCTTATCCCTGTCCCGCACCTCGTGGTGTTGTCTCCCTCAAGTTTTTCCCGTTCTCCCTTCCCTCCAAATCTTTAATTAATTTTTCCGTAATATTAAGCCTGACAAACCCTATTTTTTCTCCCTATATTTACCCTATATTTGTTATATGAAAAATTACGTTTGAGTGCTAATGATTTCGATGCATGTCTCGAAGAGCTTGGATTTCTGTATGGAAAAAGAACCTGCCACAAATTTCGAGGTCGAACAACACTCATATCTGACCATTCTGTACAAATTTGGGAAAAAATATAGAGGGGAAAAATGGGGTTTTTAATAGATTCAATATTACTAATTTTTCTTTAAATTTGTTTTTTTTCTAGAAAATGGTCTAAACGTTTCAAAAGGTTGCAGGTTTATAATTTTTAATTAAAAAATTTTCCTTGACTAAAATTTTTTAAAGTATTTGTCTGTGGATGAATGCAAATCTATAAACGACATTTTACGTCAAGTTGAGGACCGTCAATTACTCAAAACGGATTTTTTGTTTGTTTATAATTGTGCTACTTTTTGTTCTGTTAATTTGGAATGTTGGATTGAAAATTTTAGGTTTTTTTTTAATTTATTTGTTAGAAATTTAGGGGTGGTGATTGAAAATTAGATCGTCTTAGATTTTTCTTATTTTTCTGATATTGCTGATTTTTGATTTTTCGATGACTCGAGGATCAGAATTTAATTGATAAATTTTGAATTCAATTTGTTTATTTCTAACTTCAAAATAAATTAGGGTCAGGATCTGGTTTTCCACAACCGAAAAAAATTTACACATCCACATTATTGTCGTTCATTATTGGAAAAATACATCTCAATCCACATTTGTCAGGAAACGGGATCAAAATAATCTCGATCTTTATTAAGGCTTATGCTTATAAAATTTAATTTTTTTCGTTTAAAATCAGTTAGTTTTCTCGCAAAAACAAATTTTTTTTTAATTTTTGGGGTTTCCAGATTTTTCAAAAAAATTTTTTTGAGAATATTTAAATGCTTTCTTCTTGTTCTCTAAAATATTTTCTAATTTTTTAAATCTTCAGAGCACTCAGAAAACAAAATAAAAATGCCGTAGCAACACTAATTTACTCAGAAATTGATGTTGATGAATCTTCCAATAATTCTTTAATTTGTTATAGAACTTGTACTAAAAAATTAGTTAATTATAATTTAATAGAAGGAAGTAAAGGAAGAAGATATTTACAGACAAAAAAGGTTTTTTAGTTTAATTTTTTTTGGAAATTTTAATTAAAAAATTTAAAAGGAAATTTAATTTAAAAATTAAAAAGAAACGTTTTTTAAAATTCCCACAAAAATTAAAAAAAAAATTTTAGCGTTCTACAAGTTTTTGGAATATTTTTAAATATTTTTTACACATTTTCGAATTTTTAAAATATTTTTCTCCGTATTCTTTTAAAAAGCATTAGTCATATTTTGGAATTATTTTTTCAACATTTTTCTAAAAAAATTTATAATTTTTAACATTTTTTAAACTACAAAAATTCTTTATTTTTTAGGATATATTTCTCACTGAAACAACTTTCCGAACAGATTTATTCCCCTTAAATATATTTATTTGTGCCTTAGATTTTATTGGACATTTTGCTGGAAATTATGATTTTAATTGTGTAGATAATATAATTTTGGATATTTTAAGTAATGAAGAAGTTATTGGACAAGAAATTTATTTAAATATTTTGGAGAAAAATAAAATTGAAAATTTAAAAGAATTTGAAAGAATAATTAAAATTAAAAATTCCGGAAAGAAGAAAATTAAAGAATTTCCTGGAAATTGTTCCGATGTTTCTGATGAGGAGGAAAATGAAGAGGGAGAAGAAGAAAATATAAAGAGTGTGGGAGAGGGGAATAATAAACAGGTGTTGTTTATTTAAAACTTTCCGGAAAGAATTAATATAGCGAAAATTATCGGGGAGAAAACTTTCCGGAACGATTTTATTTAAATAAAGATATTTTTAAAGATATTTAACTTTCCGGAAAAGTTTTTTTCTATTTTCCCGATTAATTAAATATATAAAACTTTCCGGAAGAATATAAAATATAAGAAGAAAACTTTCCGGTACAACTTTTCAATTTCCGGATTAATTGAATATAAACGTTCTGGAATAATAATAAATATACATAAAATCTTCCGGAAAATATATAAAAAATATACTAAACTTTCCGGAAGAATAATATGTAGAACCTCCGGAATAGAAAATACCTATATTAAACTTTCCGAAAAAGCTTTAAAAATATATTTTCTATCATTTCAGGAATTTACTCAATTTATTTTAGAAGTAAGAGAATCTATGCAAGAATTATTCGAAAAAGAAAGAAATACTTCAAAATCAATAAATGAATCAGAATTTTCTAATTTAAAATTGGAAATAAGTTCTTGTAAATTAGCCTATAATGTTCCGATGGATGAATTGCCAAGATTAATTTTTCTTTCTTTTATTGGAATTCCTGGGGTTACACAACAGCTGGTTTTGTTTAAAAAGGTATTGAGAAAATAAATAGAATGAATAATAATATTAAATAAATAATTATTTTTTAAATTTTCTAGAAGAAGAATTTTGGAAGGTTAATAAAAAATTTCCGGAAAATAGAATATATTAAACTTTCCGGAAGAATAATAAAACCCCCAGAATAGAAAATGTGCTAATTTTCCGGAAAAGTATACTTTCTTGAAGAGAATATAAAACTTTCTGGAAAAGAGAAAATAAATAAGCCTTTTCAGATATATTATTCTTACTATTAAATATTAGTGCTTCACCGGAACCGATATTTTGATCGGAGTCGGAACTTCCGGTTAAACTCTACTAATTATGTAAAACTTTTTTGGAAAAATAATACCTATTTTCTTTTAAAGACTTTTGACAAATGGATGGTTCTTTGGAATTTTTATTTTAAAAAATTAACAACAAGAATTGGAATATTACATGCTCTTGAAGTTAAAATAAAATTAATTATTTTTTCTCAAAAAATTTTTCAAAGGATTTTTCAACAGAAAATGAAAATTTTTGTCGAATTCTTCCAAATATTTTGCATTGGCTAAATCAAGAAAAAGAATTTTTGGAAGACGAACAAATTATTTTGTGGTATTCTTCTTTAAATGAAGAATCACCTTTGCTTTTATTGCCTAAATTGGGGGAGTTGGTTGAGTGGTTGAAAGAAGAGGGGGAGGAGGGGGATTAAAAGAATTAAAAATTGTTTGGAGGATTTTGGTTGTTTTTATTAATGTAATTTTTGTGTTTTATTTTTGGATTTAATAAAAGATATAAAAGTTTTGGGTGTTTTTTAAAATCTGAAATAGTTTTTTTTGTAGAGAAAACACAGTAATAGATACCGATTTCAAGACCGTGCGAATGTGTCGAACACTCAATTTATTTTTCTTTAATTTTTTTATTTTCCCTATAAACAATTAAATTAATCATAAATTTCATTTTGAAGAAAGAACAAAAATAAATTAAAATATTTTCTAAACAGTCATCTTTAAATTTAAATTAGTTTAATCACTTAATTTGTAATAAATATTTTTCTTGAAATATAAAATATATATATAATAGGAATAATACAATTTTTATGGTATATGAATCCTATTTGATAAAAAAATTCTATTTTATAATAAGGACTATTTTAGATTAGAGCTCGGAATCTCGTATCGTGTCGTATTCCTAACCGTAATAATAAATACTGATAAAAATTAGAAAATTTTTATTGTTATTTTATTTTTGTTTTTCCGTACCTTATAGAGAATTATTTTTTATAGACGATTATTTTTTCCTACAAATCCACTTAAATCTCCAAATATACTTCTTATTCCCTTTAAATCCCTCCATATTATTTAAATAAAAAATTTACGTACCGTAATACAGTTCGGAAGAAAAATTATCCGTATTTTTTCGGTATTTTTCGGTAATACTGTACGGAATAAATAAAATTCCGGGCTCTACTTAACACACTATAAAATTAGTTAAAATTTTCAAGAAAGCTCAATAACAAATTAAAATAATAAAAAATATTAAAATATGAATAAAATTTTTGTATTTCTTTTTATTTTTATAATAATTGCCAGCAATTTATCCAGTAAATTAATTAAAAATTTAAATTTAATATGGAATAATTAATAAGGATTATCGGTGGATTAATATTTCATGATACTAAGTCTAAACTGAATTTAAAAAGTAGTGCTCTGTAAAAAGATAGGGGCAAGTTTCAGAAATAAGTACTTATCCAAACAAAGAATCTACAAAAATTCGAGTAGGTAAACATATTGATAGAAAATGAAAGAAAATAAACCCTATAAACCCTCTTAAATCTCGACACTGAAATGAGATATGGGCCTAGTTTTTTATTTTCTCCCATTATCGGTCAATATGTTTACTCGAATTTTTGTAGATTCTTTGTTTGGATAAGTACTTATTTCTGAAAGTTTCCACTATCTTTTTGCTGAGCACAACTTTTTAATTTCAGTTTGGGCTTGGTATTATGCAAAATATTAATCTCATTTTTAACTGAAAAAATGGGTAAATTCCATTTTAGTTACTCTTGCCCCTATTTTTATGTCAATGTCTGTATGTAATTAATAAAAAATATTTTTTAAATATAGCAGGTGTCACAGCAAACCATAATTGTTTTGTCAATTGCCAATTAAAATCATGTTTTTGTGGCAGTTTCTGCTCATCAAATGGTTTATCATTAATAAATTTAATAAATAATTATTTATATTTAGGCCGCTGCATGTGTTATATATGCAAAAACAAGCCAAATCAAAGATTCTTGTGGAGGGAAGATTTTATAAATAAATAATTAATTCTGTTAATTATAAAATGAATATTTTCTATTATCTCCCTCCCTCCCCCCCCCCCCCCCCCCCTCTCCCTCCCATTCAACATTTTCACTCCTTTAAAAATGGTAAAAACAAATAATTGTCAGGCAAGAGGAATAATTATTAAATAAAATTTATCAAAATAAAATCATTTTATAGGCCAAAATTTTTCTTATTTTTTTAAAAATTAATTCGAAAACATGTAGACCTTTCCCGTATTTACTACTTCTTTAACCTAATTTACTCCTTTTTATTTTTGACCATTTTGAGAGGAGGGGGGAGTAACGGAAAAGAAAGCATCATAAAATATAAATATTTTTTTGAAAAAAATTATCCTTTAAAAACAATAAATAGTCAAAGCTTAAAATTTGATAGTTTTGTAAAAAGTATAGCAAAATATTCAACATCAAATTAAAATAAATTGTAGATATTTGGGAATAGAAATTTCATAATTTCGTAAAAAATTCAGCCGAAAATAAGTAAAAACCCCGTTCCCCAACCCGAAAGAGTTTATAGGGGTTTAATTAGGGAAATTTAAAGAAAAAAAAATTTTAAAAATTTTCTTTCCTTTATTTACTCTTTCAGTATTATTTTTGAAAGAAAAGTTAATTAAATATCAAAATTCCCAATTAAATTTTATAAGAGATCAAGCAATTTGTCAATCTACCTATCATTTACATCAGGGATGGGCGATTTCGCATTTTCGCGTTTCGCATCTTTCGCATTTTTCACATTTTTTGGCGCGAAAAGTTTCGCATTCCGCATTTCGCTTTTTGGTCCAAATGCGAAATTTGTTTCGCCTTTTTGCTTTAGTATTATATTTTTTTAAATATTTTTACATTAAATTTTTAAAGGAAGAGGGAAAGAAATATAGAAAAATTATTCCATCATTTATTTAGTTGGTCGATGGTGGAGTGGTTGACTGACTTTGCTTTCTTTGGTGTTTTTTGGGGCTGGGTTCGAATCCAGGGTTTGGAAATAAGTCATTTTTTCTTCCAAAAATAAAAATTTTTAAATTCTGATTTTAATTTTAAATTTGTAAATTTATTGGCTGTACTTTAGTATAGGTCCACCGAGATCGGAACTCAGACTATATACCATCCGATTCGTCTCGCCGAGCTGAGTTCAAATATGTAAGAATTTTCTGCCGGAGACGAAAACTCGCAGAGATATAGGCCATCGAAAATCGAAAAACCATAGGGGGGACCAAGCACTTTTTTGGGATGAAAAATTTGAAAATGCAAATTATAACTCTTTCGAAAGAGCTCATCGAGCTGAGTCGAATAACACCAAAATCAACGAAATCAGACGTGATTGGACAAAGTTATGATCTTTTATTTTAGCTCCTTACCTATGGCATTTGTGGAGATTTTTGCTGCTACGGAGGCCCCAAATATGTCCAGAGCAAGGGAGATAGGAATAGGTTTATGTTACGAGCCCAGACCCAGAGCCCGTAGACTCCCCGCGAGGCGCGTGCCGCAAAACCCCGCGCGAAGCGCGGGGTTTTGCACAAGCGCCTCGCCGACGCCCCATAGGTTTAGGTTTTTTTGTTTTTTTGTGTCATAACTTTGTCTAATCTTGTCTAATCACGGTGATTTTGGTGTCATTCGACTCAGCTCGTCGAGCTCTTTCGAATGAGGTATTATTTGTATAAAAAATTTTTTATTTCAAAAATCGCCCCTTTGGATCTTCGGTTTTTAGGGGCCTATATCTCGGTCCAATCACGTCTGATTTCGTTGATTTTGGTGTTATTCGACTCAGCTCGATGAGCTCTTTCGAAAGAGTTATAATTTGCATTTTCAAATTTTTCATCCCAAAAAAGTGCTTGGTCCCCCCTATGGTTTTTCGATTTTCGATGGCCTATATCTCTGCGAGTTTTCGTCTCCGGCAGAAAATTCTTACATATTTGAACTCAGCTCGGCGAGACGAATCGGATGGTATATAGTCTGAGTTCCGATCTCGGTGGACCTATACTAAAGCGACCCCAATTTATTTTTTTTAATATGTCAAACCTGAAAAACATTAAAAATTCTAATTTAGTAATGAATTTTCAAAAATTTTCGCCTGCGGCGCAAGAAAGGGATTTGAGATTAAGAGGGATGTCAGAAGATTAAGATCTGAAGAGTTCCTTGGAAGAATTATTGCTCCTTAGACTTCAAAATTCTCGGAATTTTGCCTGTGGCGCAAAAAATGGAAATCGAGTACGAGCAATTTTCACTATTCTAAATAGAGTTGAGCGGGATCGGGATCCCGACCCAAATCGGGATCGGGATTTTGGAATAACAACCCCTAGCCCGGTCCTGACTACGGGTCAGGATTGGTCGAAATCGGTATCGGGATTTAAAATAATGACCCCGATCACGAACTCGAATCGGAACCTGCAATGCCCCGAACCTTCAATGCCCCCTATGGTTTTTCGATATTCGGGAACCTATATCTCGGTTGACCGGGAGTTCAGTGAATAGAGAGTGGTTTCTTATCGATAGAGATTTTTTTTTCTAAAATTTTTTAACTAATTTCGTATTTTCGCGTTTCGCATCTTTCGCATTTTTCACATTTTTCACATTTTTTGGCGCGAAAAGTTTCGCATTCCGCATTTCGCTTTTTATTTTTTAAAAAAAGTTTCGCATTCCGCATTTCGCTTTTTATTTTTTGATTTCGCCCATCCCTGATTTACATGTCATATTATTTCATAAATTGTCAGTGTTAAAAAAATCAGAATTAATAAGCCAGTTTACACAATATAAGCTACATTGTAGTTAACAAAAATATATTTCCCCGTATGGGGTAATTCACTTTTTAATTGTTCCTGAAATGTTCGATAATTGAGTGACTAAGTAGTTAGGGGTAAAGAAGGTTATAAAGAGTGTTTGAAGATTCATTCATTTATTACCAACCCCCATTATTATTTCAAAATCCTTTTTAGTATCATCCAAATTCCCCTAATTGCTCAGAATGGAGGTAATCAGAGTGTAGATTACTGTCTTGGAATAAAAAACTGATACCAAACCCGGCCGTCTGAAATTTTCGAACTCCTGTAATAGCCTACTTTTTACGGCCAATTTAATATAAACACAAATATCCCTGTAATTTTTGGTTACGTGTCAATAAATTTATTTAGTTGAATCATTCCTAATTTTGATTCATTTTCTCAAATTGATTTTATTTTTTTTTATTCTTTCATTTTTGTAATGTCATAAATTCCAAAAAAAAATTTTTGTCGAAAAAATTTGTCAATTTTTTTCTCTTTCATTCCCGCAACAAATAAACAATGCAAAAATAAATTATAATTAATTCTTCCTCGTGGCCAAAATCCAAAAAAAATTTTGCTTAGAAACGTTGATTAAATAAAACTGCCTGCCATTTTCGTCTTCCTTAAGGACGCTTCTTTTTTTAATCACAATTTTGGTAAGACTTTCGCTTATGAACACACCCAAACTCATGTTTTTCTTGTCTAAAAAGATGTGAAATGGTAAAATATCAGTATAAAAGTGCTCAAAATGGTCCACTTTTCCATTTTTCCCGAATTTTCAGACCCCTGAAAATCCGGGAACCATAGGTGGGAGTAAGCTGTTTTTGGGGTCAAAAATTCGAATATGCAAATAATAGCTCATTCGAAAGGGCTCGACGAGCTGAGTTGAATGACATCAAAATCAGCTCGATTGGATGATTATGAACAAAGTTATGACCAACAGAATTTTCGCAGGAAAAACTGTTTTTGTGCTGCTACGGAGGGTAGGCCGGGCATGGTCTTCGCTACACGATGGCCGTGCTTCGCTGCGGTCGTGCTCGCTACGCTCGCGGCGACCGTAGCGAAGCGGCGGCCGTCGTTCCGCTCGACATGCCCGGCTTCCTCCGCAGCGGCAAAAACTTTTTTCCGCGAAACCCTTGTGGAAGGGGTAAAAACAAACGGTCATAACTTTGCCAAATCAAGTCAGATTTCGTTGATTTTGGTGTCATTCGACTAAGCTCGACGAGCCCTTTCGAATGAGCTATTATTTGCATATTCGAATTTTTGACCCCAAAAACAGCTTACTCCCCCCTATGGTTCCCGGATTTTCAGGGGTCTGAAAATTCGGGAAAAATGGAAAGGTGGACCATTTTGAGCACTTTTATACTGATATTTTACCATTTCACATCTTTTTAGACAAGATAAACATGAGTTTGGGTGTGTTCATAAGCGAAAGTCTAGCCACAATTTTTTTTAATTTTTAATTTAAATTATTTTTATACTAAAATCGAAAACTCTCGATGTTCTCTTTTTTTCCTAACAGGACTATTTTGATCAGATTATCCCTTAAAAAGTTATGAACGGATAACCGCAAGTAGTCGTGATTTTTCGTTTCATTTATTATATAATTTATTTAAAATGTTGACTTTGAGGAAGGTTAAATATGATCCAAAAATCAATCCTCCACAGGATAAATTTTCGGTAATCAACTGTAATTTCAAAATTTAATCCTCCACTGTTTTTGGCTTTATTTTTTATTCTTTTGGCATTATGTTTATTTTTTCTACATTTATCCTTGTCTCTTTACACATTTTACCAATACCACATTCTGCCAATAAGGCTAAGAAATCACATTTTGTCAACGCTCCTATAGGCAAAACGAGTATTTTAGCCTTATTGGCAAAATGTGTATTGGCAAAAGGTGACGGTTTTGTCCTTTCTCTCGTTTCTTGTTATTTCAGCGTTGTTTGCAAAAATTGTTTGAGGGAACATTAATCTTTGCATTTTAATCATTTATTGATTTTTAAAAAAGGAAAAAGGTTTTTAATTTTTTAGAGGATTTTCAAGTGTCTTTAAAAAGAATGCAGACAATTAAATGTGTTGTAGTTGGGGATGGAGCTGTTGGAAAAACCTGTTTGTTAATTTCTTACACAACAAATAAATTTCCTTCTGAATATGTGCCGACTGTCTTTGATAATTATGCGGTTTTGTTTTTTTATTTAAATAAAAGTTTTAGACTGAGGGATGGGCATGATTACTCGAAAGAAACCCCGTCTTTCTTCAATCCGTCCTTCCCAAATTTGCGTGTTTTTTCTCCACTTTTGTCCAAACTTGGGAAAACCTTTTGGAAACTGAAACTTGAATTTTTTGTTAAAGATAGGGAGTTAAATTGTTTACCTATTTCTTATTCAATTTTGGATTTGGAAAGAAATTGTTTTAAGTGCTTGGAAATCGATTCCAATTTTCCCATTCCAATTTTTAGTTTCTCCAATTTTTCACTCAAATTCCAAGTTTTGGAAAAGATGAGAAATAAACTAATGGGGAAATTTCTCTATTTTTATTGGCAGTCTATTAATCTGGAAAAGTTTATTGTTCCTTTAAAAATATTTTTTTATCCCAAAGCCTAAGCCCTCTTAAAATTAAAAAAAATAAATTTTAAAGGTGACTGTAATGATTGGAGGAGAACCTTACACTTTGGGCCTTTTTGACACTGCTGGGCAAGAAGATTATGACAGACTCAGACCTCTTTCATATCCACAGACTGACGTTTTTCTTGTTTGTTTTTCTGTTGTTGCGCCTGCTTCGTATGAAAATGTTAGGGAGAAGGTTGGGATTTTTTGTTTTTTTGGAGGGGGGGGCTAGGAAAGGATTTGTAAATTTAGTTGGGTTTCGGGTATCAGTTAGAACCTAATGTTCTCGGTTTCTAGTTAAGCCTCTAAATTGTAAAGAAGGGATTGTCACTATCCTTTCATGAAAAAAATCAAAATGGCTTCCCCTTTTCACAAAAACTTATTTTGGATTACAACAAAAAGGACCACAGAAAATTTTTCCCAAAACCACCCTTCCTTCACTACCTTCTTTACAAGTCTCCAAATTGTCTAAAACTCGTAAAAATCAACTCAGGAATTTCTGTTTGTCCTGTTATTTATGTTCACGACCAATATTCTCTTTAAGTTTGAAGGTTAGGATTGACATTAATGATCGAGATTTTTGAAAAGCCTGGGGTTTTGGGTTTGATTTATTAACCTGGGCCGGATCCTGGGCCTGTAGTCCAGGAAAAACTCAGGAAAAGAATGCCTGGACTCTGGGTATAGGAAAAACCCAGACCTTGGTCCAGACCAAGTTCGACCTCTAGTTGACATTGCATATTAGGAAGCTAGAAATTTGAGAGATCTCCTAATGACCTAAAACTTCGGATTGTACTCCGTTGATACTCAAAGAATATGCAACCCTTCCTAGGAGTTGAAGATTTTCTATTTTTGGGTTTTTAAGTTAATTTTGAAATGTCCACCCCTCCCTATCTTTCCTCGACTATCAGAATAACTTTTTCTTTATTTTCTTTTTCAAAAAATATTTTCTTAGTGGGTCCCAGAAATTGCTCATCACAGTCCAAAGACGCCTTTTTTACTCGTTGGAACACAAGTTGATTTGCGTGAAGATGGGACGACAATTGAAAGGCTGGCTAAAAATAAGCAGAGACCGATTCAGCCAGAACTTGGAGAGAAATTGGCAAAAGAGCTTAAAGCTATTAAATATGTGGAATGTTCGGCGTTGACACAGGTTTTTTTTAGATTTTTTAATTTATGAGGGGGGAGGGGGGAGAACTTCTCCAAATTTTTATGAATGTTTTTGCTTCCATGGTCCGTATCATAAGAATTTGGTTGCTGGTTAAATAACTACCAATCGTCGGGTTTTCTGCAGCATAAGACGGTCCTAGAGTTAACTATAACTTTTGTGGTTAGGTGAGTTGGATTTGACCAGGTTCTTATGATACGGATGTGGTAATTCATTTGTAACTCAAAATTCCCGGAATCCCGTGGCAAATTGAGTTTCAAAATGTTGATAGAAGAGGATCTGAAATTAATCCCTTTTGTCGTTTAAAACCTGTTCGAAACGAGATTTCGTAAAATTTCTGTGTCCTAATAGAGAATAACCTCTAATAGAGAATAAAAAGGTTCTCTATTCATTTTAATCAAAAAATTATTTAAAAATTTTTTTTAATTTTCAGAAGGGCCTGAAGAATGTTTTTGACGAAGCAATCGTAAGAAAATTAAATATTTTCATAAAATTTCAAAAAATTTATTTTTTCTCAAGATGGCCGCTTTAGCTCCAGCTCCGCCTGAAAAGAGGAAAAGGTGTGCTGTTCTTTGACAAATTAAATAAATAAATTGTTTGGGTGGAAAGAAATTAAAAGAAAGGTTAAACTTAAATTAAAAAATGTTTTTTCTTTGCCTATTATTCTCTTGCACTTTTTTGATTAATTTTATTGACCAAATTTGGCACAATTCAATTGATTTATATATATAAAAATTTGATTTTTTTGAGACGACAATAAAAATTGAAAAATATTTTTTGAAATTCGAAAAAAAATATTTGCGGACAAAATTTTTTGCAGATAATTTTTGCGGATTTTTTACCAGTAAAATTACCCCCTTGGTTAGCAACATTTGAATAATTTTAAAAAAAAAATTTATACAAAAATTAAAATATTTAAATGGAAATTTATTGAATACAAAAATTACGTAAAGATAAATTACAAAAAATGCCACGAAATTCTTTTTTGAAGTGTAAAGAATTTTTAAAAAATTAATTGGGAGAATTGCAAAGATTTTTTAAAAGAAAAATTTGGGTTAAAAAATAAAAAAATATACAGCCGGACCCCTCCGGGATTAAAAAAATATGTTAAATAGAGGGTATGACTTATGAGCCCCGAATCTCGATAGAATTGCTTAGGTTTTTCCTCCGCCAAGTAGAGGAACCACTGGGTTCCTCGATAACACGTCTCCAACGATGTATTGGAGGTATCTTTATAGGAGGTTCTCCGACTGCATAAATAATAAAAATTATATAGGAAAGCTTAGAAAATATATGTTGAAATGCTAAAAAAAATGAATGAAATTATAAATATAAAATTATCTCTCTATGGCTTTCCATTTCTTTTTAAAAGTGGGCAAAAATAAAGATTAAATTTTGAATACATCCATTTTAAATTAATAAAGTTGGAAGGAACTAAATAAAAAAGATTTTTATTTCTTGTCTTGAAAATTAAGCAGAAAAATTTTTGCTAATTGGGCGTAGGGGGGGGGGGGTGGTAAGCCTCTGGGAAGTAATGGAATCGAGGAGAAAGTTCAATTAAATTTGTTGATTTTTAATTTTTAAAGCTTCCTCCCAAATAATCTTTTTTTTTCTTACATTCAATTTTTTTAAAATTAACTTTAAAAAATAGTAAAGTAAGGTCAGGCCCCTTCCTGATAATTAATGCAAGTCTCTAAAGAAGATTTTAAATATTGTTGTTGGCAGAGATGTTTCGAAATTTCGATTTTCGTTTTTCGATTTTCGAGGTTTTTTTCCTTTCGATTTTCGATTTCCGATTTTCGAAATTTTGTGATATTTTCGATTTTCGATTTCCGAATTTTTGAAAAAATTTGAATTTTTGGCGCCAAAAATGAGGAATTCTGGCTTATCGGTTATCATAAATTTAAAAAATTTTTGCCTGCGGCGCAGAAAATGGACGAGTTTTGGCTTAAGGATCCTCCAAAATTCTCAAAATTTTCGCCTGCGGCGCTAGTTTGAAGAAGCCCTGATCCATTAACAATATTATGCTTCGGCTCCGGTATATTGGAGGATTTGCTTGAAATAAGGTGGATTTGGAAGCCTCCCCCCATGCCAGAACCCTATGCCAGATACCGCCCAACCATATGAATAAATCGGCCTAGTTCTTTACTATATCAGGGGACTACTACTATAACCCCAATTCCTTAGAGTTCAAGCAAAAGTTCCAACTTAGACCTAACATAACAAAAAATAATTTTCCAATTTTTTATTAAAAAATTTTTTTTCGATTTTCGTTTTTCGATTTTCGTTTTTCGAGGTTATTTTTCTTTCGATTTTCGATTTTCGATTTCGAAGATTTTGAAAAATATTTTCGATTTTCGATTTCGATATTTTTGGATTTCTTTCGATTTTCGATTTCCGATTTTCGAAGATTTTTTTGTTTCGAAACATCTCTGGTTGTTGGTAATCTGTTAATTTTTCCTTATGCCGGCTCAAATGCTCTTTTCTTTTTTCCTCTAGTTGAGCCGCCACATGCAAAAATTAACCGAGGGTCACAATCCCCTAATTCTTAAATCCCCCCTAAATAAGTTCTTTTAATTTCTTACCTTCCCTTAACAATTACAAAGCTGTTGAAATAACAGAAGTCAGTCCATGTACAAGTATTGTTGGGGGTAATGAATCAGTTAAAATACTTAATTGTTGTAAATAATATTCTGATTTGTTTGCATTTAAAGGTGGATTTGGTAAATTTAAAAAACAAACAGCAGCCCCCTCTCCACTATTTCGTTGAATTGTTTCATTGACTGCTTTTACAAATTGTAGGGGATATTCTGTTATTTCACTTGAAAAAAAATTTTTTTAAAGAAATTTGAAAACCATACATTATTATAAGTAATATACACTTCAACGTATATTAATTATAATAAAATCTTGTACTTAAAGTAAGGAATAAAAAAAGGTAAAAACAAACGTAAATGTTTGTGAAGTTGTTTTTTCAATTTGTTGCAAAACGTGATCCCAAGGTACCATTACTGTTTTTGCTTTAATACGTAATTGTTCAAGCATACTTTTAAGTTGAAGTTCTTGACAGTGCATGTCCTTTAATAAATTAATTTTTAAAGAAATATTTAAAAATGCGGATCAAATTTGTGTGTAAAATAACTGAAAATTTTATCCGCAAGTCTTCTTATCAGCAAGTTTCAAAAATACTATACCCCCAACTTTTGTTATTTCTATAAATTGCGGATAAAAGTTGCGGACTTTTAACAACTCCCCGGTTTTTTGCGGACTTTATTTCTTAAATTATTCCCATATTTTTATTTAAAATTTAAAAAAAAACCTGCAAACTATGCACACAAATATGTACACGTAAAGTTGTGTTTTTCCATTTACTAGACATTGAAAGAATACAAGCTAATTGTAAAACAAAAAGGGAAGAATTATCCCATCTAAGTCCAGTACCAGGAGTTTTATTTCCCTTTCCTTCTTCAGCAATTTTGAAAAAGTGAGAAGGCCAAACATCGATGAAACGGCGACTTGATTGCCTTCAAAAATTAAATTTCAATTTTGGGGACAAATTCTGCGGACAGTTTTTACAAATAAATTTTAAGGTTTCTTACAGATAAAATTTGCGGATTTTTAATTTTTTCGTATAGTTTTTTTGCGCCGGACATTTTTCGCGGATTAAAAAAATTTCCTAAAAATACTTTAATGAAATTTCCTTGTCAAATTGAGTAAAATGACGTGCAACACAAACATTTTTATTGAGATTGATTATATCGTTGAGTATTTGGACATATTCTAAAGCTTCTAGACGTGTTGCTGAATTGGTTGAAGAAATATCATTTCCTTCCAAAGAATTCTGAAAAAAAGAGAAAAATGACTTTTAAAAAATCAAAAATTATTTTCGGAATCAAAAAATTTTTTAAAAAAAGGCCAAAAGGGTCCTTTTGCTTTACGTTCCCAAAAAGTCCGCAAATATTGTCCGCAAGTTATATTATTTATTTTTTCAAAAAAGGAATTTATATAAAGGAGCATAAGGGAGGGGACTAATTTTTATGTGTAAAATCAATTATTCTTTCAGGTAAAAAACAAAAAAATTTTTCTTACGAAATTTGGAGGAAAATCACTAGCAGTAAAATATTCAACAACTTCAGTTCTTCCAATTTTAGAAAATTTTAATTCTTTGAGTAAATGTGTTTCAGAAAGTATAGGTTCACACGGCTTTTCTTCATGAAAGCCTAAAATAACTGTATTTGGTTTCATTGCCCCAAGTCCACTTAAACGGGTTAACTAAAAGGATGAAATTAAAAAATTATTTTTTCATAAATATACTTGTTGTATTCCAATACGTACATCATCTGTCAATGTTAATTCAACAAATGCTTTTAATTTTAAGTAGTCGACAAGAGATAGCCAGTATGGGAAAACCTTTAATAAATTAATTTTAAATTAAAAAATATTTCTATCGTTAAGGAAAGTCCGAAAATAATTTTTACCATTTTAAAATATTTTCGGGGTAAATATTGGACCAAAGAAAAATTTTGGTCACTTTAGTGTAGTTGGGTTTATTGGAAAGGTTCGAATACTTCTCGTAGTTTTCAAAGGCATAAATTTAACCAAGAACAAGTTTATTTCATTAAAAAAATTTTGTGTAGAATTTTAAAAAACATTTTTTAAGAATTTTAAATATTTTGGGGTTGGATATGGGATTAACGTGGGAAATTGGTCACCTTAGTGTAGTGGATTAATATCTTGACTAGAACCCAAATCTGAGGAGAGTTCGGATCCCTTCGAGGGATTTTTCAAAACTTTAAATTTGATTTCCAATCTATTAAATTATTTTTAGACTCTTTAAATGTTAAAAAATATTTAAAAAAAACCTGTTGTAACGGATCCATTGTTTGCTGAGATTGTTTACTTAAATCACCTCCCCTATTACTTAATTTACATCCCCCCATATCTCCTCTTTGTACATGTCCAATAACATATAATCCACTCTTTTTTATATCATTAACAAAATCCATAAGAGAAAAACAGGTAGCTGGGCGATTGACCAAAAGTAAAATTTGTGGACGCCAAAATCTGAATTTTTTGGGAAGAAAAATTAATTTTTAACAGATTTATTTAAAATTACTTGACATGTTCTTTTCGTATATCCAACAATAATAAATATTTTCGTACTTGGTGATATATTAGTGCTTGGGAAATTGAACCCCATGAACCAATTGGAGCCTTTAAAAAATTTTTTTAAAGTTATAATTAGAATGGGGGAGGGGGTAAAAGGTTTCAGCCACAAGGATACGCTCGTGGTTCAGCGGGTGTGCCAGTTTTGGTCTTCGCAATTTTAAAGTAAGCTTCGGACCAAGAGCTGTTTCGAAATTTCAAGGTTTTTTCGATTTTGACTTTTTGGCGATATCTTCGAATTTCGAAGATTATTATGTTTCGAAACAGCTCTGTTCGGCACATTCTTGATCCAATCGGAAACCCTATTGTTCGGGGATTTAGAATCAATATGAAAGTTTCCTCAGAACTACACACAAAAATAAATAAACCTGATAATGCAAAATCATAATTAACAACATAAGCATTACTACAGCAGCAGCAGATATAGAAGTGTCAATAACTAACATCATTATAACCTTTAAAATTTTTTTTCAAAATTTAAAAATTCAAAAAATAACCGTAGAAAGAGCTCCCAAAGCACATGTATGCCAAGAAAAATATTTGAAATTTGGACGGAAATTGGGAGCGCTCGTCAATTCTAATGCAAGTGTAGCGATGTTGACACCCATATAAGAAAGTAGGAAAAGAATTGAAGTTATCTAAAAAGAATTTTTTTGGAAAAATTTTTTGAAAGAAAAAACCTTTGCAATTCTATTCATTGCTCCAATCATTAAAACAAACTAAAAATAAATTTATTTAGAAAATTTAATAAAAAACTAAAAAACTTACAACAACGCCAACCCAAGAGATTATAACAGAAATGAGCGGATTACGTTTAGAACCAAATTCTAGTGTTGCTGGTTTTAATAAATTTCCAAAGAGTTTGTCCTTTAAAATTTAAATCTCGTTTGAATAAAAGATTTTATATTTGTCCGTAAGAAATGCCCGCAAAAAAGTCTGAAAAAATATCAAAAAAAACTCCGAAAAAATATCCACAAAGAAAAAGTCGTCCGCAAAATTTTTTAAAATAAATATTAAAAACCTGAGCAAATCTAGTCAAAACTCTAGAAGCTCCAATTAAATTGCTCATTGAAGAAAAGAAAGTAGCAGCAAAAATCCCAAGCATTAAAATTGACGGAACTACACTTATATCAACCATAACCATATAATCTTGTTGAAGAAGTTTACGAGAGCAGGAGAGGCAAAGAAGGAATGTTGTGAAAACTTTGAAAGAGAAAAATTAAGATATAATTTTTAGACTTCCACCACCATTAGTGTATTTTTATAACGCGTGGTTACTCATAAATAAATAATTTTTTTCTACAAAAAAGATAATTGTAAAAATGAATTGTATTTTTGCGGACATTTTTACCCGCATTTTTAAATTAAAAAACTTTCCCCTCCGTCTAAAAACAAACCATAAGTAAATAAAGTTGTAAAAACAGCCTGTAAAGTTCCTCTAGGAATAGAAACATTTGGGCGTGCCAATTCACCAGACATATTTGCACCAGCCATTAAACCTGTTACACCAGAAAAAATTATTGCAAACATAAAGGCAAAATCTAAAAAAATAAAAAATTCACAAAATGAAAATTCTTATATTTGTAGCCCTCTCATATTTTTCTTAACATATTTCCCTCCTTCAAGGGTGCATAAAAGGGGTTAAGGGCATGTCAGGTCCTCTTAAAATAAGAATAACGGAAAAAGTTTGGAGGAAAATAACTGGAAAAAGCTATAGGTTCAAAAAGTTGCCGTTGTGATGAGGGAAAATTTGTTGGTGAATTAAAAAGTGATTAGAATTTCCCAAAAAACATTTTTTAACCTGTCTTGTGTCCAGTTGTATAGTCAATTGTGAAATTAGACATTAAATTTTCAGTAAATGTTGAAACACTGAAAAACTTTAAATTTAAAAATTAATCCAAAAAACCTAAAAGAAGTGTATTGTGCCGTTATTGTCTGATTTAATTGAACAATTAATTCACTTGCTGGATCTGTAGCATTTTTAGGTACCATATAAGCATATGTGTTGTCGAAAGGTATTCGGATTTCGCTTGGAGAACGAACAAAGATCTTTGGAAAAAAATTTTTTATTTAATGTAAGAAAAGTTTTGTGACGCTTCATGGCAGTGACGCTTCGTACATTACCACTGTAATGTAGGTATCTAAACTAAGGATGGGATGGATTGAGAAAAAATCGGATCAGTCATGGGTCCATGTTTCAGGCTCATCCCAGATAGCACATAAACTTTTGCCTGAGCGTTTTAAATCCCATAAAAACTAGCTCATCTCCTAACTAAATTAATGTTCACAACAATTTTCTACCATTTTAGATTTGCCAAAATTTAACAAAAAAATTTCATTGGTCGTTAAAAGCCCTTCCCACTAATTTGAAAAATTAAAAGAAACCGTAAATAAAAAAGAGCAAAAAGCCAAAACAATTAAGAAAAGAGCCAACAAAGCAGTTCTAGCAAACCAATCAGACCCTAACAAACACAACATTAAAATAATTATGCTGACAAAAACACAATGAATAAATTTTCCGCCAAACATGTCTCCAATTCCTAAAAATAATTTTTTTAATTAAAAAAATTTTTTAGGGGGCAATTCAGGACTTTTGGCACAAAATTCTGGGAAAAGGTCGATTCAGAGTCGCCAATTCAGAGTCGCCGATTCAGAGTAGCCGATTCAGAGTAGGGACTTTTTTTTGTTAGAGTAGGGACAATTCAGACGTCAGAGTAGGGACAATGAGACGTCAGAGTAGGGACAATTCAGAGTAGCCGATTCAGAGTACGGGGAAAAGGGGACGATTCAGAGTACATAAATTTTCAGACACAGAAAATCAGTTTTTCTTGCGAATTTTCTGGTTTTTCTTACTTTCTTCGATCTGAGGAACATTTTAAGAGCTAGCCGAGTCTTGACTCTAGGCTTTTCTTAGGCTTTTTCGGCCTTAGGGTAAAGATTTGGCCTCAACTTTTTTTCTTCAGGGAGCAAAATTTTAATAAAAAGATGAATCAAATACACAAAAATTTATCAAAAAATACATAAATAAGTCATTGTCTCGTTTCACTCATTAGATTTGTGGCCCTAAACAGGGCCGTTTGGGGACAAAAAATTTCAAAAAAAATTTCAAAATATAAAACAAAAATTTTTTTTTAAAAAACCTCGCAAAATAGAGTAGAAACTTCGTCGATTTAAGTTTTTGCAAGTTTTTGCAGAAATTTAAAAAATTCAAAAAAATTTTAAAAATTTTAAATTTTTATTAAAAATTAATTTCTGTCATTAACTAATTGCGTTGGTTGTGCAAATTGATGTTTTCTCTCTAGAACAATAAAAGGAAACAAAAAAGAATAAAAAGCAAAAAAAAATAAATCAATTCCTTTCCAAAAATCTCGATTTTTAGGGTATTTTATTCTACGTACTCTGAATCGTCCCCTTTTCCACGTACTCTGAATTGGCTACTCTGAATAGTCCCTACTCTGAATCGGCTACTCTGAATTGGCGACTCTGAATCGGCGACTCTGAGTCGTCCCCTACCCCAAAATTCTTGTTTCAAGTAAATTTTGGTGTAGTGGGTTAACGCCTTGTCCACAAAGGAAATATGGGGAGGGTTCGAACCCGTTGGGTGGATTTTTATATTTTTCGGATTAATAAACGAAAAACACAATTTTATTACAAAAATCATCCCTTTTAAAAATGATTTTTTAAATTAAAAAACCTGTAACATTAGTTAAAGCTTCAGTAAATCCAGCAATATATAGAGCACAAGAAAATACATTTGCCATAAAAAATAGAAGACCAACACTTCCTCCAAATTCTGGGCCAAGAGTTCTACTTATCATATCTAAAGTTTAATTAAAAAATTTAGTAAAGAATGGTGAAGGTATTTTGAGAGAAGTCATTTAATAAGTAACTCCTCTTGGTTTTTACTTTTACTAAAATTGTTCATGATAGGTTAATTTTTGCCTGTGGCGGTTGATGCTTGTGCTTCTTCAATTGAACCAGCACAAGCAAAAATTAATAGTTGAACTACTTTTGGAGCTGTGGAATGCAGAGGAGTAACAATTTTCATAATAAACTTCTCCGTCTTCCACAGCTCCATAGGTCGTAAATACTTTTTACTCTTTCAAAAAAATTTTCTTCGCCCTTACAAGATTCGTGGAATAGTTATGTATGTCTATTGCAGTAATAAATAGCAAAAGATTTAAAAAATTAATTTTAACTCAAAAATTAAATAAAAATACATACAATAAACTCCTCCACCCTCAACAGCTCCATTAGAAGAAACAGCACAAAGAGAAAGGACAGTTAACAAAATTATACCTTTAAAAGATTAAATTTTTTAAAAATATAATTAAAAATAAAAATACATTTTAAACTCATTATAAGGTAGCCCTCTTGACGCTGACTATTTTATAATGAGATAGCCCCCTCCTCTTTTAACCCTACCCACTGGTTACGGCTCTAGACTAGGGGTAATTCGTCTCCAACCCAGTGGATATAAAAAAGCCGGACTAAATTTTAATATTTTTTGATTGATTCAACACAGTAAAAAATAAAAATGAACGGTGAGAACTAGGAACAGAGAAGAAAAATAGGAAGGAAAGGCAAGATTCGGCACTAAATACACATGTTTGGGCATTATATAAATTTCAATTATAATAAAAAATTTAAAAAAACCATAAGCCATAAACAATTCCACAACAGTTAAAACAAATCCAAGTTGACCAGCAGAAAAGCCTTTGAATTAAAAAAAAATTAATTTTTAAAAGGGAAATGAGATATGGCGATAGAAAAGACGAAAATAAAATGTTAAAAATTAAAAAAAACCCATTCGAAGAAAAAGCAATGCAGAAAACATTGAAATTGTAACAGGAGCGAAGACACCCGAAAATGTTGACAATCCATTGGGTGCTTTTGGCATTATTGAATCAAAATCTGTTTGTTAATTTTTAAGTGAAAAAATATTGGTAAAAAATAAAAGAATTGTTAGAAAAAAAATTTGGGAAAAATTAGAAGAGGGGAAAAGATAGAATTTTGGGTAAATTAAATTTATTAAAATGCAAGTCTGGGGAAAATGAAACCCATAAAGAGATAATCAATTTTAATAACTTTAGAGTCATAAAAGGAAAAATAAAAACTGCGAGCAAAAATTAACAAAACATTTCGGGAGTGACGCATGAGAATTTTTATATAGAAAAATCGCGATTCCCGATACCCAAAAATTGCAAAATTTAAAGAGGTTTAGTTTAATTCCGGAGATTATTTGAATGAAAATTTTTTGTGTTTTTGGCATTATTGAACTTCTAACAAAACCCAAGAATTTGTTAGAAGTTTTTTTGAAAAAAATAAAGGGTAAATTGCAAAGTTTCTGAAAAATATTAGAGCCCTGACAGATTTTTTAGTCCCAAAAACAGTCTAAATGTTAGATATAAAAGATGATATTAACAGTTTAAATAGACAAAACATTTCGGGAGTGACGGATTCACTAAAGGTTATTGGCCTATACAGGGTTTGCAGCCCGGTTAACCAATTGTGAACAATCCTAATTTTAATCCTCTAATCCTTAATAATAATTTAAGAGAGAAGAGGAAAAAAAGGTTGAATTTAACAGTGACAGAGCAAAAAATAAATAAAAAGCTTTAAAAAAGTAAAATAATAAAACCTGTCGATTGAACACAATTATTTGTATTATTTGCTTTATTCCTTTCAATAATAACCGAATTATTTCCAACACTTTCCAAATTTAAAGCGTTCGAAGCGTGGTAATCAGGAGAGGTTGGTTGTTCTTCAAGTATTCCATAGGGAGGAATTCGTAAATTTGCTGCAGAAATTTGTGTTCTTCTTTCGTCTTCCACAATCATTTTAAAGAATTAAAAGAGTTAAAAGAATTGTTAGTTAACCTTTAAAAAAAATTTTTATTAAAAAAATTTTTAAATAAAAAACCTGAACAAACAAAAATGAGTAAAAAAAGCCTTTTACCTTTACACGTGACTAATTTTTAATTTAAAGAGAATCGACTTTTAGTCAAAAAATCTTTCCAAATAAGGCGAGGGACGATGAAGTATCGGAACTGTGCGCAATGGCGTTTAACCGATTTTTGGCGTTTGGCTGAGCGCCACGCGAACAGCTTTGGCGCTCAGCCAAGTTCAATTAAGGCCGATTCAACTCAAGGCCATATTTTGGGCTGTAACTCTTTTAATTCTTAACCGATTTAAATAATTATTACGTCAATCGAAAGCTCTGAATGTGAGGATTATTTTAGCTAACAGGATTGATTTTATCAAATCATTGTAGAAAAAGTTACATTTGGATAAGTGTGCGCAATCGTGATTATTGATCCTTATTCGATTTTAACTCAATTCAGCTGTTTTCTTTTACAAAAAACGTTAATTAAGTCAAATCTCGGGTATTGTGACTTATAGCGGGTTTTTTGTTTCTGAACCGATTTCGACAAATGAGGTGTCATTCGAAAGAGCTTCGAAAACTGAGTCGAACTAGATACGGGGGAAGTTGATCCGACAATCAGGGGCCGAGTTACAGACCCCTGAAGTTTGAAAAAGAGAAGGGGGGAGTAAGCTCATTTTGGGGTGAGAAATTCGAAAATGCAAATAATAGCTCATTCGACTCAGCTCGACGAGCTGAGTCGAATGGCACCAAGATCACCGAAATCCGACTTCATTTGACAAAGTTATGATCGTTTGTTTTAGCTCCATACCTATGGTCTATGTGGAGGTTTTTGCTGCTACGGAGGCCCAATTATGTCCAGAACAAGGGAAATAAGAATAGGTTTATGTTACGAGCCCAGACCCAGCGCCCGTAGACTCCCCGCGAGGCGCGTGCCGCAAAACCCCGCGCGAAGCGCGGGGTTTTGCACAAGCGCCTCGCCGACGCTCCATAGGTTTATGTTGACCATTTTGAACCCGTTTATCTTGGCTCAGAATCAAGATATCGAGCTGATTTTGGTGTTATTCGACTCAGCTCGTCGAAAGGAGTCGAATGAGCTATTATTTGCATTTTCGAATTTTTCACCCCAAAATGAGCTTACTCCCCCCTTCTCTTTTTCAAATTTCAGGGGTCTGTAACTCGGCCCCTGATTGTCGGATCGACTTCCCCCGTATCTAGTTCGACTCAGTTTTTGAAGCTCTTTCGAATGACACCTCATTTGTCGAAATCGGTTCAAAAACAAAAAACCCGCTATAAGTCACAACATTCCAAATTTTAGTTGACTCATTCAACTTTGAAATAAGTCTTTTTTGTGGAAATGTTTTATTTGGATTTTATGTCATTTAAAAAAATTAATATTTTTCTCTAACATTCTCCTTGTTTTAAGTACTTTCTCGTCAATTTTTACTTGTAACTGAGGATTCTCTCCACCATATTTTGCCAAAACATGTTTTGCCAATTGGTTAAAAATTCACTTTTTGCCAACAAGGTGTGTTGGTAAAACGTCCGTTTTTACCTTTATTGGCAGAATGTGAATTTGGCAGAATATGGAGAAGCCATCAGATTTTCTGGGATTTGTTTTTGGGGATTTTTAAGCTTATGCTGATTTTTATTGAAAATTTTTATTTTAGGGATATTGATTCTCCTAGAAAAATATTTAAAAAAAATTTGCTTACAAAAATGGATTTACCACCCTCAAAATTGGCGAGTACCGCATCACGTGTTTGGGACGAGAGCACTAGTCACTTTCACAAAACTGATATAAATATTGATCTCGGACTTCATGGACTTTCAGATAACAAAAATGGGAATGAAAATTCACCCAATAAACCGACGTCGTCTTCTGGCATTTCTTCTGGATATGTTTTTGGTTCGAGGCTTTTTGAACGAGCGGCGCAAAAGGTTTGAAATTTTGTTTGGGTTTAATTGGGGTTCGATATGAGTATATGTTTTTCATTTTGACGAGGGCCAGGCTGGGTTTCGGTTTTATAAAGGCGTTTTAACTCTTGGTCTTGAGTCTTGATTCAGGACCTTGAGGGTTTTTCGGTTTTGGACTTCTTCAATAAGTTTAAACTCGTTAAACCTCAATTTTCTGGACCCCAATTCTCCCTCAACTTACTTTAATCCTTTTTGGTCTATCTAGTTGCTAGTAGGGTGACCCTTTCCAAATAGGGCAATCGGTCAAAAATAGTGCATATGCCCTATAAATGAGGTAAAATGGTCACCCTGGTTGCTAAAAGCTATTAAATAATGATCGTGGGAGGAAATACAAATGCGACACCAAAGTATAAACTTCCCACATTTTCCTTAAATATTAAATTAAACTTCATTTTTTGTAGGAAGACTCAGCTGGTTCAACTTCAAGTTCTTCAGAAAATTCTAAAACAACTCCTGATGTCTCTTCTATTTTTCGACGGGTTGGTCAAAAGATGTCGAGTTCTAACAATGCAAATGGAACAAATATGGTGTTTATTTTTTGGATTCTAATAAACGCCCATTTTTAGTGGAAAACTGGAAGTGGATTTTCCTCGTTTAAGACAAATGGAGGCAATGGAGAAGCTCCTGATTCTTCCTCTTCTATCGATAAATTAAAAGACCATGTAAGTTTATATGGCTCCATACTTGGTGATAGTATCGTATGATGACCCTATATATGACCCCTCATGTGGTGCTATAATCCTAATACCCCCATATTCTAGTATATAAAGAACTAAGTAACCATATGCAAGTTTATATGGATCCGTAATGGGGAATATATCCATGTTTTATACTATAAAATAGTAGATAAAGAAAATAGAACGTCAAAACTTCATGCGGTTTTTTAAATTCATGAATGGGTTGAATTAATAATTCCCCTCCCTCGAATAATTCCCCTCCCTCGATTAATTCCCCATGCCACGGATGGGTTGAAAAAATAATTCCCCAGGGGAATTAATCGAGTAAATACGGTATCCTAACAGATAAAGTACTAGTCGGTGGTGGGATCTCCGAATTTTCCTTGGATCGGAGATGCTTTCCTAATCAAATTCTATCCAATTTTTTTTGCTAATTTTCTGGGATGGAGCTGTTCTATTAAATTTTATTTTTCAATATTTCAGTACTTATTCAAGACGTCAACGTGTAATAATACGTAATAGAGCTGAACGTGTTAGTGAACTTTTGGATTGGAAAACACTTGGAGGGGTAAAAAATAAAGAGATTTTTTTGAAAATTAGAACATTTCTTCCTCTTTTTTTAGTTGTATCGCGAAGCTCGTCGAATGGCATTAAAAAAGATTTATCCAGATTTGGAAATGAGAACTTCAGAATTGTTGGCAAAAATGCCACGTCCTTTATCCGCTTCGAGCACACCAGTTCATAGCGATTTAGAAACTGATTCTGACACTGAGGAACAACAAGAACACGAGGTGAGGAGGGAGAGAGAAAAGATAATTTATTCAAAGAAGTTTTTTTGAGTTTAATTAATCGGAGACGGTTCCAAGAAAGCTGGGAGGGCTGTATTTCTGAATTTTGTTTAGAAGAATTTTTTTCTGAATTAAATTAGATTTTGGAATTTTAAAGCTCTAAAAATGAATTTTATAATCCCTCAAAAATTTTTTACAGAAAGACTGGAATTTGATAATTTTATAATCCAGTATTTTATCCATATCTTATATACTACCTTTAGTCATAACAAATCAGAAAACCCCTGCAAAAATATTTTTTTATTTTAATTTCTCTTTTAATTTTGTAGAATTTGGCCTGGAATGATGCTTCCTAAAGAAACCTGTTGTTTTTTGATAGGGTAATAATTAAAAGATTAATTAGTTTATATACTAAAGTGACACATTTCTATTTTATAATTAATTTCTAGTGACTTAATAATTTTTTAAAAATTTTTTATAAGCTCAATTATGTACAGTCGAATATATCCATGTTTTATACTATTTTATAGTATAAAACATGGATATATTCCCCATTACGGATCCATATAAACTTGCATATGGTTACTTAGTTCTTTATATACTAGAATATGGGGGTATTAGGATTATAGCACCACATGAGGGGTCATATATAGGGTCATCATACGATACTATCACCAAGTATGGAGCCATATAAACTTACATGGTTGTACTTTATATGTATATTATTTTTTGTACCATCGCATTATCTCACAACATTCTATTCTTCTTGGGCTATCTTTTTGCTTACCCCAAAAATTACACATGGGTCAAAGTAGTATATTTGCTGATAAAGTATTAAATTAATACAAGCAAACTATTTGAATAAAATCTCGACTCCTTCATCCCCTGATACCCTTTCTTATATACGTTCAAATCCTCTAATATTCCTGATATCCGTGCAAATTCACTGCTATCCTCTAATCCTCCGATACTTATGCTATAAATCAAATTCATTTAACCTTTCACAGCTTTTAAATACTCTGATCCATGTGTACACGACTCTCGACTCACTCGACTGTTCAGATGACGATAAGATTGCTTGTTTCAAACCCGATAGTAGTTTTGAGGGAGGGGAATTATTCAAGGGAGGGGAATTATTGTTTCAACCCATCCGTGGTCATATATAGGGTCATCATATATAGGGTCATCAACCCATCCGTGGCATGGGGAATTAATCGAGGGAGGGGAATTAATCGAGTAAATACGGTAAAACTAATTTTCAGGCCTGCTTAATTTACGAAAAATGGATTTAAAGAGAGAGATGCTTGCCCTCAAGAGCAAGATAAATTTAAAAATTTTTCAATTTCTGAGGGCTCAAACAGTACGAATTAGATTTCATTGAAGCTCTTTATTTTATGAATTTGCTTCTCGTATCAGACATTTTAATCATCATCGCCCATTAAAATTTTATGGAAAAAATTCCCTTAAATTCTAAAGACAAATCCACTTAACCACACAGAATAACAATAAGGCTGCAATAAATTAATGATATATTGTGACAATATAGGGCCCATTCTTAGGAATAAATAAAATAAAACGGCCAATCCATCTCTCACAACCAGAAAATAGCTGGATAGGGCCTAATCTGAACTCTTAAATAAAAGGGTAGTTAACCGATCACAGGTTTTTTAATGCGTTTGTAAGGAAAACTACGCAAGCCTTACACAAGACATTTTAAACTACAATCTTCAAACAAAATATGTAAACTCACCAATAATTAAACAAAACTTGTGACAATTGTCGAATAGATTCATTTGAAGTTTTATTTTTTCTGTCAACAATATAAAGACCGTAATTGTCATGGTCTGGAATTTGTTTTTCTATAAAAGAACCAAATCCTGATAAATTTGTTGTTACTGATGGTACTCCCATTACAGTACATTCGGCTAGAAAAATAAAGAAGAGTCAGACCTCAATATAAGATACCCTCTTGAGATTGAAAAATCATACCTTATAATTATTTAAGATACACCTAATTATAAGGTATGATTTTTCAATCTCAAGAGGGTATCTTATATTGAGGTCTGACTCTTCTTTATTTTTCTAGCCGAATGTACTGTAATGGGAGTACCATCAGTAACAACAAATTTATCAGGATTTGGTTCTTTTATAGAAAAACAAATTCCAGACCATGACAATTACGGTCTTTATATTGTTGACAGAAAAAATAAAACTTCAAATGAATCTATTCGACAATTGTCACAAGTTTTGTTTAATTATTGGTGAGTTTACATATTTTGTTTGAAGATTGTAGTTTAAAATGTCTTGTGTAAGGCTTGCGTAGTTTTCCTTACAAACGCATTAAAAAACCTGTGATCGGTTAACTACCCTTTTATTTAAGAGTTCAGATTAGGCCCTATCCAGCTATTTTCTGGTTGTGAGAGATGGATTGGCCGTTTTATTTTATTTATTCCTAAGAATGGGCCCTATATTGTCACAATATATCATTAATTTATTGCAGCCTTATTGTTATTCTGTGTGGTTAAGTGGATTTGTCTTTAGAATTTAAGGGAATTTTTTCCATAAAATTTTAATGGGCGATGATGATTAAAATGTCTGATACGAGAAGCAAATTCATAAAATAAAGAGCTTCAATGAAATCTAATTCGTACTGTTTGAGCCCTCAGAAATTGAAAAATTTTTAAATTTATCTTGCTCTTGAGGGCAAGCATCTCTCTCTTTAAATCCATTTTTCGTAAATTAAGCAGGCCTGAAAATTAGTTTTACCGTATTTACTCGATTAATTCCCCTCCCTCGATTAATTCCCCATGCCACGGATGGGTTGATGACCCTATATATGATGACCCTATATATGACCACGGATGGGTTGAAACAATAATTCCCCTCCCTTGAATAATTCCCCTCCCTCAAAACTACTATCGGGTTTGAAACAAGCAATCTTATCGTCATCTGAACAGTCGAGTGAGTCGAGAGTCGTGTACACATGGATCAGAGTATTTAAAAGCTGTGAAAGGTTAAATGAATTTGATTTATAGCATAAGTATCGGAGGATTAGAGGATAGCAGTGAATTTGCACGGATATCAGGAATATTAGAGGATTTGAACGTATATAAGAAAGGGTATCAGGGGATGAAGGAGTCGAGATTTTATTCAAATAGTTTGCTTGTATTAATTTAATACTTTATCAGCAAATATACTACTTTGACCCATGTGTAATTTTTGGGGTAAGCAAAAAGATAGCCCAAGAAGAATAGAATGTTGTGAGATAATGCGATGGTACAAAAAATAATATACATATAAAGTACAACCATGTAAGTTTATATGGCTCCATACTTGGTGATAGTATCGTATGATGACCCTATATATGACCCCTCATGTGGTGCTATAATCCTAATACCCCCATATTCTAGTATATAAAGAACTAAGTAACCATATGCAAGTTTATATGGATCCGTAATGGGGAATATATCCATGTTTTATACTATAAAATAGTATAAAACATGGATATATTCGACTGTACATAATTGAGCTTATAAAAAATTTTTAAAAAATTATTAAGTCACTAGAAATTAATTATAAAATAGAAATGTGTCACTTTAGTATATAAACTAATTAATCTTTTAATTATTACCCTATCAAAAAACAACAGGTTTCTTTAGGAAGCATCATTCCAGGCCAAATTCTACAAAATTAAAAGAGAAATTAAAATAAAAAAATATTTTTGCAGGGGTTTTCTGATTTGTTATGACTAAAGGTAGTATATAAGATATGGATAAAATACTGGATTATAAAATTATCAAATTCCAGTCTTTCTGTAAAAAATTTTTGAGGGATTATAAAATTCATTTTTAGAGCTTTAAAATTCCAAAATCTAATTTAATTCAGAAAAAAATTCTTCTAAACAAAATTCAGAAATACAGCCCTCCCAGCTTTCTTGGAACCGTCTCCGATTAATTAAACTCAAAAAAACTTCTTTGAATAAATTATCTTTTCTCTCTCCCTCCTCACCTCGTGTTCTTGTTGTTCCTCAGTGTCAGAATCAGTTTCTAAATCGCTATGAACTGGTGTGCTCGAAGCGGATAAAGGACGTGGCATTTTTGCCAACAATTCTGAAGTTCTCATTTCCAAATCTGGATAAATCTTTTTTAATGCCATTCGACGAGCTTCGCGATACAACTAAAAAAAGAGGAAGAAATGTTCTAATTTTCAAAAAAATCTCTTTATTTTTTACCCCTCCAAGTGTTTTCCAATCCAAAAGTTCACTAACACGTTCAGCTCTATTACGTATTATTACACGTTGACGTCTTGAATAAGTACTGAAATATTGAAAAATAAAATTTAATAGAACAGCTCCATCCCAGAAAATTAGCAAAAAAAATTGGATAGAATTTGATTAGGAAAGCATCTCCGATCCAAGGAAAATTCGGAGATCCCACCACCGACTAGTACTTTATCTGTTAGGATACCGTATTTACTCGATTAATTCCCCTGGGGAATTATTTTTTCAACCCATCCGTGGCATGGGGAATTAATCGAGGGAGGGGAATTATTCGAGGGAGGGGAATTATTAATTCAACCCATTCATGAATTTAAAAAACCGCATGAAGTTTTGACGTTCTATTTTCTTTATCTACTATTTTATAGTATAAAACATGGATATATTCCCCATTACGGATCCATATAAACTTGCATATGGTTACTTAGTTCTTTATATACTAGAATATGGGGGTATTAGGATTATAGCACCACATGAGGGGTCATATATAGGGTCATCATACGATACTATCACCAAGTATGGAGCCATATAAACTTACATGGTTGTACTTTATATGTATATTATTTTTTGTACCATCGCATTATCTCACAACATTCTATTCTTCTTGGGCTATCTTTTTGCTTACCCCAAAAATTACACATGGGTCAAAGTAGTATATTTGCTGATAAAGTATTAAATTAATACAAGCAAACTATTTGAATAAAATCTCGACTCCTTCATCCCCTGATACCCTTTCTTATATACGTTCAAATCCTCTAATATTCCTGATATCCGTGCAAATTCACTGCTATCCTCTAATCCTCCGATACTTATGCTATAAATCAAATTCATTTAACCTTTCACAGCTTTTAAATACTCTGATCCATGTGTACACGACTCTCGACTCACTCGACTGTTCAGATGACGATAAGATTGCTTGTTTCAAACCCGATAGTAGTTTTGAGGGAGGGGAATTATTCAAGGGAGGGGAATTATTGTTTCAACCCATCCGTGGTCATATATAGGGTCATCATATATAGGGTCATCAACCCATCCGTGGCATGGGGAATTAATCGAGGGAGGGGAATTAATCGAGTAAATACGGTAAAACTAATTTTCAGGCCTGCTTAATTTACGAAAAATGGATTTAAAGAGAGAGATGCTTGCCCTCAAGAGCAAGATAAATTTAAAAATTTTTCAATTTCTGAGGGCTCAAACAGTACGAATTAGATTTCATTGAAGCTCTTTATTTTATGAATTTGCTTCTCGTATCAGACATTTTAATCATCATCGCCCATTAAAATTTTATGGAAAAAATTCCCTTAAATTCTAAAGACAAATCCACTTAACCACACAGAATAACAATAAGGCTGCAATAAATTAATGATATATTGTGACAATATAGGGCCCATTCTTAGGAATAAATAAAATAAAACGGCCAATCCATCTCTCACAACCAGAAAATAGCTGGATAGGGCCTAATCTGAACTCTTAAATAAAAGGGTAGTTAACCGATCACAGGTTTTTTAATGCGTTTGTAAGGAAAACTACGCAAGCCTTACACAAGACATTTTAAACTACAATCTTCAAACAAAATATGTAAACTCACCAATAATTAAACAAAACTTGTGACAATTGTCGAATAGATTCATTTGAAGTTTTATTTTTTCTGTCAACAATATAAAGACCGTAATTGTCATGGTCTGGAATTTGTTTTTCTATAAAAGAACCAAATCCTGATAAATTTGTTGTTACTGATGGTACTCCCATTACAGTACATTCGGCTAGAAAAATAAAGAAGAGTCAGACCTCAATATAAGATACCCTCTTGAGATTGAAAAATCATACCTTATAATTAGGTGTATCTTAAATAGAGGCTTTATCAAGAATGTACCCTTCACACACAACAAAGGTTCCCCTCACATTACATCTCCCCGGGGTATTATTCACCTCACACAGTCACCAACTAAATTTTAAAAAGTGTTTCTTAAATAGAGGTGTATCTAATATTGAGGGTATCTTATAGCGAGGTCATTGTATAAAAAATTATTTAATCAAAATAATTACCGGGTGTATATCCCCACGGTTCATAATAAGAAGGAAACACTCCCAAATGACATCCGCGAACAAAATCTTCATAATCTAGCCCAATAAGAGGCGAAACAGAACTGAGAAATTCTGGGTGGAAAACAACCTAAAAGTAAAAAAAAATTATTTTTTTTTAACAAAATTTAACGCAAATTAATCACTCAAAATTAATTTTCCAAAAACTCTTGAAAAAACAAAAAAAGTTAAGGATTCTCTTCATCCTGTGTTTAAAATAGGGATGTATCAGGTTACCCTTCACGAACTTTTTATTCTGGTTTAGAAGTTAAGGTTGTTTTTTAAGCGAAATTTATGAAAAATTAAGTGAGCTCCACAAAAAAGTTTGATAATAAAAATCCAAGAGAAGAAGAGTAGGATAAGGATTTATTGTTAGTCTGTTTATTGTTAGTCCTCTTCTCAATTCTTAAATATCGCCCCATCCCCCTCATATATTTATGTACTCAACTATCTGGTCGTGGCCCATTTACAAGACTCCCATTATTTTTCTATTTCCACCCTTAAAATTAAAAAAATCCTCCAAACCTTAACCCTATCATGATCATAATTAAAAAGTTGGCATCGTCTAAATGCATTCAAAACTGGATCGGAAACGTCATCAACCATATTGTGAGTACAAATTGGTGGAAGAGTGTCACGCTTTGAAGAAAGAATACAACGTTTTAATTGTACACGCTCTGCAGGCAATAATAATTCTTCCATGTCTGGAATTCGTCCTCTAAAAAAAATTTTAGAAGTATTTTTATTTAGTTTTGGGTTCATAAAAATTCTCGATTTTCAAATTTTTAATCTTAAAATTATACAATCTCCGGGCTCAGAAAAATCATACCTCTACCCCCTTATAATGGGGGTATCATAAATTGGGGGTATTTTAAATATTTATTATTGAAGGGGGAGCGGAGGGGCCAGCTGTATTTTTAATTATAAATCGGTCAAATAAATCCAAAAAAACCTCAAACACGAATCAAAAAGCCTCGAAGCCATATTCTCCTTCAATTTAACTATAGTTTCTCGCAATTGTTTACAACTTTAAAAGGAAATCTGAATAAAAACAAAATCTTAAATTAATTTACACAGCCTGTCCACGCAAAGTATCAACATTAAAAGAGTGAGCTGCTGCAGGATAAATGATGAAAGCTACAACGGTCACTCCACTAACGCGTTTTTCGGTTGATGTCTTAAATTAAAAAAAAATTTTTAAAAAAGGAAAATTTTTTAAGAAATATCCCACATTTTTAACATAAAAATTTGTCCGCAAAATAAATTCTCCAAGCTCGTTGAGCTGAATCGAATACCTAAATTCCTTGAGAAAGAGAAAAGGCAAAGTAGGCATCCCAAGTAGGCATCGATCCTGCAACCCCTTAGCAGTTGGTAGGTGCATTGAAGGTACTCAAGTTCACCAATTTCTTGCTTAATTAATCTTAAATCCCCATAGTAAACGTTTTAAATGCTAACCAACTAGATAACCCTTTTTCCTTACATTATTGAGAACGTTCTGTCCCGTTAGATTTTTTGATAAATTAAAATGACAACCCTAATATCCTCAATTACCATCCGGCAAATTTAAAAAATTTTTTAAATTGAAAAAAACCTGAAGCATATGATTTAAAGAAGCCAATGCTTCAATAAAGAAATCTCCTCCTTTATTGCTAAATTCATAACGTCCAGCAGTAAAAAAGTAGAGAACTTTTTCCAAATCAAAATTCATATGTCTTTAAATAAAAATTTAAATTTAAAAAGTACAAAATTTTAAAAAAATACCCATAAAAATGGCCACGAATAAAATCATGAATTTTCTCTTTATTTTGAGCGTGTAAATTCTGAAATTAAAATAAATAAAAGACCGAAATATTTAAAAACATTTTATGCATAGAACCTCATTATAATATACATCCAATACAAAATACACCTCAACTTAAGATTACTTGGTTGAAGATACCTAGGTAATGACTTTGGGGCTTTCGCCTTTTGATTTCTCGTACTCGAGGTTTCGGCTTTCACTTCTTTAAATCTGCTTCGCCAAACAACTACTCGGGTATGAGGGACAGGCAAACTTTCGTAGGGTGAGGGAACATTACTATACTTCTTATTTAATATACACACATTATAGGACATAATTTTTTAGCCCAAAGAGAATGTCTTATAATGAGGTCCGACTGTATAAAATGCTTACAAATAATTACAAAAAATTTTTTAAAAATTACTTGAAATTCGTGTAATGCAGCAAATTTAACAACATTTAATCCATTTGGAGTGAGAATATCAGGTTTTCGTTTTAACAAATATTCGGCTTCTAATCCAGTGATTTCACTTAAAATTTTTAAGTACTGACTTTTATTTAAAAAATTAAAAAATATGACTTGGATCCCAATAAGTACCATTCACTATTAAATCCAAGAATTTTCTAAAATTTTTGGAGACAAAATTCCACTTATAGAATTGGTACAAACCCCAAATTTATTTAAAAATCAAGAATTTTCAAAATCGAGAATTAATTTTTATGTTGGCAGATCCGTTATACGGAACCAAGAAAAGGAATAATTTCCACAAAAATATTTTTTAAATTAAAATAAAATTCAAAAAACTAACCTAACAGTAGTAAATACATCAGCAATATTAACAGCTGCCCTTTCTAAACAATAACGATGATAAATTTGTAACCTTCCAGCTTCTGCGTCGACATCAAACTTTAATAAAATAAATTTTTTAAAAATTATTTAAAAAAATACATTAGACAAATTATTGTATAAATCAGCTCCAGAAGCACACAAATGTCTGCCTAACAATGTTGCGTGGGTAGTGAGTAAAGTGGCTATTTTGAGCTTCCACATTCTTTAAAAAAATTTTTCTTAAAGAAATGACCCGGAAAACAGAGAAATTGGGATGTTTATGTTATCCAAGTATCTTTTTAAATTTTTGCGGACAAAATTTGTGGACGAGATCAGGAAATAATTTTTTGGGAAATACAACTTTCAAGACAATGAATAAAAAAGAATCATTAGCTTATCCTAATTAAAAATACGTAATAAAATATCCTCAAAGCTTTAAAAAAATATTTTGCGGTCTAATCTGTAAGTCCAAAACTTATAACTTACGGACCTCGTCTGCAAATTTTCACAAATAAAATGGAAAAATAACTAGAAGGAACATAAGATTCGGATTCGTACCATTCTAGCCTTAAATTAAAGAGAAATTCAGGGGAAAGCTGAGAGGATTGCATAACTAAAAATTATACTTTTGTCCGCAAAAAATTTTTCTGCGGACAAACTTTCAATTTCTAAAATTCAACAAAACCAACCTGCACATAATTAACCCAATACCCGATTGCCATTCATGAAAGTGTGCAACAATGTGGGGATCAAAATCTTGTGAAGAATCAACAAATGTTTTTAGAAATATGGCCACCAAAAAGCCAAAAATTATGCAGTCATTGGCCTCTCGATCGAGAAAAGGAACTCCAATTTTACATCTTTCCCAAAGCTTAAAATTGATACAATATTAAAATATTTAAAGTTGTTTCATTTTTGTGGATAAAATTTTATTCGGACAAATATTCGCGAAAGAGGTCAGGATATCCAAATTAGGAAAATAACAAAGAAAACGTCCTCAAATTTTTGAAATATTTTTGCGGACAAAATTTGTGGACGAGTCCATAAAAAATTTTGAGTGAAAAATACAGACCCCTGAATAAAAAATAACAGTAAAAATTATAAAGTCTTAAATTCAAATACATTAAGATCCGAAAAATCGTCCGAAAAACTTAAGAAAGACCCCTAATATATTTTTAAAACAACCTCATGTTTCCAGGTATCCAATTTCCAAGCAGCAGAGCCAATGTCAAAAAGTAAACATTTTGGATATCCATCAATTAACCACCGACCATAAACTACTCTAAATCCCCATTCTGCCATTTGATCGATTGTATATTTTAAATTGGCAGTTTCTGGGTCTAAAATTTCCATTTCAAGACGAACACGTTCTTCAACGAATGGACCCTAAAAATTAAATTTTTATATAAAAAATTGGAATAAATTGGTGACTAAAATAAGAACAAAATAAAGTGAAGAGCTAGGGATAGAGAAAATTTTGTCCGCAAATTTTGCGGACAAAATTTGCGGACAACCCCATAAATATATGAAGCCAGAAAACCCCTAAAGGTAATAGAAAAATAGGTCAGCCGTTTATGGGTAAATTTTGAATGTCGTTTTTTAAATTAAAAAATTGGTATGCGCTCAAAGGCAAAAGGATGACATTTTATCCTATAAAAATATTTTTGCGGACAAGATTTGCGGACGAGTCCATAAAAAATTTTGAGCGAAAAATACAAATAAAAAACGATTCGAAGCATAAAGGAACTGCCAAAAATAACAAATCTTGAACTAAATTTAAAAAATCTGCAAGAAGCGTCCGCAAAAAATTTTTCTGTACGCAAAATTTTGACTCCAAGTTTTTGTGCTACTTTAAAAAATTGAAAAAAAATAATTTAAAAACTAACCATCATGTAATATTGATCCCCTAGTTCATCAGTGCTAATAGGCGCTTTTGTTCGAAGAACAGTGTAAATTCCACCAACTATTTAAAAAATTAATTTAAAAAACCCCCCAAAAATTAAAAAAACCTTTATTAACAACTTCCCAAGCACATTCAAAAACAAATCGATTTTCAAGTTTGGCAAGTTCTCCTCTATCCAAAATCTCATCGCCGTTAGTTGAAAGAACGTTAGTTTCCTTTAGAAAAAATTTTTGGAAAAAATTTTTTGCGGACAAAATTTGCGGATTTTTACTTATTTGCCCAGAACCCAAAAAATTCTAATTCAAAGGTCATCGTCCCAAACTAAAATTTTCTCTCTTGAAATACTTTCTTCCCTCTAAATATTTTTAAAAATAAAATTAAAACTCACAGAAAATTGTTTAACCAATCTAGAAGACGAAGCTTTCCGTAACGGTGTTAGACTCATTTTTAATTAAAAAATAAAAAACTAAGAAAAAATTTTTTAGTAGATAAAATAAAAGAGCAAAACAAATAAATTAATCTAAAAGGTGTTGAAAAATCCCCCTTTAAAAATATATCCCTTAAATTAAAGTAAAAAGTCCAAAGAATAACCCAAAAAAAAAAGAATTTATTTACTTGTCTCTCTTATTTTTACACACTATTTCTCTAAATGTCTGCTGGGGAAGGTTTAAAAGAAAAAGTAAACAAAAATCAAATGATTCGAGAAACAAAATTTGGGGGGAGGAAAGGGATGGTAAGATTTAATAAAAATATTTTTTTTAATTTTATAGTATGATGTTTGGGTAATCAATTTTGGTAAATCAATATGCTTCTCAAAAGAAAGGCTTTCAAAAATAGCCCCTAAATTTGGTTGAAAAATGAAAAAAAAATTTTTTTTTGAATTTTAAAATGGGGAAAAATAATTTTTAATCTTTTAATTTGTTAATTCTTTTAAAGAAAAAAAAACTCCGAAGAAAAACAAAAAAAGATGGGAATTTTCGAGAAAATGTAAAGTTCCATGGGGAGGTTACTTTATTTTAATTACTCTTTATTCGTTAATTAAATAATTTATTTAAGTCTGCTAGTGGTGTAGTGGTTAACGCTTCGGTCTATATTTTATTTAGTTGTGGGTTCGAGTTTTTCTGGCTCCCTATTAACTTTTTTTGATTTTTAAACACTTTTAAAGATCCCACAATTAATTAAAATATTTTTTAGCTTCTTAAAATTTTTTAAACGAAGCTTTACTAGTTTTTAAAAATAATTTTAATATTTAAAAAAATATAAAAATTGAAAAAAATAATAAAAATGAGATCTGTTCGATGCCGACAATATTTCTTTAAAATAATTTTTCTTAAAATTTTTCTTATTTTTTTCTTTCTCCCTCTTTCTTTTATTCTCGGCATCATTCTTACAAAAAAATAAATGACATTTTTATAAAAATATTTTTTTAAAAACATTTTTAATTTTTAATTTTTTCGCTGTAATTTCTCTCCTTATTTGCTTCATTTCGTAGCAACTTTTAATTATCAACTTCCATTTAAATAATTTAAAAATGACGAAGCTAGTCTTTTAAATCTTAAAAGGATTTCTGGAGACTCTTCTACAATGCTAAATTAATTAAATTAATTTTTTGAGAATTAAATAAAATTTAAGTTTAACTTACCCAGTGTCGGGCATAGGTTCTGAAAGAGGAAATTATTAGAAGAAAAATTTTTTTGGAAATTTTTTTAAATTTATTTTTAAAAGTATTTTGGACGATTTTTAAATAAATTAAGAGTATTTAAAATTTTTAAAAAATATTTTTTGATAGAGCATATGAGCTTCTGAATGTTGGAGAACTGAAGGCGCTTAGGGCACGTATCTTTCCTAGTTAAAAGTCTATAAATTTCCCAATTGATCACCCAAATTTCTGAAATTTTGCAAGGACATCCTCAATACTGATATTTATCTTCATTAAAAATTTCAGAATTTTTGATTCAGAATTTCAGAATTTATGGTCAAAAAAGTCAGAATTTTATTTAAAAATGGCCTATCTTTTCACTTTATCGTCCATAACTTTAGAAATATTGAATAAAAAATTCTAAAATTTTAAGGGTTGTTAGTTAATATTATCCAGAATAAATCCAGAAAATTTTGAGTTTCTAAGAGCTTCCTTGCCAATTTTATGAAGCATCGCGCTGATTGACTTTACTGCCCTTAAACTGCTCTTTAAAGGTCATAATTTAATTTTTAGAGGATTTTCGAAGCTTTTTTCGATTAAAAAAATTTTTTCTCGAATTCTTCAAGAAAAATACCTTGTCTATAACGATATCTACAATTTCCTTGTTGAACACAAAAAATTAAAAAATAAATTAAAATTAATATTGTTAATTTATTAAAATTAAAATATTTTTTCCTTTTTGTATTTTTGATGATCATAATTAATTTTTAAATAAATTTTTAAATCAAAATTTAAATTTAAAAAAATTCTTTAAATGTCTCTTAAATAAAAATAAAATATTAAATTTAAAAATAATTCTTTTATGGCCATTTTTTTGTTCATTTTTGTTCAGTTAAATATTTATGTGTTTGTCTGTTTGACGAATAAGTTTGTAATAAAAAAATGTTTCTTAAAAAGTTGTACTCAAAAATTAAAAATAAAATAATTAAATATTAGTAAAATATGGGAAATTGGGGAAATTAAATAATAATTATTGGGGGGTAATAAAATGAAATATTCCCTCAAAACTACAAAACATGTGTTTCTGATTGTGGTTGGAAATCAGAATTTTTCTTGTGTTTTTGTATTTTTAAAATTCAGTATTTTTAAAATTCTTTTAATTAAAATCAGAATTTAATGTGTTTTCTTATTAAATGAGAAAAATTCTGGTTTAATTAAGAGGAAAAACACACAAATTCTGGTTTTTACTTAAACCAGAATTTAATGTATTTTCATTAAAAATCAAATCAGAATTTAATGTATTTTCCATTAAAAATCAATCAGAATTTAATGTATTTTCCATTAAAAATCAAATCAGAATTTAATGTATTTTCCATTAAAAATCAAATCAGAATTTATTAATTTGCGTGTATTTTCTTTAAAAATAGATCAGAATTTAAATGTGTTTTTCCACTTAAATAAAACCAGAATTTTTCTTAATAATAAAATCAGAAATTACAATTGTGTTTTTGTATTTCTGTGTTTAAAACAATCAGAATTAAAATTATTTTTCTTGAAAAGAAACCAGAATTTATTAATGTATTCTGGTGTATTTTCCTTAAAATTAAATCAGAATTTGTGTTTTTCTTTTAATTAAATCAGAATTTATTAATTGTATTTTATATTCGATTGTAAATGAAGAAAAATCAGAATTTAAATTCTGAAAAAAAGCAAAAGCAATTGTAAAAAAGTTTTATTTAAAATTTTACAATTTGTGATTTTAAAAGACACAAAACTTGTTTATTTATATATTCTGTATTAATCAAGTAGTTAATTAAATTAAGAAACGAGGATTACTGTACCGTTTTAATTCGGGGAAATTTAAAAATTAGTCAGAAGAGTGGGAGGGAGTAATTTTTAGAAAAAGAAAATTTTCAAGAAAATAAATAAAAATAAAATATATTTTTATTTATTTATATATTAACTCCTTGGCAGCATCATCACCTGTTTAGAGAACAACAACCTCTCTTAATTAATTCAACAAATCGGAAAAAAATATTTTAAACTAAAATTCAAACTCATGGGAAAGATTAGAGAGAAATTAATTTTTTAGTTAAAATATTTACATGGTTTTCACGTTGTTCTCCGTCCTGGCGTTCGGCGAATTTGTGTGAACACTTGAAAACCCTCCTAATTTTTTTGTGTAAATTTGGGGTTGTAAATAAAATAAAATATTAAATGGGGGCAAATTAAATAAAAAAGAAGGAAAAATAAAAAAAATTAAAGGAAATTTTTTTTAAAAAAGATTTGAAGCAACGAGAAGGAAATTAGCAAAACAACAAGAAAGTTTGCAGAAAATTAAGGGAAAAAATAAATTAAAAGAGAGAAGGAAAAATCAGAATTACAATTACAAAATAAGAGAAATTACAATTCAGAATAATTAATTTAAAAAAATCAGAATTTAAAAAAATCAGAAGAGCACATAAAATCAGAATTTGTATTTTAGTTTTTCTAATAAATCAGAATTTTTAGAAAATCAGAATTTTAACATTCAGAATTAAATGGACAAAATACAAAATAAAAAATCAGAATTACAAACAGAACTACAAATAGATACACGTAAAATACACAATTACATAAAATCAGAATTTGTATTTCAGTTTTTCCAACAAATCAGAATATTTAGAAAATCAGAATTTTACAATTCAGAATTAATTAGTACAAATATGAAATCAGAATTACAAATAAATACACGTAAAAACACAATTATCTAAAATCAGAATTTTGCTTTTCCATTTTGTATTTTTTTAAAAATCAGAATAAAATTTTAATTTTTTGTTATATTTTCAAAAATGAATAATACAGAAACAAAAAGTCATAACTAACTTGATACTTAACCGATTTAAATAAATATTATGTCAAACGAAAGCTCTTAATGTAAGGAATATTTTAGTTAACAAGATTAATTTGATAAAATCATCCTACAAAAAGTTCCAATTGGATAACTGCGCATAATCGTGATTTTTGATATTTATTCGATTGTAAATTTTTGCAGAATAATCTGATCAAATCAATCCTGCTAGGTAAAATACTCCTCACATCAAGAGCTTTCGATTGATATAATATTTATTTAAATTGGTTAAGAATCAAAAAAGTTATGGCCTCTGAAACGGCTTTACCATTTATCATAAGAGAATTCAAATTTATTCAATATTTTTATTTTTGGCATTATGTTTTTTTAAAAATAAAAATGAAAAAATATCCCGTCGCGTTGTATTTTGTTCTCTCGTTTTAATCGTTTCTCTCGTCTTATTTTCTGAAATTTTTCTAAAAAATTTTTGCTTGACTTTTTTTTATTTTTTCAAATTAAATTTTCTTTTTAGACAAATGAACTATAGACTTTTTTGATATTTACGAAGATTTTCATTAAAAATGAGTACAGATGAACAACAATCAAATGATCGAATTCTTCATGCAAAAAATTTGGTATTTTTTTAAATTTTAGTTTTTGGTTATTTTTCCTCTCTTTTTTTCTCCTCCTTAAAATTTTTCCTGTGGCCTAACATTTTTACTAAATTACGGCAAAATCGCATTCCCGGGGTCCCATAAAAAGATTTAGCCTCTAATTGTTTAAGGGGACGGGTAATTCCGTTTGTAAATTAAAATCTCGTACAGGACTCCGTCCCCGTGCACTCTAATTTTTACATTGTTTTGGACCTTCCTTTTTCTTTTTGATTTAAATTTTGCTTTAAAAATTCAATTTAAAAATTCAAAAAACCCAGTTATTAACCAATATTTGTCTTATTAATCAGCAAAAATAGGCAAACTTTCGGGAAGGAGGAAAAAATAAAAACGTCAAACTTACCTTTTTTGAAGTTTTTTTACAATCTAGGTAATATTTTGTTAAACAAATTTTCAGAATTTTAGCCTAATTCTTCCATGCTTGAAGAATTAGGCTAAAAAAAAGCCCTCTTCCATGCTTGAAACACTTCCCTTACCTTGATTTTACTTCACTTTTATTTTTTTTAATTTTCCAGTTGAAGAAATTCCAATCAAAGCACACTCAACGTGCCGAAGATTTTAATTCATTTAATTCTTCAAATGGTTTGGAAATTTGTATTGACCATAATATTTTACAAAATTCAAATAATTCTTGCTCTTCCTCCCCTTCAATTCTTCCAAATTTTTCAAAATCTGCGAGCGAAACGAGAACACTTTTAAATGATGGAAATTTAATTAATGGACCTACAGGAAGTTTTACAAGTGAATTACTTCCGTTTAATCAAAGGGATGAGGGAAATCAGGTTAGGTGCTACTCTGTGCCTGAAAATTTGAGAATTGAAGAGGTTAGTTATTCTGTTTTTTTAGAGTCGAAAAAATTTTTTGGAAAGGGTTTAAGAGAAATTTTCATGTTCTGGACTGGACTGATTTTTTTGGATCCACTGACCTTGGGGAATCATGGGCTTAGAGTCCGAGAAAATCTAAGATTTTGGATTCGGATTCAAAGATCAATCATGAAGTTTTATAGAGATCAAGTGAGCCAGGGACGAGCTGTATGCCCAGACCCATGCATTTTTAAGCCATCTGGGTTTTTTGGTCCAAGTCCATTATAAGCCTTTGTTTCTGATCCACTCGATCTCTAGAATATTTCTCAACAGAAAATATCTTGACCGATTTTTTGTATCAGAGTCCAGGTTTATGAATTAAAAAAGTCCCGGCCATTTGATTCAAAAATAATTTAAATGCTTTTAAATCCAATGGCCTTCGATGGATCCTGGACTTGTGATGTAAGAAAAATTCAGAAGGCTTTAAACATCTAGGGTCTAAGTTCTAGGTACAGACGTTTGGCCCGGTTCCACTTGATCTCTAAAAATTAAAAATACCAAAATGTCAAATTTTAAATTCCCCAATTTTCAGGGAGATTTGAACGGATCAAGGAGTTTATTGATCCAAAAACAAGAAGAATTGGCCACTGCTCTTTCAAAACTTAATTCACTTGTATGGCTTTTTATAAATTAAAATTTATTTTTTTAAATTTAAGCATTCAAGTTATTCAGAATTATATAATGCCTATAATCAATTAGTGGAGAAAAATAATAATGATTTGGATGGAAGAGAGACTCCAGTACATATTAACAATCAAATACAACAATTACAAATTGTATAAAATAATTTTTGTTATTTTTTAGTAAAGATTGGGTGGAGAGGGGGGGGGGGGGAGTCGGTATTTTTTCGATAAATATTGAAAAATATCGAAAAAATCGTATCGATACCTTCAGGACTGTAGCCAGGATTTTTTCAGGGGGAGGCAACGGGAAAATTTTTCTGCGCCGAACTTTTAACGTCGCAGGCGGAAATTTCGATAATTTTAGAAGGCCGTAGACCAACAAATAATTTAAAACTTATTTCTAGGCTTTAACCCACTCATTAGAAGAAAAAACTAATTTACAAAAAGAATTGAGAGAATTAAAAACAAAAATGGAAGAATTACAAAATTTAAAAAATGCTCCTTTACAAAATCAAAAAAATGATTTGTTGACAACTTCCTCGACAACAAATTTAATAAAAAATGACAATTTTTCTGATTTACGTTTAGCAAATATTCAACAAGAAAGGGATGAATTACTTTCAACTGTTTCCAATCTTTCACAACAAATTGAAGAAGAAAGGAAATTATCTTCAAATTTGGAAGCTAAACTTTTTTTGGCACAACAAGACAAAATGGATACACAGGTTTTTTATTCTAAAATTTTATTTTTTGGGGTTTGTGGGCTCTTTAAAAGTAGATGCAGTACTTAATTCTTGACGGATTTTCCTGAGCCCGAATTCCAAATCCGTTTCAGCATTTTAGAATTATTTTCGGCCCCCATTAACCCAGAAAAATTCGTCTTATACAATCCGTTTGTATTTACATAACCGGTGCCGGACCCAGTAAAATTATTTCTCTTAGCAGCAGTTAAAGGTGTCCTTTTTTCTCCCTTTTGAAAGCCTTGTAGAAACGCTAATCAAATTATATACTCGAAATCGAGCGTATTTCAGCTCAAATACATTTTCTGTAAAATTTTTATCTATATTTCCCTCGAAATTTCCCCTTATTTTTCAGTGGATTATAAAGCCTTTTTATCTTCCAGCATTTCCCCCAAAATTCTTTTTCCCCTATAAGATTCCTTCACAAAAATAAAAAAATTCTCGTTCCCTTTTGGCTATAACTCCTTTAAAGTTTTATCCGATGTCCTCCCATCTTCTGCATCAACGGGAAGTTTACTTTTTTGATATTTATTTCTGTATTTATAATTAGAAAATCTTTTTTTTGTTCAAGGCCCACCTAAAGTCAATTTACCATGAAAAAGTGCAATTAGAACAAAATTATGAACATTGTAAAAAAGAATTGGCTATGCGTGATATTTATTTACAACAATTATCAAAACAATTTCAATTTGAACATTTGCCTAAAAATTTAAATTTTGAGGCGAAAAATGAAGGTTTTTTGATTAAATTTGTTTGAATATTTTCAAAAAAAATTTTCTTAGAAAATAAAAAATCCTCTTCAAATGAGCAACTCATTTCTCTCAAATTGGAATTGGATAATTCACAGAAAAATGTTCAGACACTACAAGAACAGCTTCAAATAACTTCTTTACAGGCTAATTCTCGATTGAAAATGGTTGAGGAAGAGGTTTGGAAATTTTTATTTTTTGAAATAAAAATAATTTTTGACAACATAGCAGGGATGGATCGGGGGAAGGAAAAATCGGTGCGAGTTTTATAGTAGTTCAAAAAAATGTTTGGGGACTTAATTGATTAGACTTATATTAGAGAAAATTAAGACCTTCAATTAGAATATTTAATGAATGCGAAAGAACAAAGAGGGTAAAGGGAAATTGGACAAGACAAGCTTATGTTAGAACGGCAAAAGTACGAGATGTTTGGGGTTTTCTGTTCTGGCATTTTTATAGTAAAAATAATTTTTATTTTTTTCCCAGTTGGAAACTACTCGTGCTAGATTTAACGAAATTTGTTCTCTCAAAGATTATTTAGAGGAAAGTTTGCGTATTGCACAAGCTACTATTGAAAAGAATAATTTGATAAATGATATTTCTGTGGAAGATCAACAACAGGTTTTTATTTTTTTAAAATTATTTTTGGCAATTTTGAACTTTATGTGTCCTCTCGAATGACTTCACAAATGAAATCGAACCTAAATAAATTAGAGAAAAATGTAGAGAACGAATCGAATGTCCGATTGAAGAATTTTTGTTCGGAATTCAATCTTTGCATTTTTCCGTCTATAAAGCAAAAGCTCTTTGTTTTCTCCAAAATTTTTGGTTCCTTTTAATTGAGTTCTTTTTCTTATACAAAAAACCAAGAAAATGCGGAACTATTTATAAGTAAGCGTTATTTTTAACCAAAGATCGAATTGACACGAAACTTCATTCGGAATGAAATGATGGAACCATAAAGTTTAAAATTTTTTATAATTTTTATTTAAAATTTTTTCTTTCAAAGTCTTCACCAACAGAACTTGAATCATTAAAACAACAAATTTCTAATTTATTATTAGAAAAAGAGCAACAATTAAATTTAAATAAACAAACTTTGGATAAACTTGAAGAAGAAAAAAATGGGCAAATTGAAGAATTAAAAAGTGAATTGAATGAGGCAATTGAAAGAATTGGAGAATTGGAGAAAGATAAAATTATTAGAGGAAATATTGATCAGGTTTATTTTGGGGAGGGGGTTTTTAAACGAATTAGGATACCTACATATTTTGAGTTCACGTTGAACTCCATGGGTGACATAAAATTTGGTTGATAACATTAAAAAAAAGAGATAAGAGTGACTTTTTTCCTTATTACTTTTTGTCGCAAGACGCATGCGATTTTTGCCCAAAAGCCCGTTTCTGCCATAGCTTATAACTGGGGGGTGTGTGAAGCTTTTAGAGTCTATATAATTATGGGATGATTCTTCGAAAGTGGTTTTGAAGCAAAAAATAATAAAAAAACTATAAAAACAGATCTTTTCCATAATTTTTGCGAGTCGGGCTTTGTTAAATTCTCGGTCATGATTCGAGAAGGGTTGACTGTTCCTCCCTGTTTCCCTGATATTTCTTTCTGTGTTAATTTTATTTTTTAAAAGGATGCCAGTACCCTTTCAATTCAATTACAAAATGAAAAAGCAACAGTTTCAAGAGCTATAGCTCAAAATCTCGAATTAAAAACTCAACTTGGAGAACTTCAAAATCGTTTAGTTCAAGTAATTAATTCTTCTGCAGAAAAAGAAGATGAACGTTTAACAGCATTAAATTCAGTTTCTAAATTGACACAGGCTTTGAATGAATTGAAGGAGGAAAAGGAAAAAGAGGAAAATTTGAAGGAATTGGTTGAAAAGCAAATACAAACTGACGAGGAGGGAATTAGTGAAGTGAATTTACAAAGTTTGGAAAATAAAAATGTGGATCAATCTTCGACTTTACTTTCTTCAGGTTTTAATTTTTTAATTTATTAGGAAACGTAGTTGATTTATGGGAGGGAGCGAATTACTAAATTTTTACCATATTGGATCCATGTTGTTTAATGTCAAGTGTTTTGTTCCGTGGATTTTTATTTTATTTTGGGAAGCATATTTGACACTCTACAAAATACTTGACATGTATATCATTGTAGAGCCAACTAGGGACCATTGTAAGAATTTACTTTCAATTTCGACTGGTGACAAGTCATAAGGACCTATTGGAGTTTATTGATAAAAACAAAGAAACCCCAGTGATCGATAATTATTTACTTTGTAATTTTCTCCTTTACAGACACATTTGCTTCAAATGATTCATTAATGGTTCACGTCCCATCATCAGACCAAGTCTCTAGTATTGAGACGGAATTAAGCGAAGAAAATGTTGAGTATGAAGGAAGAGTACGATTTGAAGAAAATGGAGGAGGTGATGAAGAGGAAGATACGGAGGGGAAAGAGAAGAGGCAAAATGAAGAGGAAGTGAAGAAAACGGCAATGGAAGGAGAATTGAAAGGGAAGGAAGCGAAGAAAAATGAAGAGAAAGAAGAAGCGGTAGATGAAGAGAATAATCGTCAAAAACTCCAAAAACGTTTAGAACAACTTTGCCAAGAAAACGAGCAATTTCGATTAGACAATCAAAAACTACAGTATTGGCTAACTGCTGTAGAAACAGAAAATGAGTCGATTGGAGAATATGTTGCTTTGTATAGATTTCAAAGAGGAAATGTACAAAAAAGAATTGCTGAAAATGAGGCTATGCTTAAAGAATATAAAAAACAGAATTTTGAGTTGATGGTAAGGTGTTTGGATTTTTTTGAAATTTAAAATGTTTTTCGAAACTTTTTTTTTTGAAAAAATTTTTAATTTCGGTACTTGTAGGGGTTGGGTTAATTGAAAAAAATTTTGTTTTTTGTAGAGATTGTCAATATAAAATTAGTCAGTTTAATAATTGATTCTCTTATTGCGAAAATTTCCAAACTTTTTAGAAAATTTTTCGTTTAAGAAATTTCTTTTCGATACTTGTAGGGGGAGAGGGTGTGGATTCCTAAAATTTCAAAGCTATAAATTTAAAAAAAGTATTTTTTTCTCATTATTATAGACCCAATTATCAACTGTTTGTAATTCTTTAAATTCCTTTTTGATGACTGAATGTACTGAAGTTGAAGACAGCCAAAAATCTGAGGAAGAAAATAATTTAATTAATAAAGGTTTATTTAAAGTTTAAATTAATTTTTATTTTTTTTTAAATTTTAGACAGTCATAATAATGAATTAGTGAATGATAGACATAAACAAATTGACAATTTAAGGAAAATTATGGAGACTTTGCAGAAGATAATGGTTTGATTTTTAATTTTTTTTATCCAGAAAAATTTTTAAAGGATATTAAGAAAAATAATAGATACCTTATCGTTACCCTTTTTCCGTAAATATTGTAAATGGTCAAAGGGACATAATGGTCAGCTACTTAAATAAAATAAAAACAAAAATTTTCCTATAAGCCTGAGATTATATTAATCGAATAAAAGTTCTATAAGGAAGCAGACATCTTTCTAATTTTAACCACTTACCATTATCTAGCTTGGCCATTTATAATTTTTTGGAAAAGAAAATACTAAAAAAGTTGGGAGGCCATGTTAAATTAACAAAAATATTTTTTATTTTATTTTTGCAGACAGTAGACCAAAAAGCCTCTTCTGAGGCAACCTGTTCTGGTTCTAATAGTGGTGGCGGTGGTGCTAGTAATTTACAAGCCTGTTGTACAGGTTGTGTTGGGTGTAGAGGGGAAATAACTACCCTGTGATTTTTTAAAAATAAATAAAATGTGATTAATAATTTGTAATTTAAATTATATAAAAATTCTAAGATTTTTATAAATTATTTTTTAATTTTTTTCTAGAGTGACTAGCCTATTTTTTTTAATTTTTTGATGGTTCTTTAAATTAACTTTTAGTTTGGGGTTAATATTATTTTAGGCTTAAATTATTTTTAGGTGAGTGGATATTTTAGTGTAGTTGGTTGTGCTTATGTTTTTTCGTAATAAGTTGAAGAGGTTCGATTCCACCACCTATTGGGCACCTTCTATTGCAAATTAAGCTGATTTTTATTCCTTCCAATTTATTTACAACACTCTTAAAATTATAATAAAATTTATTTTTTTGCATATTATGCTTTTCTATTGTTGTTTTTAATCGTTCATTGAAAAATAAATATTTTCTTAATTTTAAATTAAATTTAATGTTGTTTTTCAATTTTTTAATATTTTTATTTTTTTCTTTAAAAAAATTTTTTTTTCAAAGTTTTTCAGTAAATGAATTTTCCAATATTTTTATTCTACAAAAATGTTATCAGTGTTTAGAAATATTCCAGTCGAGGCAAAACAATTTTCTTCAATTTTTTTAAGACCCTGGAGAAGATTTTCTCTTTCTTCTTTATCAAATACTCAACAAAATGGGCAAGAAGAAAATAAAAGAAAAAATCAAAAGAAATTTGAATTTGTGTTGGCTAATGAACGTTTAAATACTATTCCAAATTTACTCAGTGCTGGAAGGTTTTTTTTAATTTTAAAATTAAAAAAAAAAGTTTTTTAAATTAATTTTTTTAGAATTGTGGCTACTCCAATTATTGGCTGGTTGGTGGTAAGTGAGTTATATTCCCCTGCTTGTGTACTCTTTGTGATTGCTGGTGTTAGTGATTTGGTTGGTTATTTCGATATTAAAAATTTTTTTAATTTTTGCGGACATTTTCAATTTTACGGACAAATTTACAGAAAATTTTTAGAAAAAATATTTTTGCGGACTTTTTGAAATTTGCGGACAAAGCTTGCGGATTCAATTTTTCTTTGAGGAATTTTTTGCGGTCATTTTTTTAGAATTGCGGACATTTTCTAATCTGCATACATGTCTTGCGGATTATTTAGATTAATAAAAGCAATTTTAAAAAAATTCTTCAGGTCGATGGTTTTATTGCTCGTCGTTTCCCTTCACAAAAATCACTCTTTGGAAGTATCATTGATCCCGTGGCAGATAAATTTTTAATTAGCACATTGTTCATTACGCTCACTTATATGCATTTAATACCTGGTTTTTTTAATTAAAAAATTATTTTTTTAAATTAGAGAGGTGAGGAGAGCGATTTCAGATTCCTATTTACATCCAAAAATTTATTTTTAAGTACCTTCCAATAAAAATTGTTCAACAATCTTGCGGAATAGTATTATCCAAAATAAATTATGGTTATGGGTTTTAAGGGCGAATAGGCTGCTTAATATGTACATATCACTTTTTGAAGGGACTATTTTAGTATAATTGTCCATCAACTCCTAACTTATCATTAATTTAAAACTCAAAAAAATTTTTTCTAAAAATTTTTTTCAAAGTTTATTTAACTGTTATTGCACTTGTAAGGGATGGAATGTTAGTCACTGGAGGCCTAATTCTTCGTTATAAAATGTTGGATCCCCCAATTACTTTTTCAAGATTTTTTAATCCAACAATTTCGTCAATTCAAATAAACCCATCGAAAATTAGCAAAGTTTGGATTTTTTTTTAATTTTATTTTTTAATTTTTTCCATCCAGTTCAATACAGGCCTCCAACTTTTGCTTCTTTCACTTAGCCTGGCAAGTCCAATTTTTCACTTTGTTGATCATCCTGCTCTTCAGATTCTCAGGTATATTTTTTAAAGAATTTTAAATTTTTTTGCCCATTTTGGGCATTGGACATTTTGAAATTTCTAATTATTTTTTAAAATTTTTTCTCAAAATTAAATTTTTCTGACCATTCTGGAGACTGATAATTTTTACATTTTATTTAAAATTTTTTTCTAAAAATAATTTTTTTAAAGTATTTTGACTGCCTGCACAACAGTTTACTCGGGTTTACAATATGCTTTTTATTCAGGAATTTTACGAGTTAAACTTATAAAACCTAAAATTAAATAAAATTATATTTTTTTATTTTTATTTCCAATTTTTGAGCTCTTGTTGTTTACAAAAAATAAATTGAACAAATTTTTAAATCTTAGGCGTTAAATAAAATTATTTAATAAAATGTGAACTCAAAATTTGTTAAAAGAATTTTTGCAAAAATTTTCATACTTTTTTGTAATTAAATAACCCCTCTAATTAAATGGCAATTTTTTGGTATATCGAAAAACAATAAAATGAATGGACTTTCATTTATCCTTCCAAAGAATTTCAATTTATTTTTATCCTTCACTTTTGTTTTTCGTCTTCTACCTCTGACAGTTCTTGTTGGCTAATTCTGATCAGTTGGGTAATCCAAAATATTTTTTTTCCTTAAAGCTTACACTTCCTTGTTTTGTTTTTTTTCTTAAATTTTAAACATTTTCTCAACAAAAAAAACATTTTTTACTTTAAAATATATTCACAAACACGCTTAAAGAATTTAACTAAATAAAGAACAAAAAAAAACAAAAATACACAGGCTAACAATCATTTTTTTGTAAAAAATAAAAGAAAATTTCTAAACTACTCTTTTGCAGATGGTAAAATTAGATAAAGCATTAAAATAAAAATAGTGAAAAGTGATTGAAAATGTTTTTAAAAACGTCTCTGTCATTTTTGAGATGTTCGTCTTTTTACCCCTATTTTTGTAAAAGGAGAAGAGAAGAAAAATTCTGGGGGAGTTTATAATTTGTTTTAATGAGTAGATATAATTTTCAGAATAAAAATCAGAATTTTGGATTGTAAATTGTAATTAAGATGGGTATATTATTAAATTAAAAATCAGAATTTGTAAAAAAATATTAAGATCAGAATTTGAGGTTTGTAATCTCGTTATATGTACTATTCAGCTTTTATTTAAATCAGAATTTGTAGAAATTATTAAAACCAGAATTTGTAGAAATTATTAGAATCAGAATTTTGAATTGTAATTTTAAATTCAGCATTAAATTTAAATCAGAATTTGTAAAAAATATCAAAATCAGAATTAATACCCAGAATTAATTTAACGAGGTTCATTTATAACAAAATTTAATAAAAAATATTTTCTATTCAAAATTTAGAAAATCATTTTAAAAATACAAAAAAAAGTTTTGTCTTTTTCCATTCAAAACTGGCAGATGCAAAAAATAGGTGAAATTTATGGTTATTTATTTTACAACACTCCCCCCCCCTTTCCCCGACACTGTTCAAGTTTTGTTTAAAAGGCAAAAGGGAATGGACGATTAGCATCAGAAGCTATTTTTATCTTTGTTTATTTTGTGATTTAACTTTATATTTAACTAATATTTATTGTTTTACAATTCATCGATTTTTATTTAAATTTGTAATTTTATTTAATTAAAATTTTACAAATTCTGATTTTTATCTACAAATTCTGATTAATATCTCTATCTAAGCACTTATAAATTCTGGTTTCATTAATTATCTTTTACAATTTCTGATTTTTATTTTTACAAATTCTGGCTTAAATTTATTTATAATATACTCATTTTAAAATTACAATCCCAAATTCTGATATTTTCTACTAATATTTACGGATTTACAACTCTAAATAATACAAATTATGATTTTCTAGTTAGGATTTTACAATTCTTTTGATTTTCTGAGACAATTAAACAAAACAATTATTTTTTGAAGCAATTCATCTTTCTCTTAAAAATTTAAAAATTCTGATTCTCCCAATTAATTATTTTTTACAAATTCTGATTTTAAAATAAAATTACATTTACAATTTACAATTTCTGATTTTTACAATTTATTCCTCTAAAAATCCCCGTGTAACTGAATAATATCAACCATAAATTTGTATGAGTAAAATTCGCCATAGAAATTTTTGTTGATATTAACCAATTGCATTGGGGGGATAAGTCTACACTTTTTTAAAATTATTGAGAGATTATTTATTTTTATTATTTTATTTTTAATAATGCCATTGACCTCACATATAATAACACACAAACAGAATTGTGCAATAATTGCGGGAGAGTATATTATATGACTTTAAAAAGGAAGAGGATTTTAAAAATGAAGAAAAAAAAGAAGAAGAAAAAAGCGCCGACAGATGCTTAGAATGAAAATTATAAGGTAATTTAATCCTTTGTGTGCCATTTTACTGCCTTTTATGGCCAACAAACAAACACAAAATCCCCCCTAAGTAGAAAATGACGTTGGAAAAAGATAAAAATTGAGAAAATTGAAAAAAAGATTTTTGAGGGGAGGGGGAGTAGAAATAAAAGGTAAGAATAAAATAGAGGTAGAAAAGGGAGGGAGGAGGGTATTTGGGTGATTATTATTAATTTTGAGAAAATTAAGGAGAGAAAGAAGTTAATGACAGTATTCTGGTCTGTTTAATGGGAAATTGCGATTTTTAGACGAGAATTGTAAAAAATCAAACCAGAATTGTAATTCTCAATAATTGTAAATTTAAGTTCTGATTTCTTAAAATAATTCTGATTTTATTAATTATTTCTAAAATCAGAATTATTATTAAAGAATCAGAAATAAAATTCTGATTTTAGGATTTCAGAACTATTACTCAAAAAATCAGAAAACTAGGAATAATAATTCTGATTTTTGGAATGATTGTTAAAACTCAAAATTGTAATTTTACTATGTGTAAATACAAATCAGAATTATTATTTTAATAATCAGAAAAGTCGGGAATTAAATCTACAATTATTAAAAATTACAATTTTAGTGTTTTAATACTTTAAATTAATTTACAATTAATATTCTGATTTTTGTTTTTTATTTTAGAGACTACTGTCATATTTAATGTAAATATTTAATATTTATTTTTCTTAAATTGAATAACTTCTACTTCCTTAGGATGAGTAAAAAAAGTTGCTAAAATTGCGTAAACATTTTTTGACAAAAATATTTTTATTCAAAAATATATTTTCCATTAACAAATAAATTTTCTTTTTGATATTAGAGCGTGCCCATAAAAGAAATTTTCCGAAAAAAATTTTTTGTGGATGAAAATAAGCGCGAAAATATTATGTAAATGGGTTAAAGACAACAAAAGGTGTTTTTAATAAAGTTTATTTTATTATTTGTTTTGAGGCGGCAATTAAAAGTAATTAAGCGAGGCTATGTAGGTATTCTGGATAGACACAAGCAGAATAATATTAATTGGAAAATAACACAAAATCAGAACAAATAAAAAATTATATGTTTGTAATCAGAATTGTAATTTTTAAAATTGAGTTCTGATTTTTTTAAATTAAAAATTCTGAAATTAGAATTTTCTTTCTGATTTTTTTAAAAATAATTCTGATTTTGTCAATTCCTTAAAAATAAGATTAAATTTACAATTATTAAAAAATACAATTCTGATTGTAAAATATAAATTCTGTTTCCTCACGATTAAATTGGAAGGTCTGAATAAAAATTTTCTTGGCTTATTAACTAAAAAATTAAAAAAAAAACAGTAATTATTCTAAAATTAACTCAAGACTCTTTTTCTTAGAAAAAAATTTTTTCTCCCTTAAAAACACTGAAGGAAAATTTATTTTTTTCATTAAACCACAGCAACCAATGGGCAAACAAACTAGCCAACTAAACTCAATTGAAGGCGTGTCCCCAGTTTCTTTTTGAGGGAAAAAATATTTTTGCCTCACTCACTCACTCCTCCTCCCATCCTTCCTTCCCTTCTTTCCTTCCTTTTCCCGAAAAAAATTTTTTTTCTTGAGATTCATTTTGAGAGAACCCCCCAAAAGCTTGCTTTCCTTTTTCCTCTTTTCCCCAAACTTCCTTCCCTTCTTCACATTGATGATTGCTATCCAAGAACAACCTTAAAGGGAAATAGAGGATGAAATTGCCTGTATACCTTTCCTGTAAATTTACTAAATTTCCTGATGTTTTCCTATCTACTATTTAATTTTAAAAATAAAGGAAGGTGGATATAGAATGGATATTGAATAGAAGGGGGTAATTAATTAGGGGGGAGGGAGGATAAGAAGAAATCCCTCATGGCCATCTAAATCACCCGAATCACATGATATATGTGAGCAGTTTAATTTCACTATGATATATGTACACCCTTGGGGCCGAAAGGAATTGTTGTATCTTATAAAAGAGGTACCTAAAAAGGGAATATCCCTCTATTAATAAAATACAGTCGGACCTTATCTTTTGAGGTTGAAAACCTTTACAATGAGTTTTATATTAAATCTAGGATATCGTTTAGGAAGCTCTACCCCGTTCAGCTCAGTTGGTAGAGCTTCCTAAGCCATATCCTCTATTTTAGATACTCCTCGAAAATCTAGATCCGACTAAAGGATTTGAAAAATGTGTACTTTTTATGTTGGTAAAACGTAACATTGTATAATATTTTAACTCTCTAGCTACTTAAAATATTTTAAAATCCTTTTTAGTTCCCTCTACAGTTTAATTACTTGTCCAAGAGACAGATAACAACCAACTTCCTTTTCCCCCTTTTCCTCTTACTGGCGCAAATCACGTTAAATATGCTTGGGGAACAAACACAAAACAAAGGGGAGGTTCAGAATTGTAATAGTAGACAAGCAGCAACGACTAGTCAACAACAAAATGGTTGGAATTTTTTTGAAAAATTTTTAGGAAATTTCTAAAAATTTGAAAATGCACCCTAAAATCAGAATAAAAATTCAGAACCTAAATTCTGAAAAAAAAATTCTGAATTTTTTTAAAAAACCATTTTTCCCTTCAGATACCTCATCAATCAACACTCCAAACACCCCAAATACCCAACAAAAACAACGAAATGACTCCAAACCTCAAGGCATTGTATACCCCCAAACAAATATATTTAACAATCAACAAAATCATTCTTCACAACAACAAAACTCTTTTTGTGGGACTTACGGTACAGCGGCTGCTCTTCATTTTAATCCTTTTGTGTCTCCTTTTGCTACTAATAATGTAAAGATATTTTTAAAGGAAAAATACAAAAATCAGAATAAAATAAAAATAAACTTGAAATACACAAAATCAGAATAATTAAAAGAAAACCAGAATTAATTCAGAATTACAACAAGAAAAGAATAAATCAGAATTATATAAAATACAAATATCAGAATTTAAGGAAAATACAAAAATCAGAATATAAGAAAATACAAAAATCAGAATATAAGAAAATACAAAAATCAGAATATAAGAAAATACAAAAATCAGAATATAAGAAAATACAAAAATCAGAATATAAGAAAATACAAAAAAGACAAGCAAAAAACAAAACCAGAATTATTACAATGAATATTTAATTCTGATTTTAATATAATCAGAATTTCAATAAGGGAAAATACAAAAATCAGAATTAAATAAAATACAAATTTCAGAACGGAATTATAGACACCCGTTTCAACGATCCCTTTTTTGGTGTTCTAAATAATTCATCAAATAATACCAACAATTTCAATACAATAATTAACAATTCTGATTTTCGTTGGGGAGGAAATGCTGCTGCTAATTTTTTTGATGGAAATACAGCAAATATTGGGAGAATTGCAACGGCAAGGATTGGGGGGAATTCGACTAAAGTTGAGGAAAATTCTGGTAAGAGATGGGGGTGGGGAGCTTTTATTGAAAAAAAATTCTTTTGAAAAATTTTTTGAAAAATACCCCTAATAGATAATACCCCCAAAATACTTCCATTTCATCAATTCAGGATTAAATCTCTCACTCCAATCTTCAACTAATTCAAATAGTCAGTCATCTACTACTACTACTAATAAAACTTTAAACATTCAAAATGGAAGGAATAACAATAATAGTATGATGTTGTCTGTTAAGGAGGAGGTGAAAGATGTTGGATTTTAAAAAATTTAAAAATTTCTTTAGCCAATTTCTTCTTCCTCCACCGCCCTTGTGACAGCTACTTCCTCCTCAAGTACAATTTCACCTTCTTCATTAGCCAGAGTTTTTCATGGGGGCAAACCTGCTACTGTAACGCTTTCTTGCCATCAACCTACAGGTAGTTTTCGGGAAAAATTTTGGAGTATCCCATGTCATGCCTGGTCACGCCAAACCGTGCCGCGCCGAAAGTCCCTTTTAAGGTGTACCCAAATTTTTAAATTTTTTTTAGTCAAGAATCTTTTCTAATTTATTCAAATTTACTTTCAAAAATTTTAGAGTAGTCCTTGATTTTTTTCCTCTTAAAAGAAGGAACTCTCAAGAGGCTTTTCCCGCCTTTTACTCTTTTTAAGGCGCGAAAAAAATAAAAAAGGTTACTTAAATTGCTCCTTTAAATTTTATTTTGTTCTTTCAAAAAGCCTCACAGTTGGAGATATTATTAAAAAATGCTCATTAAAATTATAGAAAAGACATGCTTCTTCATAATTATAAGAAACTGTGACCTTTTAAATAAATTAAAGGGGTCGTTTCGGCGCGAACCTAAAAATTCTTTTTTTACAATTTTTAAGCAAATTTCTTAGTGTTAACTGAAATTCTGATTTTTAAAATTTTTACAGTTAATTCAATTTTTTATCAATCCAAAATTATGGAAAATGACCATTGATTCACGAGTTAGTTAGAGTTAAAAAAGTTTTTTTCCTCCACCTCCCCTATTTTAGAGGCGCTCTTCCATTTCAGTTACTTGGCCATATCTTTTCTGTCCTAACTCAAAAATTCTGATTTTTGGGAATTTCATATCTAATCCAATCCTCTATCAAATGAATCAAAAATTATGAAAAACAGTCAATAGTTTCATGAGTTACACTTGAAAACTCAACCCTACCTACATTTCCTCTTATTTTCGAGGCGCCTTTTCAGTTATTTGACTATATCTTTTCTGTCCTATTCTCAAAAATTTTGATTTCTTGGTTTTTTATAGCTAATACAATCCTCTATCGAATGAATCTAAAATTATGAAAAAGTTACTCTTCAAAAACTTAGCCCTACCTCCATTCTCCCCTTATTTTCTAGGCGCTCTTCCATTTTATTTTTTAAATTAAATCTTTTTTCTTAAAAATTTCTTTCTTTTTTCTATTCATTTCCACCTTTTCCGGACAATAACAGAATATATAATAATAGGACCACCAAAGCTTTTGGCCACAGAAACGAGCTTTTAGCGCTTTTTGCCATATAATGGACTGCGCAACCTTTCGGCAGCCTTCTTTGATTTTTTTTTAAATTTTTTCTTTTGTTGAATGGCCAAATTGCGGCAACTATAAATATATATACTATATATGTATATAAATCTTTTTTTACTTTTCATGAAAAAAAATTCTTTAAAGAAGCGCCTCTCTTTCCCTGTGTACGGCCAATTTCCCTTCACCCTACTTTCTCCCCCCTCCCTTCCCCCAATTTTCCCCTCAATTTTCTTTCTTTTTTTTGCTTTTCCTTCATTTTTTGTTATTTGCATGCTTTTCCGGTGTAAATATCGTTTCAATCATTGTCATATCGTTTAGTATTCAAAAAGGGGTAAAATACCGCGTTTAATTTAATATTCCTTTTTAAGCTTTATTTTTATCATTAAGCTGAATATTTAAAAAGGAACATTTTTGAGGACAAAAGAATTAAAAAGTGGGGTGAATTTTGGGTTTTTATTTTATTAAAAATTTTGGTGAAAAATGTCACAAAATTGAAAGATGGACTAATGGAATATGGACTTCTGAAATGGCTCTTGTCCAGATTACGCGTCCAGTCGTACAAATTTCTATGCGTCCAATATATGTCCATAAGTATCCGGTTCTGCGTTTTAGAAGTCCGGTATCGTTTACTAGAGCTTTCTATTCCCATAGATTTTATGGTAATTAAGTGCAGAATCGGGTATTTATTGCCATTAGTTGGACGCATAGAAATTTGTTTGAACGTATAAAGGTGCGTTTTGACGCATAATCTGGACAAGGGCCTTTGAAATTTGGAAGTTTTCAAATTTTAACATTTTTAAAAATTGCCATTCTGAATAAGGCAAAATACCAAAATTAAGCCTCAAATTAATGCAAATTCTCTCGTTAAAAATTCCAACATTTTTCCTCTCTCTCTCTTAAAACTTGTTTTATAAATTAAATTTGAATAATAAAAGTCAATCAAGTTTTTAAATTAAATAAAGCAATCAAAACAACAACAAAAAAAGGTAGTAGGGGGAGAAAATAAAATTAAATTAGGCTGCCAAATAAAAAATAATTTTTCATTGGTTAAGGACTGACAAATTTTCTCTGCCAAATAAAAAGAAGAAGCTTGTTTGTGTGTAGTGTATGTAGTAGTTAATTAAGTGTAGGGGGGGTAGTGCCAACAAACAACAGTAGAAATAAAAATTTAGAATTAAGGTCAATTTGGGGCTGGCAAGGATGTAGGGGGGGGGAAGTCGTTTGGGAAGACCTGTGGGTTAGCGAATCCATGGGAATTTCCGCATATCCGGACCGAAACTCCTTCAAAATAACCCCAATTCCAATAAGTATTTCTCCAATTTTAATAAATTCAGGCTTCACTATAAATACTCCCTTGGGGCTAGAAATATATTGTACCTTATAATGAGCGTATATTAAATTAAGGATTGCCATTAATAGCTCCCACGCTCTGTGGCTAGACCAATTTCAGAAATTAAAGCCCTGAGCTTTTATTTTCAACAGGACACTTAGTGGGCTTTTATTTTTCGAAAGGCCTCCTTGGGTGGGGATTGTATTAATATAGCTTCTGATTAAGCCAGGCCTTAATTAGGACAATTACGGTATCTTAACCTTTATAATATTGGGGTCTATGTATACAAAGATGGCTCTGTGGCTAGCCTTATTATTTTAAATTAAAATAATTTTAAATGAACCAAGAAAATTAATTTATATTTATCCTTAATTAATTTCCTTAAACACAACAGATTGTAAATACAAAAAATCCCCATCCATTTAAAAAATCTTAAGGTCACCCCTTAATTTTTAATATAACAATAGGTACATTTATTTTAATGCTTGTTCTATTACAGTAGGAAATTAAAAGAAATTAGAGAAAAAATGCTGGAAAGAATTGGGGGGAAAATAAGCTTATTATTAACGGGAGAAAGGGGGGGGGGGGAGATTAACCAGGTCAACAATAAAATAATAAATAATTTGGTTTAATTGGTAATTATCTCTAATATATTTTTAAAGGTATTGGAAGAGAATATAAAATTTTATTTAAAACATAATAATTAATTTTTGAGAGAAATAAAAGGTTGTATTTTAAGAGCCTTTGGGAATGACCAAAAATACTCTAGAAGTGCTTGTTTTTCGATTATAATTTTTTTAAAAATAAATCTTAAATTTAAATTTCCATTCCATTTTGTAGCAAATTTAATTCTATATCGAATGATGTCAGTTTTATTTTTGTTCGTCAAGTCATTTCAGAGTTATAGGCGTTGGAGCTTCCTCACATCTTCTCTACTATCTCTCAAATACCTTAGTTTTTCTACCATAATTTTTTCAAACATAAATCTAAAATTTAAATTTCTCTTCGATTTTGTAGCAAATTTAATTCCCTATCAAATGATACCAAGTCTATTTTAATTGGTCAAGTCATTCCAGAGTTATAGGCGTTGGCGCCCCTCAACCTCCACATTGTCACCATGTCCTTACAATTAGAATTTTTTCCAACAATATAAAATATTTTTTTAAATTTCTTTTTCTTTCTTTATTTTCTCCATTTAATAAACTTATTTTTAAACCAAAGAATTTATAATTTAAACAGAAAATTTAAATTTTTTTTCATCTTAATTTGGGTAAAATTTTTGCCTCTTTTTGGTTGAGTTTTCTTTTTTTTTCCTTCTCTTTTATTTCCGCTTAGAGAGAGTAAGTATATTATTTAAGCGCATCTCTTTTGTTTGTTTGGCTATTCAATCCGGAATTTTCTTTTCTTTTGTTCTTTATGTAAACTTGAAATGAATGAAGCTTTTGATTGCGTGTTTGGCTTAAATTTGGAGGGACAAAAGAGGGGAAAATAAATAAAAGTCAAGAAGGGGGAATCCTTTTTTAATTGGAAAAATCAGAAAAAATATCAGAATTAAAGTCAGAACTAAATCAGAAGCGTCAGAATAAAATTAAAAAAAATCAGAATAGGATCAGAACATTACCAGAAAAAATCAGAATTAAATCAGAATTAAATTAGAATAAACCAAAAAAATCAGAACAATACCAGAACAAAATCAGAATAATTTCTTCTCTTCTTTCAGACCCCTACTACATTTTTATTCGAAGCTTGTTAGCCTCTACTGGAAGCGGACAAATTCAACTTTGGCAGTTTCTATTAGAATTATTAATTGAGCCCTTATGTTCAGAAATAATTTTATGGGAAGGGGAACAAGGAGAATTTAAATTATTAGAACCAGACGAAGTTGCTAGACGTTGGGGTGAAAGAAAATCTAAACCACACATGAATTATGATAAAATGTCGAGAGCTCTTCGTTACTACTATGACAAACAAATAATGACTAAAGTTCATGGGAAGAGATATGCCTATAAATTCGATTTTCCAGGTAGTGAAAAAAATTTTGGATTTGTGGGCATTTAAAGAATTTTTCGGAAATTGGCGTTTCGAAATTTTGACATTTTGACATTTTTAAAATTTTCGAAGGTTGACATTCTGTACCCTGGACATTTTTAAATAATTTTTAAAAGTTAACATTTTGAAATCCTTTTAAAATTTTTGGAACATAAAAGAATTTTTAAAAATATTTCCAGGCATTGTAGCATCAATGCAACCCCAAACATCCTCATTACATCACCACCACCATCACCACCACCAACATTCTTCACTAATTTGTCAAAATTCGGCGGCAGTAATGTCCTCAATAACAAATAACTGTAACAATACTTCCAATACTTCATCCACATCTTCAGCAGTTTCTGCTGCAGGCGAACTTTTTAGTCAAGCTTCTCGTTTAAGTATGAATGGGAATAGTGTAGCAAATATGGCGGCAGATACTTTTATGCAACAAGCAGCGGCTTATAGATTTATGAGTAATCCTGCAGCGGTTTTACAGGTGATGAAAATTGGGGATAATTTGTCCGCTAAAAATACTTGCGGACATTCCGCAAAAACTAAATTTTTGATAACTAATTTGTTCTTTTCAGCCTCATGCCACTCGGTTTCTCAACTCAGCTGTAGCTTCTTCCTATTCCAATCAATTTCCAACAACTTGGCTTTGTCCAAACTTCCAATATGATTACACAAACAATTCAAGTCTAAAATGTTCTTCTCTCTCTGCACGTCAAGAAAATGCTTCTAGTACTGCTCGATTTTTCTAGAGAAAAAAGAGAAATTTTTAAAATGATTTTTGAAATAATAAAATATTGTGTAAGAATAAGATCAGGCAGAAAGTTACCTCAAAACACTTGTTTTTTCCCTTAAGGGTAGTTAGTATCGTTTAGAGCACCCTTTTCTCCTTCACCTTGGCTACGAGTTTCAAAACAAATTTTTTCGAACTGTCAACGAGTGAAAAAATTCTAGTAAAAACCCCGGGAGGCATCGACCCTTCGATTTCCTGGGACAGTTATTGCTAAGTGCTTCCGGCTCCACGTAGCTCAGTCAGCAGCTACTGACGAGCTACGTGGTGACGTAGCTCAGTGCTGACTGTGCTACGTGGCTCAGTCAGTAATGCACCTGCTCTTTCACCTCTCTTTTGTACCACCACCTTGATAATCTTTTTAACTCCCTCCCTTCTTCCTTCCACTAATTTTTACTCCTCATTTCTTGAAGCCTGATCTCTCTAAAAAATATTTTTTTACTCTCCAAAAAGTTGATCTCAAATTCTATTGTAAAAATAATAATTGTAAAATAAATGCTTAAATAATATTTTAATTGATTTTATTTTTTTACCAATTTAAATCGATAGAGGAGAATGTTTATTTGCCTTTTACGTATTTATTGTTGCAGCTGTTTAGAAGCTTTTTTTGGATTTTAGGGGGTCTTTTTAGTCTATTTTCTTGTTTTTAGTTTTCTTCCAATCCTCCAAAACGTCTTGAAATTTTTTCAATTTCCCAGCTTGTCAGAAAAATTTCTTTAAACAAAAAAAATTATTTTAAACAGCTCCAAATCCGTTTAAACATTCAAAGGTTCGCAATTAAAACAGAATGCCAAAAATGCAAAGCTTCCTTTTTTCAAAAGATAGGGGATAATTGAGTATGCCGGTTTAGTCCCTTAGCCATAACTTCTTGAGTTTTCAACCATTTCGAATATATCTTTTATCAATCGAAAGCTCTGGATCTGCTGATTATTTTAGCTAAAAGGATTAATCCGATCAGATTATCATATAAATAGTTACAAGTGGATAAGTGCACTCAATCGTGATTTTTGGCTTTATTAAACTGTAACTCTTTTTAAGATGCTCTGATCAAAATAATCTTGTTAACTAAAATAATCCTTATATCCAGAGCTTTTATTTGATAAAATATATTTTCAAATCGACTAAAGATCACGACTGTTATGACCCAAAATATGGCGCTGGGACTCAACCTGAGAAACTCAACTGGGTCTTTTCGTTTTAAAAAATAAACGAGATAGTATGAAGTTTTGAGAGACGGAAAGAAAGGAAAAGAAAGAAAGAAAGCTTGGTTATTTTTCTAGCATTTTTTGTTTAGTTTTTTATTTTTTTCGGAGCAGACCAGTGTACTGCGAGCCCAATGTACCACGAGTTATAACCTTGTTGGTATGGTATGGTTCTATGCGGCTCGACCAGCTGAATTGAACCATACCAGGGCGCCACGGATTCGACAATCTTTAACAAGGTTATAGCTCGGCGATACATTGGGCTCGTGGTACATCTGGGTGTACTTTTATTTTTTCTCTAGAATATTATCATAACCTTCAAAAATGGTAAAACCAAAAATTTATGATGAATATGAAGCTCAAAAAGCTGTAAATGCGGCAATTGACGATACTTCGATTGAAGATGATTTTGTTGATCAATATTTTGAGGCTGCTTTGGAAGTGCTGACTGGGAAGGTTTTTTCTTTAATTAATCATGTCTCTTACTCTTTGATTAAATTTAAAGGTCCAGGAACGCTCTGCGGCTTCTAATCACAATTTGGATTTGAAACAGTTGGAAGCGCTTTTGAAGTTGGCGAGGAAGAAGCTTGGTATTATTTTTACTTCTTTTTTAGTTCTAGAGCAATTTGGACAGAGTCCTTTACATTTTGACACCTTTTAAGCCCTATAAGGAATCATTCCTTCACTCATCCTTTGATTTTAGGCGGAGCGTGTTATATTACCAAAAGCTTAGAATATCAAACCCCCAAAAACCCTTTAAATACCAAATGTGAAATACAAGCAACGGAGGATTTGTTCTGGTAGCGGGGAATGTTGCTCCAACTGCGGGAGATGTTGTTGGGAGATGTAGGCGACGGAACATTTTTGGATTCCCCTATTGTCCCCTAGTGGTGGAATAAAACCCCTCGCATTCTTAAGAGTAGTAACAAAAAATGTAGAGTCTGGTATTTATTTGGTATTTCAAGCTTTTGGTTTTTTCCTTCTTTCTATTTTCTTGTCCAATCCTTCCCAGATGTCCTGTCCATGTTTCTAGTTACTCTAGGTTTATTTTTTAATTGGACATTTTGTCCTCATTTCTTGATTTTTGTCCGAGTTGATTTTTTGACTTTATTTCCTTTGAGAATCATTTTGACTATTCAACTCTTTTAAGATGTCCAACCGTCCAAAGAAAATAAATCACCAAAAAAGTCTAATGAAAGTAACAACGATGAAATGGAAAATCCAACAACTTCATCTTCGTTAACTGAAAAACCAAAATCTCCGGAAAAGACTAGAAAGCCTGGAAGACCTCCAAAACGAAAAAATGATGAGGAAGAGGTGCCTAAGAAAAAAGAGACGAAAAATAAAAAATCTGATGATAAGGTGACTGTGAGGAAGAAGAGACGTAAAATAACTGAAGTTCTTCAAGAAGAAGCTCGTGAACAAGTTTTTCGTGGTTCGAAGGATCCGGACAGGTTTTTTATTGTTTTTTATTCAACTTGTTTGGTTGGGGAATTTTTGTAGGGAGTGGAGCAGGCGGAAATTTTTAAGATAATTTTAAGCAGTAGTTAAGAGGGTTACTTTTGTTAATATTTTTGCGGACTTTTTTCTTTCGAGTTATGGAAAATTGTCAGCAAGGTCCTATTCCACGACAACTCTTTTTTCGAAATTTCGACAAATGTCAATGACAATTGTCAAATACTTTTCCGACAGTGATTGTGTTCAAGTAATCGTATGTCAATATCATTGTCGTGATTGATATTTGTCGATTGTCATTTTTGTCAATTGAACATTTGTAGTCTTTGTCGCTTTGCGGAATAAGCTCCAGGAAATATTTTTAATGAAATTTAAGAAAAAAATGTCCGTAGAAATGACGCTAAATTCATTATTGCCCAAAATTTTTTCAACCCCATTTTCTCCTTTATAATTTTAACTTATTTTTAGTGAAGCCTTGGCTCTTGCATTAAAAGTATTACCTCCAACGTTGTCTCCAGTCAAAACTCGTTCCAAAACTTTTTCTTCTGTTAATTCGTTAAAAGCTTTGACTTGGAAGGATCAGAGGGATTATTCTCCAACAACGACAGTTTCGTCTTCAGCTTTGGTCTTGTTTAAAAAAGATGAAAATAAGAAGACGCAAGACTTGACTGAAACAAAGATGAATACTAGATCAAAGACTAATGGTTTATTTTTTGATTTTTTTGGAGGGAGTGGGGGGGGTTGCCTTTTTGGACGGATTTTTTCTCTAATTTTTTGTGAGGGTTGCTTAACCCAGAGTTAGTTTTGAGCAAGAAGGGTTTTTTCATTAAAAAAATTTTTTTTTCTAGCACCTTCAACCAGCGAAGCTCTTGGTCCTTCTCAAAAGCCAACAACAACTTCCAACAAAGCCATTCCATTGCCTGATGTTCCAAAGGAAAACGTTACAATTCCTAATGTAAATCGTGATGCTGTTAGTGTTACAAAATCTGTTCGAGTCCATAGTAAACAAATCCCTACAAATCCTCGTTGGCATGAATTTCCTACAGGTTTTTTAATTTATGGTTAAAGAGAGGTTAACTAAGAATCAATTGAAGTTTTATCCTCTGAACGGTCATAGAACCTGTCACCTTCTAGGGCCGGTATTACCTGAGTAGTGATTCCTGTCCACACAACTTTCTAATTTTTTGTGTTAGGACACTAAAGGTAGCAGGGGGTTCTTGACTAGTGTTTTAGGTTTGGAGCTGAATCGACAGAATCGAGAATCTTTTGTTTTAAAAAATCCGCAAAAAATGTCCGCAAATGTTTAATTATGGGCTTCTATATTAACCGGGCCGAGGAACCGAAGATTTTTCTGTTCGGTTTCTAATTCCCGATGATTTTCTATGAGTCGACAAGCCAATTTTCGACCATTTTTCACACGAAAAACAAAACTCAATATTCTAACTTTCAGTTATGGAAGAAGCTATCGATCAAGTATTGAATTCTCATACATTTAAAGCTGGCGCCCAAATTGAAATGCGTTCAGGAATTTTGGATATTATTTTATTTGGAGTTACCGCTGTAAAAGCGTCAAATGATCGCAAGTTGGGTGTAGGGTCTGTCCGAAGATATTGTAGAGATGTGAAGATTTTGTTGGAGAGTGTTTTGGGTAATGATGTGGCTGATGAAGAATTCTTTGAGAATTTGGAGGACAGGGAGAATATAACGATTGCTGGATTGATGGAGGCGATCAAGGAGGTTTTTTTATAATATTTGTTGGTTATTTGGTGTATTTAGATCAGGGATGTCACTGATTACTCGAAACCCTAACTTTTTCAGGCCCGAACCCTTCCGAAGAAATTTTGGGATTTTTTTAAAGATTAAAAATATAAAATCCATTTTTTAGTACAAAAAGGAGAACATTATTGATGCAACTACTACAAACACTAAAGAATTAAAGGAGGCTGATTTGGATAAATCTAAATCTTTGCCAAAAAAGCGTCCACCTCCAATTCAGGTTTTTTTAGAATTTTAGTAGGTTTTGATATATTGGGGACCACAGTCATTAGTCATTTACTGACTTTTGGGTTCTTTCGAATGTTTAATGTGCCTTTTCGTTGTGGTATGTTTATTAAAGTAGGTTAGAGAGGCTTTGAGTTTTAGGCTACTTTAAACTCTATCAAACTTAAATGAATAGTTTCGGGAAAAAATTTTCTTTGCATCACGAAACTAAATATTTTGCCCAGATATGTGGTTGGAAACTTCCCCCTCCTTTCTCTAATTTTTTAAAATAATTTTTTAATTAGGCAAACAAAGTAAAGGAGGGTTATCTTCCACAACAAAAACGAGAACGTCAAGATGATTCTTCTATTGATACAATTATTATTCCTCCTCCACCAAATAATGTTGTAGCAATAACTCCTCGAAGGAATTCATTACCTACTATAAACCAACAAAATAAGCACCAAGGAATGCCTCCAATTAATTGGGGAAGAACTAGACCAACAACAAAAATTGCAACTAAACAAAACATAATCAGCAACAATCAAAATCAATTTGGTGAGTCTTTTGCCTTTATTGTCGGAATCTCAATAATTTTAACAATTTTTTTATTTTTTTCTTCCCGTACAATTTTTATAATTTTGTTTGGATATTTTTTGTTGTCTTTTTATTTACGTACAGTTTAAGTTGAGAGGGAGAAAATGTATTAGGAGTGTCACGGGGTGATCTAAAATAGTCAAAAGATTTCGAGTCGAATTTTCCAACTTGATTTCGGATCGGATTTCGGGCCAAAAAAATATTCGGGCGGGTCAGGACTGTGGGATCTAGGGATTAAAAGGGGAATTCAGAGAAAGAATGTCGGGTCTGGTTTTCAGAAATTTTCTTCTGGTGGGATAAAAAGTCGGGGTTTGTGGTAACGGGTCGAGTCAGTACTGAGGATTTGTGGGATTTAGAGGGGCATTAGAAGAAAAAATATTTTTTTAAATCTCGTCTCGGGTGATAGGTAACCCGTGACATCTCTAAAATACTTATAAGAATTTTTTGATGAAATTAAAAATTTATTTTAAAGATTTTCTATAAAAATGAATAAAGCTTTAAAGGATAATTTTTTTGTTGTTTTTAAATAGTTTTTTCTGTAACTATTTTTATTTTTTGTAAATATTTTTTAAAGCTTTTTATTTTTAAAATTAATCGTTAATTTATTACGAGTTTTTTTACCTCATATTGTCGAGGCAAAAGTTCGGAGCAAGTTAGCGGGGGTATTTTTTAACTCGGATGTCTGACAGCAAAATTCAGAATCGATTTTATGACATTAATAAGGCAGTACGGCGATTCTCGTACTTGATTGTCATATCCGCAATTGTACCGTCATTTTTATGCTTGAGTTTCTTGCTCCCATCAAACCGGGCAGCTCGAACTTTTAATTTTTTCCATTTTTAAGATGGCTGTGAATCTTCAAATGGCAAATCATTAATGATATCTTTCCATAATAATAGTCCAATGCTTTTGAGTGGTCCAAATATTGAAAGGAAACCTTTAAAAGGAACACAAGAGCAACTTAAAAAAGAAATTAGAGACGTTAGTTGCTTTTAATTTAATTACCCTTTTAAATTTTTATTTTTTAAAGTTTCTTTCTGAAAAATATAAGGGTGGTTCAGGTTCAGTTGACCAATTTGCAGACATTTTGTCTACTTATATTGTGAGGATTTTTATTTATTTTTTAATTAAATGATAAGAAATTAGAGACTCAATATTAAAGAATGTACCTTATGATGAGGTACCATAAATTGGGGGGTATTGTTTGAAAGAGCTGTTCCCTTCACACTAGTAGAAATGTTCCCTTCGCCCTACCTATAGTGTTCCCTTCACACTACAAGAAATGTTCCCTTTGCCCTACCAAGAGTGTTTTTTAAGTCATCCTTAAAAAAAAGTCATCCTTCGCCTGTTCCCTTCACACTACCAAAGATGTTTCCTTCCCTTCACATTACCATAAATATCTTAAGGCAGTTTCCCTCACTCTAGTGGACAACCAAATTAAAAAATCGTATCTTAAATTTAAGTCATCTAGTATTTAGTTTATCTTTAAATATTGAGGTCTGATTATATCTTTAACTTTTGTTTTTTAAGAGTGCCGATTCAACCATTAAAAAAATGATGACAAATTTTGACATTCCAATAGAGCTTGTTCGTAGTGGATATATTTTGATTTCTCGATTTTTTAAAGTGGAAGAAGCTGAAGTAATTGACAAATAAAAGAAGAAATTTTGTTTAATATGCCTACACAATATATTTATTTTTTCAAAAAAAGAGCTCAAAATTATATTTATTTTTGATACACACACATAATTGTTTTGGTTACAAAATATTAAATGTAAAATTGATATTATTATTTGTGTTTTAAAGGGATGGATAAATGAAATTTTTTTTTGAAATTTTACACGTACAAGAGATTTAATTAGTGTTGCACCCCGGGCCTCCGGGGGCAGGATCGACTGGTATCGGAGTTTACCGGGGTAGAGCCTTCGAGTCAGGTTTTTTGCCAAAAAAAATAGACGTGGGACAGGGCGCTACCCTAGATTTAATTTAATCTTAAGAAAAAGAAATGCCTAAAATATTTACGGACAAAATTAAAATCGATTAGTGACTCGGCAAAAGCTTGTTAGTTGATTAAGAATTTTGCTATTGATACATTCGAAAGATTATGTCCAGATTCTTTTTGGAGAAAATGTTGATTGTGAAATCATACCTAATCTAATTCCTCTATAAATTTACACCTTAATAAAATTTAAATTTCGTCAAAGTCCGCAGATGTCGCATTGTCTTGAACTTAAAAAATTTTTTATGAAATTTTTATAATCTTAGAAAAGAACTTTTTTATATCCCAGCTGTGCAAATTTTTTTAATTCGGCAGAGTCATATCCCAAATGAAAGGTAAAACCTTTAAAAAATTAGTGAAAATGGAAAGGAAGGAGAAACCATATTTCCAAAATTCGATTTATTGCTTTAATGGATTTTTTAATTAAAAAATTGAAATTAATATTAAATTTCTCCCCTTCATTTTTAAAAAAATATTTAAAAATTATTTTATAGTCAAACCAAAAAAATAATTTGAAAAAAATTATTTTCTGATTTTCGGGTGGCAGAAGAAATAGGAGGGATTATCTCTGATATTTCCCCCAATTTCTAAGGCATTCGAAATATTTTCGGACCTCCCTATAAGATACCTCCAGTATTAGATATAACTCGCTGGGTGAGTGATGCTCTGGAGGTGTAGCGTGAAGGGAGTATATACTTGGTAGTGCGAAGGGAACATTTTGATAGTAGGAAGGGAACATTCTTGGTAAGCGATATCCTCTACTTAAGAAACACATCAAAGGGTGTATCTTAAAGTGAGAGTTCGAATATATTTCAAAGTTTTTAGAGAATTATTTCAAAACCAATTTATTTACCCAAATGGAGCATTACAACTATGGAGGATTAGAAGATGAAGAGTTTTTGGAAGCCCAAAACCAACTTCATCATTATAATGAAGGATATGTTTATGGGGTGGATGGCCAAACAAATATTAATTTAGAACACCCAATTAGCACAACTGATGTTCAATATGCTTCCGAAGATGGAAATTTGAAAGAAGAAAACAATGTGGGGGAGGGAGTGGATGAATTGACTACTGAAGAAATGAGTGAGTTTGTTGTTTTGGATAAGGGAGGGGTTGGAGGGTAGGTAATAAATTGGAAAAAATGTCTGGATATGTTGGAGAGGGGGAAGGAATTTAGTGATATTGATGACCCCATTTATTGGGCATTCTTTCTTTCGATTCTAGAAAAACTAAGCGGTTCTGTTGTTCAAGTTCTTATTTTGGAGAGAGGGGAGGGATTTGTAGAGCTTCACTTTAATTCTCTGCGCAAAACTCCAAATAATAAAACTTCCAATTGGATTTCAAAAGTTTGGTTTTTCCCAAATTTTGTTTCTTGGAACTAGAAGGCATTGTTTTCTTGTTCTTCCAATTTTGTCAAAAAGATAACCTTTAATTCCCTTTACTAAAATCTATTTCTTTACAGTTCAAAAATTAAATATTGAAACGGAGCAACTCCAAAATGTTGAGGAGATTGTCAAAAACGAGTTTGAGACAGTTGAAGGAGTCCATGAAAATGTTGCTTTAGAAAATGGTGGAGAGGGTAATTTTGTTTATATTTCATATGTAGTAGGGGAGTCTGGTTAAGAGAAAATGCTTTTATTTGATAATCAGACTTACTATAAAATAATAACCCGCACTTTTAAAAATTGGTTGGCCATTGGGTGGGATTGCTGTCTAGGCAATATTCTGTGGGTGTGAAAAGGAACGTTTTAGTAGTGTGAAGGGAACACTCTTGAAAAGGAATACCTTCTATCTAAGATACACCTCATTATAGGATTCAATATTAGATATACCTCTATTTAAGATACGTTTTTAAAGACTGCTTAGGCAATATTTTCTATTTACCCCATTATAAGAGAGGGGTATCTATAAACTAGATCTTAGTATATCACTCATTTTAAAAATTAGAAGTTTGCCAACATTCTTTCTCGATTATTCACCTAATGAGTCATCCCTTTCTCTACTTTTTTAAGGACCTGTTTTTCTTAAATCTTTACATTTAAAAAAACATTCTCTCTTTTTAATCATTTTAGAGTAGTATAAAATATTTAAAAATCTATACTAAAAATTACTCAATTTTATATATTACACACAAACACAATTAAAAACCCCATAAAAACATCCCTTCCCCTCCTTCTCTTTTCCCCTTTAGAATTTTTTCTTAATTTTAAACACAAATTTAAACGAGAATTCCTCTCTATTTTCTATCGTTTTCGCAAATTTATTCTTCAAATATCAAATATTTATTTATTCAATTACAAACCGGTTAGAGACTAAAATTGTTTTAATTATTTTTATTAAAATTGTACAATTATTGTGTAAGAACCGGGGATCTATTTAGACGCCTCGATTCCTGAAAATCAGGAATTGAATTTTTATGTCGGCTAGATCCCTGGTACGAACCTCACACTTATTGATACCCCGTGAGGCTAAAATGTGTATCTTATAATGAAGTGGGGGGGGGGGGGTCTAAATAAAATTCCTTTGTCCAATCCAACGAAATTAATTGCCTAAAAGGTCGAAAACTATTTTTTGAGTAAAAACGGATTTTTTGCTAAGATTTAAGTGTTCCAGGAAGGGATATCTGAAGTCTCTCATTTTTTGATTATCTTTTTGTTAAAATTAATTTTCTCAATTAATTTCGAGTCGAATAGTATGTAAGAGGGAGTTGGAGGGTGGTCATTTTAGAGGCTACTGGGCAGGATTCGAATCTGCGACTTCCTCGCAGTTATTTCTAGGCCTTTCGCTCACCGTATATAGGATCTCTACCACTGTGCTACCGGGGCAGACGACTAATTCTTTCTTTTATTCTAAGCTGCTAGGTGAATCATCCTTACAGAATTGAGAATTTCCAAGTCGAATTTAGGAATCGAATTTTTACACAGACTCGAATATCACCTTCATAAATGTTTGAGAGGCTAAAATTGGCATATTCTTATTACAAAATTTTTTATGATTAATTTTCTCCATATATTTTTTTTCAAAACAAAAAATCGATTAGACATTTCGAGATAAATAAAAACATTTAAAATGCCCATATGTCCCAAAAAAATTTATTTTTTCTTTCTCTTTGGTAGGGGGAAAACGTGAAAACTGATATGAAACGGAAAGAAAATAAAGGGGAAAGAAAAATTTTTTTCAAAGTTTGTTTTGCTTTGGTTGCAATAAATACACACGTTTTATTTAATTATTTTTGCTGTTATTTTTTCAGTTAAAAACCAGATGTTGGGGGACATTAGAGTCTGGAATTTTAATTTTAGGTGTGGGCTGTGGCTAGAAGTAATTAATTCACCGGAACCGAAAGTTTGACTGGTCCTGATCCAATTTGAGTTCCGGATCCCGAAACCGTAACTTCCGGTGAAACTATTATTTTTGTAAGAGGAATTTTAGTCAGGGTGGCCTTTTCCAAACCACTAAAATGGGGCGCAGCCACTCAAAAATAGGGCAAAAATAGGGAATTATTTTAAAAACGTAAAAATAATTAAAATTATAAATAAAAAGCTTTATTCCGCATGTTCTCTACTGATTTTAACTAAATTGAGCAGGTCTGATTGTCTCTAAAAATCTCGATCTCGATAATCTAGATTTTCGTTCGAGATCACGTCTCGATCCGGTCTTTAGTTCAGATATCCGAATTTGGCACCGATAATAGCGCAAAGTCCTTTAAAGATATTTTCTCTTATCTGCCTCTAATACGCCTGTATCTCACTTTCAACGCCGTAGGCGAAAATTTTTTCAAATTTTTAATTAGCAATACGTCAGATTTCTTTCATTTTTAGCAAAATATCGAGAATTTTGAAAGCTTAGGAAGGCAGATTTCTCTCTTTTTTAGCGCCGCAGGCGAAAATTTTGAGAAATTACGATGACCAAGAGGAGAGTTTCTACTTTTTCAGCGCCGCAGGCGAAAATTTTGGAAATTTTGATGTCCAAGAGTCAGTTTTCTTTGTTTTTTTCGCATTTTTTTTACAAATGACAAAAAATTTGAAAAATATTACAAAGTGCTATAAATAGGGCAAAATATGGCAAAAGTATAAAATAGGGAAAAAATAGGGCGAAAAGATCAAAAATAGGGAAAATCCTTTATAAATAGGGTAAAAAGGCCACCCTGATTTTAGTTTAAATTACTTTTCGGGGACATTAGAGTCTGTGTATTAATTACCGAATAAGGGATTTCGAGGGTTATCCGAAACCCGACCCGAAAAAAACTTTAAAACCCCGACCCAACTTTTTTCTCAACCCGTATTAATGGCTAATTTAATCAAAATTTTGGTCACCCAGTTGAGAGTTTATTCACTCATGACTCTAAAAAACACTCTAATATTTTTGTTTTTGTTTTTCATAAATATTTTTTATTATAATTTCTCGACCACTCTTTCTTATCTTTACCATTTTTATCTAAAAAATTAGGGGGTTCTCGATGATTTTTTTAAAAATAAATTTTTGTCCTTGATGAGTGGTTGTTAATTGTACATACATATACTTTTTCTGCATTTTTAATTCAATACTAGAGGAGAGAAGAAAAATATTTATTTATATCTTCAACGTTTCGGCGCAAACACAAGTTGGCGTGGGAGTTATTTAATTGTCTATAGCTTTTATCTTTAAAATTATTAAACGAAAGCTTAAGCATTTTTAAGCGATTTTTGTTTAAACCTCTACCTTCGAGTCAAACATGTTTGGGGTTGAATGTTTGGAGTTAGCATTTCATGTTGAGGATTTTAATGTAGAGATAATCGAGCTGCCTTCGAGTTGAAGGTGCTTTTCCGCTCCCCACTGTTGCAGATGCTCTACCGACTAAGCTATCAGGGCCGCTGCTTCCATCTTCCCTCCTTTTTAATAGATCCTAAACCACTTTATAAGCATCTGTGTTTTAAATTTTAGCCAGCTGGATCTCCTCCCTCCTTTCCTTACAAAGACTTAAAAATAAAAATGCTTGACGCCAAAAACATTCCAGCGCCAAAACTTCTCCCTCCACCACAAAAATAAATTGCGTGAAAATAAAAATAGTAGTAGTAAAGTATAGTTGGATGAATCATTCCTTTTTAACTACCCCTTTTTTCTTTCCTCTACATATTTTTGTTTGTGTTTAATCTTTTTTTTAAAAATCTCCCACAAATTTATTTTTATTTATTTTTTAAAAGTTTTTAGCCTCTAAAATTTATGCTCCACCACATTTCGCCAATAAGGCTAAAAACCCACGTTTTGCCAATAAGTGTGTTGACAAAACGAGGGATTTTAGCCTTTTTGGCAAAATGTGGAATTGGCAAAATGTGTGGGGAGTTAAATTTTTGTTTTGATTTTAATTTATTTTTAATTTTAAAAATTAAAAAAAGATTTTTTTTTCAGATAATTTAACTACTACTTCACCTACTAATAATCTTATTACTTTAATGGCTACTGAAACTAATTATGTAAAAATTTTTTATTTTTAATTTAATTTTTTTGATGTTTTTATAGCCCATTCCCTACCGAAGCAAACTTACTGAACAATTCGAACCTGGCCAAACTTTAATTTTAAAAGGGAAAACAGCTGAGGATTCTGTTCGGTATTTTTTTAATTTTTTGCGGACAAAAAATTTTATCCGCAAATTTTTTGCGGATGTCCGCAAATTTTTGTCCGCATTTTTATAACTTCCTTTTTTCAGTTTTACTATCAATTTGCATCATGCTAGTCCTGATTTTAGTGGAAATGATGTTCCGTTACACATTTCTGTTCGATTTGATGAGGGAAAGGTTTGTAAATTTTTGTTTGGACAAAATGTCCCTTTCATTTTATTAAATTTCAAAATTAAAGTTGGTGGATTTTAAGCGAATTTTGAAAATTTTGGAAAAGTTTTAATAGTTTGGAATATTTTCTAAATTATTTTCAAGATTGTCTACAACACTTTCGCTAAGGGAGAATGGGGAAAGGAAGAACGCAAGAGTAACCCATACAAGAAAGGAGATGATATTGATATTCGCGTTTGTTTTTTTTTTTGATCAAAAAATTTGTCGCAAATTTTTAATTTTTTAGATTCGCGCTCATGATAGCAAATTTACCATTTTTGCTGATCAAAAAGAAATTAAAGAGTATGAGCATAGAGTGCCTTTGAGGTTTTTTTAAATTTTTACTTTTAAGAAAATTACTTTTTAAAGCTCGGTCACTCACTTTTCTATTGATGGAGATATTCTTGTGACGCATATCCACTGGGGAGGGAAATATTATGTAAGGGTTTTTAATTAAAAATTTATTGAGGGGGTTTTAATTGGAAATTTGGTTCTTTGTACATTTCGAAGTTCTGACCTTTTGATTTTTATAAAATTTTATTTAAAGCCTGTCCCTTACGAAAGCGGTATTGTCGGTGAAGGCTTCGCTCCTGGTAAAACTATGCTCATCTTTGGCACTCCGGAAAAGAAGGGAAAGCGTTTTCACATTAATTTGGTAAATTTTTAAAAATATTTTTGGATATTTTTTGAAAAATTTAATTTGCGGACAAATCCGCAAGTTTTGTCTGCAAAGTGACAATTTTTTAATTTTTGATGAAATTTCTATTTAATTTTCTTCATTTTTATCCTTTCTAACTACAAGTATTTCTTCTAAAATGTTATTTTTTCAGTTAAGAAAGAATGGAGATATTGCTTTACATTTTAATCCGCGTTTTGATGAAAAGGTTTCTTTTTTAAAAGAAATTTTAATTAAATTTATTTTTTTTAAAGGCAATAGTCCGCAATTCTTTAATCGCAAATGAATGGGGAAATGAGGAGCGTGAAGGAAAACTTCCATTAGAAAAAGGAATTGGTTTTGATTTGAAAATCGTTAATGAGGAATATGCTTTTCAGGTTTTTTATTTTTTAATATTGGAAAAATTAATAAAAAAATGGAAAAAGAATTAGGAATATTTATTGTAAAATACATACTCTAGGGAAAAGAATGGGGCAAGAAATAGAATCAATTTTAACAAGTAGTCACTGTAGTGTAGTGGGATAGGTTCGGGTTAGAGCTTATTTTAGGATATGGGTTCGAACCTCTTTAGGGAATTCTTTTCTATTTTGGTTTTTTGAGACTTATTTTCGTTAAAATTTTATTTCTTTAAATTTTCTAAAAGATTTTTTTCAGATTTTCTTGAACGAGGAACGCTTTTGCTCTTATGCTCACCGGTTATTTTTATTTTAATTAAAAATAATTATTTAAAAATTTTAGTATGGAGCCGCACGATCTTCTCGGACTTCAAATTGTATTTTTTAAAATTTATTTTTAATAATTTGAATTTTTAATCTACAGTTTTACCTTATTTTAAACCTAATTATACCGCCTCTTAGAGCTGAGAAAAATCGTATCTTATAATGAGGTGCTTCTTAAATAGAGGTTATTGTAAGGAAGAGAAAGATCCAGCTGGCTAGCATTTAAAACGCTCACTAGGGTGGGGTTTAAGATCTAATAAAAGAGAAGGCTCTTACTTTATCTCAATTTAGGGTATCACTTACACAGTTTCCCCCACCCAATGGCTAGTCTAATTTTAATAAAGTCTTAATTAGAGGTGTATCTAATATTGGATGTATCTTATAACGAGGTCCGACTAATAAAAAATTCTTTTCAGGGTGGAGATGTGGAAATAACAGGAATTCAAATATTTTGAAAATTTTCGACATTTTGTCAAAGAAATTATGTTCAAAAAAATTAAGAGAAAATTAAAGATGAAGAAAAAATTAATTAATATTCCTTTAATTAAAAAAGCCAAAAATATACTAAAATTTAGTTTACTAAAAATTAATTTTTCTTGCATTTCCCTTCTACTATAAAAGTCCCAATAAATCCACCATTTAGTGTCTTTTTTAAATATTATTTTTAAAAAATGTGAAAATTAATTTTCATTTTCTAGTAAATATTTTTTTCAAAAATAAATTTGTAAAAGGTGTTAAAAGAAAATTCATTTTAAATATTTTTTGATTAATTTGATTGAAAGTTGAGTGGATGTTAAGGTTGGGGGATAGTCGGAGGAGATCTTCGGATATCCGGATCCGATATCCAACCGAAATATCTGGCCCTTTTTCGAATCCACCAACCTTTTTGCATATAATCTACGTATTTAATTTCTAAAGCCTAGGCAGGAGACAGCGTGGTGTAGTGGATAACAAACACAACAGTCCGGTTAACTGAAAATGCCTGTTCACTCCCAATTGGTGAAGATACTCTCCACTTTTGCATTTTTCTTTAGTTATCGTTGACAGGGTAAGAAAAACTCCCCTCTACTCAAGAAATTCCAGAAGCGCGTTTCAAGTAAATAACTGCTCTAAATAAGCGGCACTCAACTGTCCTTTTACTTAATTTGTGACGAAATGGTTTGTTTTCCGTAGATTGGCGAAATGTGTTGTTACCACTTTTGTTTTCGAGAGATAATGCAATTGTGAGATGAAAGTGAGTGAAATGAAGAAAATTGGAAATTCTTTTGTTTTTTTGAAAATTTGAATGTTTTTTGTTTTTTTTCTAGTAGTTGAGGATTTCTAGACTTGTTTGAACGAGAATAATTTGTTGAATGAGTTTTGTCTAAAATTATTTTTTCCATTTAGGATTTCCAATTTTTGTACATTCTCTCGTAAACTTTGTTCTTTTTTTACTGTTTTCTTCTTTTAAGGAATGTTTTTCCACAAGGCAAAGCTTCTCGTTAACTGTACGTTTGTTTCTCGTTTATTGATTATTCCCTTCATTTTTGTCTTCAATTTCTTATACCTTTTAACAAAAGAATAATTTTTTGTTTTTCAAAGGTCTTTCAACAAATAACAGCAAATTATTATTAAAAATTAGAATGGTTTCTTTGGAAAGTGTAGTTGTTGCTGCTTTGGAGGATGATGAAAGAAGGAGTCAACTTAGCTACAAAAAGATTAAAAAAGAAGCTTTAGCGCCCGTTTTTGGGTCGGAAGGTGCTGCTGGTGCAGATTTACATAGTGCCGAGGAATGTGTTGTTCCGGCTAAAGGTTTATTTTTTGGTCTTTGGAATGTTTACTTTCTTAATTTTAGGCAAGTATTTGGTGCCAACTGGAATTCAAATCGCTCTGCCTGAGGGGTGCTATGGAAGGTATATTTTTTGTTTTAATTTTTGTGGATTCTATTTGATATAGACAAGTTGAATTTTATGAGGCACGGAATTTCTTTAAGAGATTTTGCAGCGCCAAGTGGTAATCCAAATCAGTTTATGCGGACAAATTTATTGGTTGTATCAAGGCCATGCACTTTTCCTATCATGTTTCCTTTCCTTGATTATGTAGAGAAACTTGACTGGGAATGAAGATATTTTGAAGAATTATTGTCGCAGGGGGAAAGTATTGGAAGTAAAGCCCGGATTGAGAGGGTCGTACGAAGATAGAGATAGATATCTCGGAAAATAGCTGTCTCAATAACCGAGATTTTTCTTCGAGATTTTGTCTAGGCTGGCCTTTAGAAGTACAAAATTAACTTCGCATAAACTTGTTTGGGGTACCGGTCCTTCCTATACAAATTAGTTAATGCCTCACACCTTTCTAGTCGACTAATTGAGACTCAATAGATTTTTAATTTTTCAATAATTTCAGAATCGCTCCACGTTCTGGACTTGCTTCAAAAAACTTTATTGATGTGGGTGCTGGTGTAATCGATCCGGATTATCGTGGCGAACTTAAAGTTTTGCTTTTCAACTTTTCGGATGCTGATTTTAAGGTTTTTTAAAATTTTGATTTTTTTGTTTAAAAAATTTTTTTTCAAAGATTTCTGTTGGTGATCGTATTGCTCAACTTGTTTGCACGCCGTTTATAAAGTAATTTTTGTAATATTTTTATGGTTGGGGTTGAATGGCAAAGTTAACGTTTTTCCACTTATTCCTTTAAATACATTGTGCTGCGTCCCAGATCTTTCCGTGCGCTTGCGGATTTAATGTTGCGGACTTTTCTTGTCCGCATTTTTATGAATCTAAAATCTACTTAATTTTTTTAAAATTTTAGACCTGAACTTGTTGAAGTAACTAATCTTGATGAAACTGACCGTGGAGATAATGGCTTTGGTTCTACTGGGATTTCAAGTTATTGACATGTCTTTTTTTCAAATTGCGAATGATTGGGAATAAATTTGTTATCATTAATTTATTTTTTTTTTGAGTTTGATTTTTGTTTCTTTTTCAATCCGTGCCGCGTGTTCCGTGCCGCGGTTTCCGTGCCGCGGTTTCCGTGCCAGCGAGTTCCGTGCCTGCCCAGTTCCGTGCCGCGGTTTCCGTGCCGCGGGTTCCGTGCCAGTTGTAAAAGGGGAGGTTTCCGTGCCCAAATTTTAAATATATGAAAAACGGGTTTCGCGTAGATTTTTCAGTTTTTCTTACTTTCAACGATCTGAAGAACATGTTAAAAGGTAGCCGAGTCTTTACTCTAGGCTTTTCTTGGGTATTTCGGGCTTAGGGGGAAGTCTGTCACGACTTTTTTCTTCAGGGAACAAAATTTTAATAAAAAAATGAGTCAAATAAACAAAAATTTATCAAAAAAAAATAAATAGAAGTCAATGCTTCGTTTCACTTATTAGATTTGTGGCCCTAAAGAGGGCCGTTTGGGTTAGGTTGTTGAAAATCCGTCAGCAGAATCACCTCAGCAGCAATCTGCTCATCACCTCAGCAGCAATCTGCTCGACTCACATAAAAACAATTCCAGGACTGGATTGCCTTGAATTAAAAAATTTAAAAATATGCTCGCCTAAAAATATGCTATAGCTCCCTCTTGAACTGGGGAAAATAAAAAAATTCAAAAAGCTAAAAAACTAAAAAATAAACCATGTGTTAGTAGTAGAAACGGCAATCCCGGAGAATTGGGGTCCCTGCGGAAAAAAATCTTAAAAATAAGAAAAAGGATTTTTCTAGGGTAGAAAAATATGCTGATTACGAATCTGAGCTCAGATTTTGAAAAAGTCGAATCCCGAACCCGAATTCGGACTTTTGATCCCGAACAAGATTTTTGACCCCTAACATTATCAGACATTATACAAAATGGCCAGTCTTTCAATAGAATCATAGAACTCATCGAGCTGCATCGAATGACACCAAAATCAATGAAATCCGACCGGATTGAACCGAGATACAGACCCCTAAATATTGAAAAACCACATGGGTGATTTTTTGGAGTAAAAAAAAGTTTTTACAAATGATAGCTCATTCGAAAGAACTCGTCGAGCTGAATCGAATGACGCCAAAATTACAGTGATTGATCAAGTTTTGACAAAGTTATGACATAAGTCGTCGACTCCTACAGTACTCCCATAGGTATACTTTATGTCATAACTTTGTCTAAACTTGTCCAATCACGTTGCTTTTGGTGTCATTCGATGCAGCTCGACGAGCTCTTTCGAACGAGTTATCATTTGCATATTCGAAATTCGGGTTCAGGGTTCGAAATTTGGTTCGGGTTCGGGATTCGACTTTTTCAAAATCTGAGCTCGGATTCGTAATCAGCATATTTTTTTATCCTAGAAAAATCCTTTTTCTTATTTTTAAACTTTTTTTTCGCAGGGACCCCAATTCTCCGGGATTGCCGTAGAAACATCTCCATTCAGCGTAGCATTTTCGCAGTCCGGAATTGTAAAGAAAATTGAAGAAATTTAAGAATTTTAAAAAATTAAAAATTTTTTGATTTTCCATAAAAATTATTTTTTTCGTTAATAATTGTTGTTGGTTATTGCTAATTATTGTGGAAGATCACCTAAAGAACCTAGAAAATGTTTAAAACAAAAAAATAAACAATAACAATCGTTGGTACAACAATAAAAATCATTGGGGACTGAAATGTCCCCATATAAGGGGGACTGAAACGGCGGGACTGTAAGTAATAGGAAAAGTTAGAACAAATAAAATTTGGGCACGGAAACCTCCCCTTTTACAACGGGCACGGAAACCGCGGCACGGAAACCTCCCCTTTTACAACTGGCACGGAACCCGCGGCACGGAAACCGCGGCACGGAACTGGGCAGGCACGGAACTCGCTGGCACGGAAACCGCGGCACGGAACCCGCGGCACGGAACCTTCCCAGTCCGGGGGGGATAGCGTTAGATAGACGAAAATAAACATCCCCGTCTATTTAACATTTTTATCTATCAGGTTTTATCATACAAAATTGTCATCTCCTTTTTGGTCTTTATTCTCATTCTATTTATTGGTGGATTTTCATTGCTAAAGATTGTACAAGTATATTTGTTTTTAGTACTATAAATAAGCTTTTTGAATATTTTTAGTTGAATAACGAATACGATCACTACTTACTGGCCAAAATGAGAAATAACGTAATTAGTTTTTATTATCTTTAATATTTTTATTTTTTAGAGTCTTAACAAGGAGGCGATTGAAAGTATCTCTGATGCGGCAGTACTTAAAGCTCGAATTGCAATCATAGATGGAACGCTGGTAATCGTGACATTAATCGTGATTTTGTTTGCTGTTCTTCTATTTTTTCTTCACAAATGGTTTAAAAACGTTAATTCAAAAGTTACGCAAACGACTAATCCTATTGTGATAAATCAACATTTTCGAAATAATAGTGTATGTTTTTTTATATTCATTCTGTAACAAGTTTTAATTCTAGCCCCAACAAAACATTGACTCCAGCCAAATCAGGAATGAAGGAGATGGAGGTATTCAAGAAGTTGTAGTTCAATCATCCAAGAAGATTGACCCCAAAGTTACAGATCAAAGTATGACAACTCAGGGTTCTCAAGATAGTAATAAAGTATGTTTTTTATTCTAATTTTGTAACAAAGTTGTGATTTTAGAACGAGCAAAACATTTCCTCTTCTAGTCAGATTGGGACTAATGAAGATCAGATGAAAATGTTAGAAGAAGGTGTCCAGTTTAAGAAATCCATTCAACTGGAGACGATTCAGATTGAAGCTAAGGCGGATTAATTATGTATCAGAAGAGAAGATGACTCAACTTAATCTCAGGACCTTATTTGACCTCAAAAAAGTTTTATTTATTTTACTGAGAGCTTTATTTTATTTAAAAAAGTTTTATTTATTTGATATTTTTCGATAAACGGGCTAACTTTATAATTTCTGCGTCTTTTAGTTTTTTAATTTATCTTCATATTTTTAATTTTTTAGCCATAATTTTTTGCTTTTTTTCTCCCTAAAACAGTTCTTTTCAAATGCTCAATTTCCAACGTTTACCATGTTCTGATGCTCGCCCTGTTCTAGTCCACCCTCTTCTTCAGAAATCTAAACTTGTTGAACATTTGGATAAGAAACTTCAACAGCAACAGAAGGGTTCGGAGGATGATGGAAAGGAGAAGTTTTTGGATCCACTTGGTGCTTCTTCGCCTCTTTCTGTTGAGATAAATGCGTCCTTTTCATCGAAGGTTTCGTCAGTTTTTTCTAGTTTTTAAAAAAACAAATTTAGACTCCCAATCTATCAAAAGAGAAGGCAATCAGTCCTTTGGATAATACATTGTTGACAAATTCAAATATTCAAGAAGAGGATGAAGAGCTTTGGAAAAGTGAACAAATGTTGGTTGGATTTCGTCATTGGAGGGAAATTAAGCAAAGAATTTTGGATAAGGTTGGGCATTTTTTGTATTAATAAATTTATAGTGAGACTACCCGTTAGAGGGGTTTTTTGTAATTTTATTTGGTACTTCCTTCCAAAAATTTTTTATCCTTCATGTTTTTAATAAAATTTTTCCAGTTTAAAACTGATGCTCGATTGACTCTTCAAAATTCATTTTTATATTTACCTGAAGGGGAACAAAAATTTGATTCTTCAAAATTTGGTCAAAAACAATTATTACTTTCTAGTATTTCAAGTAAAAATAAGAGGTTTTTAAATGCTTTTTATTTTTTTAAATTAATTTTTTGAAAAGACAAAATTCAAAAGGAGAGTCTTCACATTCAGTTAAACTTGTTGAACTTACACAAGAAGAGTGGTGTCGAAAATTGGGAGAATTACGTGTTAGATTGAAGGCTTTGTGGAGAGAAGAGAAACGTTTGGATTGTATAAAGGTTTTAATTCTTATAAAATTGAGAAAATTTGGGGTTTTGGGGGATTAAATTTTGGAATTTATTCTGGAAAATTCAAATTTTGGGTGTTCAGAAATCAATTGTGTGTCTATTTCCCGCCTGTTTAGATAACAAAAATACCTAATTTTTGAACATTTCACAACTACTAATTTATTTAAAAATGTCCAAGACTCGAAACGTCAATTAATCTATAAATTTTTAGTTAATCTCAGAATTATTGGGTCAATTGGGAACAGATAAAACAGTTTGTTCTGCGCAATTTTACCCTGCCCAATTTGTTTATATAACCGATTTACTTGATTTTTTTGGTCGTTTGGTTTGGTTAAGATTGCTGCAATGTGCACAGGAAGAAAGAAGGCAGGTTTTGGTTTTTTTGTTAAAAAATATTCTAAATTTATTTTTAAAGTAAGGCTGGACTTGGTGATTTGCCTGAAGAATGGAATATTGGCGATATTTTAGGTTTTTATATGTTTCGTTTTTTAAATTTTTATTAGGTAGAAATTTTTGGAAATTTAAGAAAAATTTTTTTGGATATTATTTGGGTGTTTTTGTTATGTTTTCAGTGTCTTTTTGTTATTCTAGCTGGAATTTTAGTTATTAGCTTAATGTGCAGTTTCTTCTCAAACGTTTGGGATCAATCCCCTAGATGAATATCTTGTTTAAAAACCTTTAAAATTTTTGGATTTTATTATCTTAATATTTTTATTTCAAAATTTTATTTCAGAAGGAACTCGTCTAAAAGCCAGAAATTGGTTAGGAAAGATTAACCAAATTGTTAAATTGGTTTCTTCTCGAATTTATAGTATTTTTTTTTTAATTTTTAAATATTTTTTAAATTAAAATCAATTTTTCAAGTGTTAGCAGCAATTCTTCCCTGTCAACGTTTCATGGACCCATGGCCTCAAGCAGCCCAACAAAATGCTTTGGAACTTTGTAATTCAATTAGTAGTGCAGTCAAACATCCGTTGGTTTCAATTTATTTGCGTTGTTATTTGTGCCGTGTTTCTATGCGTATTCAACCAACAGATAAAGCGCCACATTGGAAATGTTTAAATGATTGGTTACAGACTTTCGATAGCCAACCACCGGTTTTAAATCTTATTTTTTTTAAGTTTCGGTTTCCTGAGATTCCTGCTAAAAATTAGGAAAGCTATAAAGTTCCAATTTTTGTTTAACCCGATTTCCTAATGAAGTGATTTCCTTTTTGGATACATCAGATTTGCCGTTCATTGGAGTTTTAATTTTTGGTACCAAAATTTCGGCACGTTTTATCTCGCCAAAAGCTTGTTTTGCCAAACCCCCAAAAGCTGTTGACTCGCCAAACTGTGGAAAAAAGCTTGTTTTGCCAAACCCCCAAAAGCTGTTGAATTGCCAAACCGTGGTAAAAAGCTTGTCTTGCCAAACCCCCAAAAGCTGTTGAATTGCCAAACTGTAGAAAAATTTTATAAAACTCCTCTGTGTATAATATAATCCTCCTCCAAAATCCTTCATAATACAAAGTGTGGAAACCTCTAACATAATGCCTACGCGGAAAAAAGTTTTTGCCGCTGCGGAGGAAGCCGGGCATGTCGAGCGGAACGACGGCCGCCGCTTCGCTACGGTCGCCGCGAGCGAAGCGAGCACGATCGCAGCGAAGCACGGCCATCGTGTAGCGAAGACCATGCCCGGCTTACCCTCCGTAGCAGCACAAAAACAGTTTTTCCAGCGAAGTCCGTTGGTCATAACTTTGTTCATAATTATCCAATCGAACTGACTTTAGTTTCATTCAACTCAGCTCGTCGAACCCTTCCGAATGAGTTATAATTTGCATTTTCGAATTTTTTTACTCCAAAAATCAGCTTGGCCAAGAACAGTTTTTCCAGCGAAGACTAAAAGCCAAGAGGCTAAAACTAACAAGTCATTCTGCCGCGAGGTAAATAATAAAAAATTCCACAGTTTTATTAACAAATTGAATAATAATAAGTTTTGGTATTTATTTGGCAAAACAAGCTTTTTTCCACGGTTTGGCGAGTCAACAGCTTTTGGGGGTTTGGCGAAACAAGCTTTTTTCCACGGTTTGGCGAGTCAACAGCTTTTGGGGGTTTGGCGAAACAAGCTTTTGGCGAGTCAAGCTTTGGCGAGTCAAGCTTTTGGCGAGTCAAGCTTTTGGCGAGATAACACGATACCCAAAATTTGAAGCAATTTTCAAAAACATGAGGGTCATTCTTGAGCAATGGTTTTGGGGGGTTTACATTATGTCCAATTTGTATAAACGATTTGCTTGTTTTTTTTGGTCGTTTGGCCGAGATTTACATTACGACGCATTCCGATATCTCGTACCGCCAGTCTGTTCTCTTGTCTAGACCTAAATTTTTTTAATTTTCAGTGTTCACTTTTATGGCCAGCAATGGAATGGATAATTCAATGTGCCGCATATCGAGCTGTTATATATGAAGATTTACATCCATTGTGGGAATATTGTAAAAGAGTAGATAAACGCCCAATAGTCTTAATTCCTCTAATAAATGCTTTGCCTCGTCTCTATTTTGGTGAATATTCTTTGGAAGTTTGCAAAATTGTAAGGGAACAATTTTTTTGAATTTTTGTTAAAATTTTTTGAAAATTTTCGGTTTTTAGGTAGTTTCTTCCGAAATTGTAACAGGAGAAGAATTATGTGCTCTAGGCTCTAGATTACTCGAAATTGATGTTCCTCGAGCTGCAAAGAAGCCGATATTGCGGTCATCGTGGAAGTTTGATTTTTTAAAGAATTTTTTTTCTGAAGAATTCTTTTTTTAGGTGTGTTCTCCGATTAGGTTCAACGAAAGAATATTTGTCTTGTTGTGATTATTGGTGTCAATTTGTTGTGCGACATTTTACTAAAAATGAACTTGAAGTTATTCTTGAAAGTATTTTTAGAAAATTGCAGCATGACAAGGTTTTTACTATTTTTGAAGTTCCTTAAAAAGGTTTTTTTGTTCGGGGGGATTTAATTTTCAGAAAGACACAATTCTTATCCCTTAAGATGATTTTTATGTAAGGAATTTGATTATGCCTCCGTTAGGAAAATTATAAGATTGTTTCTTTAGTATAACGGGGAGATGGAAGCAATAAAATCGAACATGATTTCCCACAATGCCGACTAACCGATCACAACATCGATAGGTCAATCCACTCGGTGTCCAAAATACCTTCATTTAGTCTAAATGACAAATGTGATATTTTGTCGTATATTAAGGCAAAGTACCTTTGAAACATTTTCCTTTGGGAACTAAAAATAAATAGTTGTTGTCCTTGATTCTTGTTTCCAAGAAGTATTTTGGTCATTGGGTGGATTGCCTTGCCACAGAAAATTTTTTTAAATTGTAGTTTTTATTAAAATAAAAAATTTATTATTTTCAGTATGAAGTCCATTTTGTTCAATTACTCTCAATTTGGTCAAACATATTTAATCAATCTATTCAAATTAAACCTTTACTTGAATTGGAAATTTTTTCAAAATTCTTTGTAATATTTCGTGCTGCTCCAGCGTCATTAAGAATTGAAGCAGCCAAAGTTGTTTTGAATGGAATTGTGAAAAGGCATTTAATTGGGGAATTTAAAAATGTCAGTGATGCTTATCAGGTTTTGGATTTTTTTGTAAAAAATTTTTTTGAATTTGTTTGAAGGGGTTTGATTTTTTGGGATTGACGGTTTATTTAATATGGGACGGGTTATCTGATCCCGGATTTTTTTGGTCCGAAATCCATCCTAACTTCTTTCTCATGATATGAAAGCTTGAAACATGAAAAACGAGTACTAGGTTTTTTTCATTTGTCTATCGAAAAATTCGCATGTTTTATCTGCAGGTCATACTATTTTTTATTACACTAAAAAGAGGGGGATTATTTTGAAGTAATAAGATCGAAACAAATGTTTTTCTAACATGATTTCTAGTATGTTTGGTTCAAAATGTACTTATTTTACGATAAAACAAATACAGTTAAGAAATGATTTGCGGATTTTTACTTGCGGATTTTTCAAGGCATAAAGAAAAATAACCAACAGTGAAATTTTTCCTTAAATGGACTAAATGGGATAATGAGGAGAATAAAACTTGTTCGAAACTTTAAGAACGATTTTAAAGGACAATCAATATTTTTAAGATTTTTTCTGTTTGTCAACTTTTACATGATTCCTTGGAACTTAGCGCTCCTTTAGAACAAATTATAGAAAATACAAAATTAATTTGTTTTGCATTGGATAGAATATCTTTACAAGTTGAAGACGATCCAGAACAATGTTTAAATTTTTTGGTTGATTGTAGAGCTAATTTTCCAAATTGGGATTTAATTCAACGTTGGACTATTAAACAAGTGCAATCATTAACGTTGAATATTACAAGAAAAGTGAAGTTTTCGTCTTCTAGAGCGGCATTTTTACAAGGATGTTTGGCTAATTTATTTGTTAGGTATATATATTTATTTTTTGGGGTTTTGGAGGAGGAGGACATTTTTCTTAAGGCGACAAAGGATAACAAAAGAGACTTCTAACAAGTCTCTTTTGTAAGCAAAAATATTTTTTAGGCTCTTGTCCAGTTTATGCGTCCCATGAAAGTATATGCGTCCCATCAACAAAAAATTGGATATTTCTTGCTGTTGCAAAGTAGGGGTATGGTTCCAAAGCATTTCTTCATGTTCGGGATCTACGTCCACTGGGTCTAGGACCGTTCCTTACCCTATACCTCGAAATTTCTGAAAGTTATAGCCAATTTTTAAAAATTTCAGAAAAACGATTTTAACTTTCAGAAATTTCGAGGTATAGGGTAAGGAACGGTCCCAGACCCAGTGGACGTAGATCCCGAACATGAAGAAATGCTTTGGAACCATACCCCTACTTTGCAACACCAAGAAATATTCAATTTTTTGTTGATGGGACGCATATACTTTCATGGGACTCATAAACTGGACAAGAGCCATTTTTTAATTTTAGCATTCCATCTTTGTCTGACCCTCTAGATCGTATTGAACTTTCTATTCAATCTGCTCATATTGCTTTGGTTGCTTTAGATTTTATTCACGTTAGTTTATGTTATTTTTTATGAGTATTTGATTTAAAAAATTTGAATGCACTCGTGATTAGAGACTGAACTGGGAGTGTTGTATGAGATTCGAGATCTTGAACCGAGATTTTCTTTCGAGGTCCGGTCTCTACTCGTATGTAGTTTGAAATGTTTTTATCGACTTTAATGTCCCTTTACGATATAGGTTTTTTCTTTTAATTATTTTTGGCAGTATTTGGATTTAAAATAATTTTTAATTTACTTTAAAAATTTTTAATTTTAAGGTAGTTGCTTTTCTCAATTTTTCATTGGAACAATTTACTCATATTCAATCTTGTTCATTTTTTGGTTCAAAATTTTTACAAATTGTAGCTCAATTTCTTTCACTTTTATTAATTATTCCGGAAATGGAGGATTATGAAGATGAAGAGGAAAATAATGATGTTGAAAGCCGAGTAATTCCTTTTAAATATTTTGATTCTTTTCTGCATTGGTTGATTAGGTTTTTTTATTTTTTTAATAAAATAATTTTTGTCCGCAAATTGTTTTTAATTTTTTTGCGGACAAAATTTGTGGACATTTATAATGAAAACAGATTTTTTTTAAATTTTTTTGTAAATATTTTTCAGCAAAAATTTATTTATAATATATTTCTTTATATTTTAGTTTTCAATTCCAAGAAGAAGACTTTTCTTCAAAAAATATTTCAACAACAACTTTCCATTCTAATCGAATTATTTTATTAAATAAATGTTTACAATTTTTATTTATTTTAAAAACCCAACAACAGACAACACAAAATATTAATAATTTAATTTCTAATAATATTCAAAAGATTGTTGATTTAATTGGAAATGAATTTGTTGGAAAGGAAAATTTAATGGACAATGGTATTTTTTTAAATTTAGATTTGCGGAGGTCAATGTCCGCAACTTCTGTCTGCAAAAAATTCTAATTAGAAGTAAAATTTTTTCCTCCCTACTTACCAACATTTCATCTTTTCCCACTTTCCGGAATTTTTTAAAAATAATTCTCATGAGTCGACTAGAGCTGTATTGCAAATTCATTTAAAATTCGGAAAAAAATTTTTGCGGACGTTGGAAATTTTTAAAATTTCTTTTCCTGGTCTCACAAAAATTTATAGAGATATTTCACAGTTTGGTTTCCTCTTATTTAACGTTTTACAAAGTAAAAAAATTTAATTTTCGCGCCTGGGATAACCTTGGACCCCTTATTAGAACGTTTTCCAACCACACCAAAAAATTTTTTAAAAAAATTTTCAGAACCTTTTTATTCTGCTGGAATTCAATTATTAGAATTAATTGCCTATTATGACACCAACCAATCATTTCCAGCTATTTATCCTTTAGCTAAACAAATTTATAAAATTATACGTTTAATACCTTCATTATCTTCACGTTTACAAAAATTAAAAAGATTAACTAAAAAAGATAGAGATTAAGTAGGAAATATTTGTTTGTTTGTTTGTGATATTTAATTTTTAAAATATTCTCTTAAGTAGAGGCAAACCGAGACGTTCTATTTGAAATTTTAATTAAAAAAAGTTTTGCGGACAAAATTTGCGGACGGTTTTCAGTGAAGAATTTTTTCGAGATTTTTTGATATCGATAATCCTCTCGGTTCGTCCTCTGCTCTAAAAAAGGCTTTGATTTAATTTTTAGAGAATTATTTTTTGGAATTTCTTTTGAAATTTAAAAGAAAATTGATTTTAGATTAAATCTAAGCCTTTCATTTTTTAAATAAATTACTTAAATAATTATGCCATTAATTTTATTTTTTTAAGAAATGCCTTTCACAAGAATTTTTAAAAATAATCCAGAAATTCAAAAGATCTTCTTTTGAGTTTTTTTTAAATTTTCATTAATTAAAAAGACATTTTTGAGTTTTTCTAATTTTCCCTCCCCTTCTTTGTCCGTTCATATTTTTCTAAAAATATTTTGTGATTTTATATTATAATTTTATTTTTTATTAAAAATAAATAAAGCATTTAATTAACAATTGGAAAAAAAATTTTTTTTTTAATTTTAATTTAATATTTTAAATTATATTTATTTTTAATTTTGTTTTTGCTTTAAATTTTTCTTAAAAAAATTTTTTTTTAAAAAAACAGGGAAATATGTCTTCACTCGTTGAATTTGTTAGAGTTGATACGGTTTATTTTTTATTTTTTTGATTAAAAAAATTTTTTTCAAATTTTTAGTGTGATAATCCAACAGATCACGAAGACAAATTAAAAGTTTGTAATCATTTTTCTATTGGATTATACAAAAAGAGGGAAGATAAAATAATTGTTTTGGGTTGTTTGGCTCTTTTATTTGTTGTTGCTAGCTGTTTGGCTGTTTGTGGATATTCTGGTTTGTTTTTTGTTTAAATTATTTTTAGAAAATTGGAAAAAATGTTTTTTGTGGCACAAAACTTATTTTAATCTTCCACAAATTTAAAAATCAATTTCTACCGCATGGGTTCGAACCAGACGTGGGCGAAACGTTTCGTTTCGTTTCGTTGTTTCGTATGTTTCGTATGATTTTTACTGTTTCGTCTCGTTTCGTTACGAAACACTTTTAAATTTGTTTCGTTTCGTTTCGTTACGAAACACCTGTGATTTTTCAACGAAACGAAACAATTTTTTAAGCCTAAACTAAGGCCAAAATCTATAAAATTTACCATCTTTTATTGAAAATTTAAAAAATTTTCGCCTGCGGCGCTGAAAAAAGAAGAATTTCGGCTTCTTGGCCTTCCCAAATTGTCAAAATTTTCGCCTGCGGCGCTGAAAAAGGAAGATATCAATTACTTATATACTACAAATCCGTTTATACTCTACTCCCTAATCCACATATACATATTACTTAATAGACGACAAATTCTATTACCGGACTCGCATCATAATTTAAAAATTGCGGATTGCGAGTTGCGGAAATACTGGAACCGGAACTTCCGGCGAAGCACTAGCTTATATCGCCTTCCTCTCGAAATGGAGATATGGAGACAATTTGGGTAGGCAATGGAGCAAGCTAGTGAATTTTTTGGCCTACGGCCTTTCAAAATTTTAAAATTTTTCGTCTGCGGCGCTTAAAATAAAATTTTACTTGAAAAATATTCAATCTTATTTGAAAAAAAGCGTCGCCAAAAATTCGGCTTCGAAAATGATTGACCCCCCCCCCTTCCCCGAAAATTTTCCTTGCTACGGGCCTGGCTTATGGGACACAATTGTTGTAAATAAACCAATAACTAAATCATTTATAATAGAGCCCGGCTCGATACGATATTTTTTCGATATTTTTCGATATATATTTTTCGATATTATCGAAAAAATATCGACCGAGAAAATTTTGATTTTTTCGATATTTTTCGATATTCGGTATTTTTCGGTATTTATCAAAAAAATATCGACCGAGCCCTCCGTCCGGGCTCTAATTTATAAGGCATAGGCGACTAATAAAGTATTTGAGGTCGAATAATTGCGAAATAAATGCAGTTTTGAAAATTTTTTGAATATTAAAATGTTTCGTTTTGTTTCGTTTCGTTTCGTAAGATTTTGGTTGTTTCGTTTCGTTTCGTTAACGAAACGATTTTTAAAAAATTTTGTTTCGTTTCGTTTCGTCAGAAAAAAATTTTGAGTTTCGCCCAGGTCTGGTTCGAACCTTTAACCATTTTTCTGTAGGAAACTAAACATTTTCGAATATATCAAAAATATCCCTATTAATAGTTTCAGGAAATTTTTTTGATTCGTAACTCTGAAATCAATCTAGTATTTTTCATTTAAATAATTAAAAAATTAATTTCCCTGCCTGAGGTTTGAACTAGAGATCGGACCGTACCGTACTACGGCCGTATTTTTCGGTATTTATCGGTATTTCGTATCGGTAGTACGGTACGGAATACGGTACGGAAAAATTTTGAAAAAATAAGGTACGGAATACGGTACCGATGAAAAATATCAGTATTTGTCGGTATTTCTCGGTATTTATCGGCATTACAGTCGGTAATACGGTACGGCAACATTTTGAATTTCATCGGTATTTTTCGGTATCGGTATTTTTCGGTATTACGGTACGGAATACGGTACGGAACAAAATTCCGATCTCTAGTTTGAACTTTAACCCTTTCTTGGAGGGAAACCAAGCATTTTCCAACTACACCAAGAAATTATACTTTATTAATTTAAGAGTGAAAATTAATTTGAAACTTTTTTGCTAATTAATTTATTTAAAAATTTTTAAAGGTTATAATAAGCCGATAATTTATGGTGATTTTGAAGCGCAGAGGCATTGGATGGAAGTAACAGTTAATTTGCCAATTTCTAAATGGTTTTTAATTTTTTAAATTAATAATAAGAATTTGGAGGGAAATCGGGTTAGAAGGGTTAGGAGATTTTTTAAAAATAATTATATTTTTACCTATTTTTCTAAAAATATGCTCTTTTCATTTCGCTTATGATTTTTTGGAATTGGAAGGGGAGAGGGCCCCTATGAATATATTTAAAAATTCATAAATATTTTATTTTTTTAGGTATTTTTACGATTTGGACTATTGGGGGTTAGATTGTGAGTTTTCTTTTTAATTTTATCTTTTAAAATTAATTTATTAAGATCCTGTTTTGACTGCTTACCATTCTTGGATTTTGGGAAAAATGTAAAAAAAAATATTTGAAAAATTTTTGAAATTAAAAAACAATTTTTTTCAGTTCCCAAAAATTCAATTCAAGTTGGGTAGAATTAGACAAATCTAGAGGAATCGAACAAATTGAACTCAAATTATTTATGAGATTTAGTGTTATTATTACTTTAATGTTAATTTATGCGCCTGCTATAATTTTTTTGGTTATTCAAAATGAGGGGAAGCAAAATAAAATTGTAAGAAAAAATTTTAAAAATTAAAGAAAATTTTTTTAACACTTTTAAATTCATTTTTTACTAATTTTCATTTAAATTTTAATTTACAAATTAATTTCCTTAATTGGGATTCGAACCCTTAACCTCTTTATTGGAGGAACTAAGGATTTTCCAACTAAACCAAAAACTTTTTTTTAAAAGAATTTTAGAGCTAATTTTGAAAAAAAATATTTTTAATTTTTAAAATTTATTTTTCAGTCATTCCTTCATTTAGCCCAAGTTTTACTTTTTCCTGGACTTTTATTTGTTGATTGTGCCCATTTTCAATACAACCATTTATCTCTCGGATTATTTTTGTGGGCAATTCTTGCTTTTGATAAGGGGAGATTATTTTTGGGTTCTATACTTTTTGTTTTGGCATTAAATCATAAACAAATGGAGGTTTGTTTTTTTCTAAGTTAAAAATTATTTAAAAACGGGCAAATTTCGAAATGGTCAAAAATAGAAATAAATTTTGACCTGAAATTTGATATATTTTTGATTAAATATTTTCGAAAATATTTTTTATGGTCACCAAAGGCGTAGCCAGAGAGGGAGGGGGGCTTCTGGGGCTATAGCTCCCCTGAGATGGGAAAATGAAAAAAATTATAGGAGAGAAATTATCAGAAAAGTGATTTTTTACGCCTACCTGAAATCGATCCCCTGGCTACGCCCTTGATGGTTAACCTTTCAAGATGCCCACAAACTTTAAAAATTCATTTTGTATCATTTACAATTTTAGCTTTACCATGCTTTGCCTGTTGCCGTCTTTTTGTTTTCCAGAAGCTTTAAAAGGGGCCAAAGTATTTTTTCAGCAATTGTGGAAAGGTTGAAATTTTTTTAATTTCAAATATTTTTTTGAAATCGGGGATTATTTTTAACTGCAAATTTAAAAATGTTCAAAAATTAAAAAAAAATTAATTTATTTAAAGTATTTCAAATCTGTCAAAACTGGCTTTTGTTGTTTTTGATACTTTTTTCATTTTGTGGGTTCCCTTTTTGCTGCCACATCCTTCTGTGGCTTTACAAGTATTGAAAAGATTATTTCCCTTTTATAGAGGACTTTTTGAGGTTTTTTTTTTAAATTTTTTATTTAAAATAATTATTTTTTAATTTTTAAGGATAAAGTTGCTAATTTTTGGTGTTGTGCTTCTATTTTTATTAAATTTAAACAAATTTATTCGGTCGAAAAATTAATTAAAATTAGGTAGTTTTAAATTTTAAAAAATGTTAATTTTTTCAAAATTTAAAATGTCAAAAATTTGAGAAAATTAATTTTTCGAATTGTGGATTGTTTAAAAAAATTTTTAATTAAAAATTCTGAACACTGTAAATTGGGTTGCTCACGACCTGTTTTAAAACCGAAAATTTTGATTTTTTTGACAAAAATTAACCGTTTTTAGAAAATTTTAAGAACCGAAAATTTGTAAAAATGAGTGATTTTATTAAAAACTCCCCCAAAATAAAACCTGTATTCGTCTAAAACTCAAAACCGAAAATCGATTTTTAAAATTTGGATTAACAGAAAACCGGTGGTACCGGTTAATAACCGCTCGTGGGCAACCTTAATTGTAAAACTTGAAATGTCCAAAATTTTCAAATGTTAACAAATACTCAAACCTGCTTAAAAATTTCAAATTAAAATTATTTTTTTTAATTTCCCTCAATTTTTTTTTCAGTTCATTATTAGTATTATCAACATGTTTACCTTCATTATATTGTCTTTTATCAAAACCTAATGGACGCAATTTCCGGCTTTCTTTAATTATTTGTTCTCTCAGTTTTTATTTATTTTCATTTCAAGTACATGAAAAGTCAATTTTGTTGGTTGGAATGTAAGGGGAAATTGAAAATATTTTTTTTTAATTAAAATTATTTTTTTAAGTCCAGCTCTTTTACTTTTGGATGACAAAACTTTAGGTAATTCTATGGGAATTTTGCTTTCAACTTGTTGTTTTAGGTGAATTTTTTTAAAATTATTTGATAGAATATTGAATCTTTGACCGTTTTTAAAACGTGCATATTTTGGGAAATTTTATATATTTTTACTAAAATTTGTGCTGTATTTTCTGAGAAATTTATCGTCTAAAAATTAATTTTTTTTTGGCAAAAATTTTTTTCAAAAAAATTATTTTTCAAAAAATTTTTCGTTTAAAACTTTCCTCGTCAAAAATTTATTCAAAATATTTTTGGAAAATAATCGCTTTAAAATTAATTGGTAATTGTGAACATTCAAAATTAATTTATTTAGCATTTTATTGCTTAAATTGAACTTTTTTTGATTTCTAAAATTTATCAATTTTAAGTTTATATCATTTGTGTATCAAGGATGGAGTGCCAGAAATGTTGCCCTTTTTTATTTTTTATCATTTATTTAATGTTTGGATGGAAAAGGAAAGGGCAAAAAAATTAAATTTGGTTAAAGAAGAGAATAAAATGAAAATAATGGTAATTTAAATTTGGATTAAAACAAGTTCAACTCTCGAGGGGCAATACTCTTAGTAGTCAACTAACCTTGGAACCCAATTCCAAATATTAGGGCGGGTAAAGAAGGATATGTGGGGTTTAAGAGGGATTTGGATGGATTAAAGAGGGATTGTTGGGATTAGGAGGATTTATTGGGGTTAAGGTGGATTAATTGGGGTTTATTAAGTGAATTAAGATTTGATGGGGTTAAGGTGGATTATGAGATTGAAGACGGAAATTATCTCGTGCAACTATCAGATAAGACAAAAGTTGGCAGGTCAACGTATTCCTGATCTGGAGTCCCCTTTATCCAACCCTAATATTTGGAGTTGACCTCCAGTCAGTTGACCACTAAGGTGTTGACCTCCTGTGAGTTGACCCTTTGATCCCTTTAAATTAATTTTTAAAATAAAAATTTTTTTTTCAAAGGAAAATTTAATTAATTGGGCATCTTTTCTTCTCCTTATATCAATTAATTTGGCAAATTTATTTATTTCACCGCCAAAATTATATCCAGATTTATTTTCTTTGTTAAATGCTTTGTGCTGTTTTTTGAATTTTATTTATTTTTATATTTATTTAAATATTGAAATAATTAATAATTCAATTAGAGGGGGAAAAAGAAGTGGAGGAGCAGGAAAGAAGGAAGAATAAAAAAACGGAAAATAGGTTTTATTGTGTTTTAACATTTTTTTCGCTATAAAATTTTTGCACACAAATTTTGCAAAAAAGCCAAGTTTTGATAAATATATTTAGTTAATTCTTTTATTTACCCAAAAAAGACTAGGTTACAAAATGTGTTTTAATGTGTTATGAGTTTTATTACCTTGCTTAATGCCCTAGGAACGGGTTAACTTGTCGCGGCTAACTGGGTGCCAATCGCCTTTGACCGGCTTTAACTTTTTTATCCTGATCAATCTGCCTCGTTAAGCAGTATATCTTTTGTTCCAACTGGGGATGGATTAAGTCTCATAAATAGAAAGAAAAATTGTGAGGATCAGTGCTGGGTATGGCTCCGGGAGCTAGCTCCGGAGCCGGCTCCGGCGGAGCCGGAGCCGGAGCCGGAGCTAAGATTTTGGAAACCCCGGAGCCGGAGCTGGAGCCGGAGCCAAGAATTTGAAACCCCGGAGCCCGGAGCCGGAGCCAAGGTTTTTCAATTCCCCACGGCTCCGGCTATACACCCCTAAAGATGGGTTAGAGAAAAAGAGGTAAGCAAAGATGGTAGGCGTGAAAAAGAAGGAAGAGAAAATTGAGACGGGTAAAAACGATTTTCTTTCCTTTTGTTTTCAAAGTGGTTGTGGTTGAATGGATAGTGAGTTAGGTTCCTAGTTTTATCCGATTATAGGTTCGACAAATAACACAAAAATTATTAAATAATTGTTTTTCCTCGGAAAATAAATTATAATAAAGATTTTTTTATTAAATAAAGCTTGATAAATTTTTTAAATTGATTAATTTTGGTCTATTTTTTTTCAAAATTTTCGCCTGCGGCGCCAAAAAAGGAAGATTTTTGGCTTAAAACTCGTCCAAAATTTTAAAAATTTTCGCCTGCGGCGCAAAAAAGAAAGATTTTTGGCTTAAGGATTGTCCAAAATTTTCAAAATTTTCGCCTGCGGCGCCAAAAAACGAAGATTTTTAGCTTAGGGATTTTCAAAAATTTCAAAATTTTCGCCTGCGGCGCAAAAAATGAAGATTTTTGGATCCAAATCTCCTTAATCCCCCCGATATAGCCCTTAATCCACCTAAATAACACGATAATCCACCCAATTTATTGATAACCCCTTAATCCTCTTATATCACTCGATATCCCCCTTTATCTACCCAAATCACCCAATGAAAAATAATTCATTGATTTTCCACCGGAGCCAACATGGAGCGGCTCCGAAAATCGCCGGCTCCGGAGCCGGAGCTGGAGCCGGAGCCAAGATTTTAAAAGGCCGGAGCCCGGAGCCGGAGCCGGAGCCAAGAATTTGAAACCCCGGAGCCCGGAGCCGGAGCCGGAGCCAACAAATGGCAAATACCCAGCACTGGTGAGGATCAAACATATGTTTAAATTGAGCCACGAAAATAATTTTATTTTAAAAAAATAATAAAGCTTTATGGTGAAATAAAAAAATTAAAGAGAATAATTGAAGAACCAATTTTGTAGTATGCATTGGAAGCATGATCTTGCTATCTCTTAGAGCACCTATTACTAGGCACTTTTCGCTCACCACGTTAGTAGGTGCTCCTCCGCTTATGTGAGTTATAGTGTCGCTGCTTTGTCTTTTGATATTTAGACATTAAGGAAATTGACTAGTTTAGGTATATACCTCATTTATTCGCAAGCTTAAAATGGTCAAAAAACCCTGTTCGTGTTGAGAGACGCTTATGTAAGTCGCTGGAATGGTTCCTTAGTTATGCATTAACATGCCTTCCTTGAGAATAAATGGTATGTGTGTAGCTAAAGTAAATAAGTTCCACGTTTTAAATGCTGTCAGGCGGATCCCCCCACTTCCTCCTTAATTGAAATTGAACTTTGGATTAATGCGTGGCTGCCAACTTTAATAAATCCTTTTTTTAAATTTTATATCCTCAATCGTCATAATGTCAGCTGTATAATTAAAAAATAAAATACTTAATAAAATATTTATAGAAACTGGCTTAATATAAAATAATTAAAATTCATTATTTTCATTAAAAAATTTAAAAAATCCTCCAAAAATGTTTAAATCTTCTCTTTTAATTTTCACCTTCCTTTTTACGATTTTAATCGTTTCTAATAACTTTATTGAAATTTCTGCCCAAAGTTGTGGGAATAATTGTAAGAAAGGCGAAAAATGTTGTTTTAAACATCCACAAGTTGCCTTCATAGATGATCATACTATAGTTATGCGCTGGACCCTCCCGGTCCAGGCACCTTCAGAGCGCCGAATGTGTATGGGGGAGATTTGGGATGGTGAGGCGCAGAGGACTAAACGAATAATTAAAGACTAATTCATAATATTTATTTCCATTTAAAATACAATTAAATGGGCAGTGTTTTTAATAAGGGATTAATTGATGGGGGCAATAACATGGACATTAATATTGGGATTGAATAATAAATTGAACTGGAGATGAGGATATAGTTAAGTGATTAAATAGAGGAGAAAGTGGGTGGGATATGACAAAGTTTATAGGACAAAATGTGTCTGGGAAAGATGGGAGGAAGTGTATAAAGTTGTTGACAAAAGGATAAATGTAATTGTGATTTATGTTGGGAACGGAAGAAGGTGAACAATATATGAGAGAAAAGAGATAAAGTGTAAAGATAGGCTGGGAAGGAATAAATGGAAGATAAATATAAACAACTATGGGAAATATGGTCGGGGTCGGGACTTGATGAAAAGGGCAAGTATCGAGTCTCGAGTCTTGGGGGTAACATCTCCCTGCCGCCAATAAGCGCGACCCTGCGCTTATGGATTGTTGGTTGGTTTTTTTTGGAGGGGAAAGGAAGATTGAGTCTGATGGTGGTTTTTTAGTCCGACATTAAAATTTTCTTAATTTTCAGTGAAGTTTGGATCAAATGTTGGGTTTTAAGTCCGACATTTTTGGGAGTGGAGTTTATTTTGTTTTGGCTATTCTAGTATTTTTTGTAGAGTCAATGGAGATGTGATGTAAATGGTGGATTTTTAGGCCGCCATTTTGGATTTGTTAGATTTAGAAATGATGGTTGTCTATTCCGTCATTTCTTGGGCCTTTGGGTGTATGTTTATTTGGAGGTTTCACGTTGGGCTTTCGTGATCAAATGGTGACTTACTTATTTCAGCACCGTTTGATTTTTATTGGAAGGGAATTTTTTGTTTTAAGGATGATTTAATTCCCTGTTTTTAAAGACTCGATACTCTGAATATGGTAGAAATGAGTGGATTTGAGATGATATACAATTGATTTGATAGAAATGATAAAATGTGGACTATTTGAATAAAATCACTAAATTTTTAATGGGTTTATTTCATAAGTTCTTTCCTTAATTTGACTTCTTTCCGATCATCTATTGCACTTCGCGTGGCTCCATGTTCATATCATTAAAAGTTCAACCATTTAATGTTGTCTCAATAGTTGGAGTTATCAAAACAATGTGCATTTAACAAAGTTGTTTTGTCGTAGTTATTGATAAAGTAAAAATGATTTATTTGAATTATATTATTTTTTGAATAATAGAATTTTGTTGAATAAGTTGAAAATAGAATTTGTTGAAAATTTTGTTGAATAATTGCGCGGAATTTTTTGGATTAATAAAGGGGAAGTGGAAGATTGTGAGAAAAAAATTTTGGAAGTGGAAAATTGTGGAAATGGAAAAGTTATTGGAACATGTGTTTGGACAGCGGAAACTCATTAGTGTGGAATCTCATTATCTTAAAGCTAACCCTTTAGATAATGTGTATTGGGGATTGTGATTGTTTTATATATGGGACTCCATTGATTATTTTGTATCGATGGGGAATGTTGGATTCTTAATAGGATTAACTAGGTTATTTCACTAATATTTGGAAATATTTAGTGAATTGGTATTTCATAGATTGGATGTTATGTTGGGAGGTTGATTAAGGGAGCTGGATTTCCTAAGCACTGATTAGATAGAGAATTGACTGATCTTTCTAATGGTGTAAATGGATTTGTTAGGAGATCGGGATTTCAGAATTTGATGGGGTTTCAAATGTTGTATGAAGTTAGGCTTAGGGGTGGTTTGATTTTTTGACTTTTATTTCACTTTTATTTTCAATGAAATTAAGTTGACTTATATTTGGGATATTGGAAAACGGCCATTTTATAGAGCAATAACTGCTTTATCTAATGGTCCATTTAGGATTACATGGATTTAGAAAGGGGGGTGTAAGTTTGGGAAAATTTTGGAATTAGCCTTTGAAGTAAAAAGGATAGATTGGATAAGGATAAATGTTTTTGTTTTGTTAATGTAGGAAAATGCAAATTAAGATTTATTGCTGATGTTAATTAAATTAACGTCAGTAATTCGAAAACCACTGTTATATAAGGAAGATAGAGATAAAAATTGGATGGGTGATAAAGGGATTTAATTAGAATAAGTGACAGGTGGAATCGGGAGCTAAAGGATGTGAAGAAATTTAGGGATAATAATCAATTAATATTAAATGAATTAATACTAACGATGTGTTTTAATTTTGAGATTTTAAGCGGGGGTTTGATTTTTTTGGATTGAAAAAAGGACGGATACTGATTTATGGTTTGGATATTCTTATACGACAATTTTTTTTATAAAATAAGTTTTATAGGACAATTTTTTATAGGACATTTTTTATAGGACAGAGTCGCAACCTAAGGACTATTTTTATTTCGGATTATTATTCATAGGACTTGTTAATGTAATGGATTATTGAAATAATTTTTTTTTAATTATCGCGCGCACAGGAAAAATGATTTTAAATTATTTAAAGGACTTTATTGGATTAGTTTGTTTATTGCGCCGCTAAGGATTATTTATGAATATAGGAAGGCGCTTCTCAGGATATTGAATAATTGACAGTGTTTTTTTTGGTTGCGACTTAATTTTGAATGGACTTTGTTAATGATAAATGGATTTTTGAATTAATAATTAATGGATTAACCAGTATCCTTCCTTTATGTGTGGAGTAAAAATGGATTAAATTGGA